CTGCACGGAAATGCTTTCATCTTTTGATGGAATGCAAAAAAAAAAAAAGAGAAAAAAAAAGAAAAAGAAAAACAAAAAAGAGGGAGAAAAGAGGAAAGGAGTGATGAATTCATTGGGTTGCAGTCCCAGGAGCAGTGTGGGCAGGCAGCACGGCTGCTGGAAGGCAGTGGGAGCAGTGCAGTGCTCTTGGAGCCAGAGCTGAATCCTGGTGTGGAAGATGAGTGCAGCTCCACTGGGAGGAGGCAGTGGCAGAGCATCTGAGGTCAGACTGCACGACCTGGTCATGGGGAGAGGAGTTCAGCACAGAGCTGCATCCAGGGACTGAGAATCAGAGGTGAGCTCCTCATCAGCAGAGTGCTGTCATTGAGATGCAGCTGTGTTCCTTCCATCCCCGGCAGCATTTAGTGAGGAACAATAACTTAATCTAATTATTCATTTTCCATATAAAAGTCCATTGTGCTGGGATGTCTCTCGTCACCAAAAAATGAGGTGTAGAGGTGCTTAAGTGTACTTTGTTTAAGAGACCTGACATGCTAAATAAGATGCTCTAAATTGATGGTACTTAATTCAGCTCTCATGATAATTTGAGCAGAGGCTTGGATGCAAAGTTAGAAGTACGGGTGAAGGGAATAATGGCACACAGCTCCAGCAGTGTCCCCTGGTTGTACTGAAAGGAAAAATGGCTCTCCAGCCATACTGCTGCTCCTTCCAGGCACCTGTACATGGGTTCATGCAGATCAGGGATCCTCAGTCCCCTGGCAGACCCTAAGGAGCTTTAAAATAAGGGCTGTAGAAGTTTTTATTCTAAAGATACAGGGTTGTTGGCAGTGCAACGCTTTGAGTGTCACAGTAGCCCTCGTGCCTTCAAGTTGACATTAAATTCATTACCTCCCACTGCTGCACTTGACATAATGGGGCTTCAAGGGGAGTTCTTAACTCCGGTTGTGACCTTTGGCTCCGTGCTCTCCTACAGTAAATCTGTGTGACATCCACGCCATGAGTTACCCATCATCTTTGGGTTCTTAAGGGAAACACTGTGGTCAAACTCAATGCTCATCAGCTTGCAGGGTGGTTAAGATTGGATCTTCTGCCTGCAAATATCTCCTTCCTCCATTCTAGAGCTTCTGCCTCGCTTTCTGATGTTTTATTGATTTTTCTTTTTCTTGCTTTTTCTCTCCATGTGGAACAAAATTAAAGCAGGAATTGGGATTGTAAATAGATAATGGTGCCTGAATGCAGATTAATCATTGCCAGCCATGTACAATAATACTAATTGCACCAAGGGAGGAATGGTTGAATGAGCGGTATAAATATTTAATGCTTGAATCCAATGTGAAATACAGGAGTGAAAGAAGAAATAGAGAAAATAGTGCAGTTAAGAAAACCACACTTCACAGCTTTTGCTCAAAAGAAGAGTTTTGATACCATTAACCTTTCTGTATTACGGAATAACGGAGCATTACAGGAGCTGCGTCTAACTGGGAGGCTTCAATTTCACTTAAGAAAAAAATGCTTAGTGCTTAGATTAAAAATATTGGAAGCTATTTGGGAAGGAATTGGTAAAACTCTCAAAAGCTGTTGCTTGAGAAGTGCATTTTTCACAGCCCATCCAAACCTGCAAGTGGGGCTTTGGGGATGGGGATCAGGAACTGCCCAACGAAGTGGAGGATGAGGAAGAGTGGAAGTCTGTGTATCTGCAGATGTTTGAGCAAGACTAATGCACTCATAAATATCTGCTGGGCTGGGCCATCCCCTGCCCTGCAGCTGGAGCAAACTGCTAAGCAGAAGCCAACTGCTTGCTGACCTCCATCCACCACAAATGGCCTCAAATGGACCCAATGGGATCCCAGGGCAGAGCTGTTCCTGCTGGTTCAGAAGAGAGCTGAGATTACAACAACTGTGTTCAGAGCCTCCTGGATTGCAGAGATATTTCATGTAGAATGGGTACTGAATTCCTATCAGTGAGTAATGGGTATTGATTTTACTTCCAAAAAAAAACAACCAACCAACCACAAAAAAAACCACCCCTAATTCTTACACTTCTGGTTAGTCATTCCAGGGCCTTAGAGTTCCAGTTAACATGCTGTCACATTCAGGAAGCTGCATATTGAGTCAAGTGATTCATAACTCCTGGTTGATGGCAGCAGGAAAGGAGGGGAGGGGAACAAAGCAGCGCTGGGTTTATAACACAAAAAATAAGACCTTGAGAAATTGGAGGTACGAACGCTGTGTGCCCCGACCTCGTGCAAGCAGCACCTCTGTGAGCACTCACAGTGCTTTTGTGTGCTGTCCTGTTTGCAGCTGCTGCTCTGGCAGTGCAGGGTGTGCTCCTGGTGTTTGCAGTGCATGGGGGTGCAGGGGGTTCGGGGGGCTCTGCAGGTTCTGTGCTGAGCATCCTCCCCACACCAGCTGGAATTCAGCAACAGCAGCCAGGGCATTTGCATTCAGAAACCATGCAGCTGCTTCAGTTCAACTGTGTTTACCTGTAATTAAATATTCCATTATCAATTAACCATTAATGCTTTCCAGTGATTATTTTAAACCTGTGGGAGCCTCGTAATGAAAAAAAGTGGTAGTTAACTGCAGGTGAGCGGGATGTTTTCTGTTACATGCACAGCGTAACCATTTGGTTTCTTATCCACGAGAACATTTCAGCCTGGTGCTGAGCAGAGTGCAAGGCCTGGGTATTGCAACCTTCACTCTGCAGGTGTCCCATCTGCTGCTCAGAGGCAGCAGCTGAAGGATGGTGGGTGATGGGGATGCGTTTGGCCGCTGCCGTGGCAGTGGATCAATGCTGTCTGTGTGGAGCAAAGCAGAAGCTGCTGCTCTGGGGCTGGAGCTCACACTTGCAGCGTGTTCCCACCTGCAGCACTGTGGGGTCTCCACCATATGCACAGTATGCATCACCAGCCTTCACTGGGTAAGCCCAAGCAAGGCAGCTCTCCGGTGCTCCTCTTCATCACTTGTAGGGCCAGAAGGAGCTGCCATTGGGAGCTGAATGCGAAGGAGGAGCTGCTGAGATGGCTGTCCTGGGAATCTGAATCCTGTAACTGATGTTAACAATGCACTGCTTCACTGCAGAAATAAAGGGGTGGGAAGATAAAAGGGATTCTGCTGGACCGGAGCCCTGGAGAATACAGTGTGTGTGCTGGGAGCTTGAGCAGCGGCGTGTTGGAAATGAAGACCTGATAGTGCTTTTGTGGCTGATTTAGGCCTTTCAAAGAGCTGTCAGGGTCTTAAGCAAATGCCACATGATGCTGATGGATTTCTGTGCAGAGATTTGGGGAGACTTTGTCCCTCACCCCAAATCTTCTGTAGTTCTCTATAGCAGGGCAAAGCACTCTGATTATGACTGTTGTTCTGCTTTTGCCTACAGTAATTTTTTTGTGCTGTTGCACAGGTGGCAAGGAGTGCTATCCATTAATTTTTTGAATCAGTGTTCCAAGTGTAAATTCACTTGGCTGACAGATGTCTAACTTTTCACTTCAGCTATGTGGGATTCTTGGGAGTTAACAGTGAACTGTTGATGTACCTACAGGTCAGTTTGTGTGTAAATGATGAGTCAGCTGCATCCACTTCTCCAAAGTACACATTAAAAAGAGAGAGATGGGGAAGAGGAGGGTGAAGCTGCTGCGTGCAGCCAGGTTAATTTTACTGTTCTGCAGTTCTTGGATCAGGTAATTGAATTATTCAGCTCTACACAGTTCTGAAAGCAGAATTTGGCTCTGCACACCTAAAGATTCTGTGTGAAAAGTTTGACTTTTAATTCAGAATAAATCATAAAAGAGTCTTTGGGGAAAAGAGTGTGATGTTTAAACATGTTGTCATAACAAACAGCCACAGTAACTTTCCTGGAATTGCTTTTAGATGCCCCATGTCTGATCTCAGCCCCAAAGACGTGTGTTTGAACTTCGTCATTCAAAAAGGTTTGAGGTGAAATTGGAGTTTGTATTTCAAAAGGGTCTGCAGAATTGACATGAAATTGTCAACAGTGAAACATTCAGGAGCGATGTCAAACCGACGTGCAGCGTGCAGGATGTGTTCAGTGGTGGTTCTGAGTTGTGCAGAAGTCGGCTTCGCCCCACGGGATGCTGGAGGTTTGAAGCCTGTACTGTAGGTGGCAGAGGTGCATTAGCTATGCAGCATCATCATCTCTGCTGCTTCATTAGCAAGTGGAGCAGGAGCACCTTGCAGATCTGCCAGGTGTCATCCCAATTCCCTGCTGTTTGCCTTGGGAAAAGGGAAGAGTTGTGACCTCTGCAGGTGTTAGTTGGGTGTAGGACTTTGGAAATGCTTTCTGGCTGTCGGTTCTACTGTTGAAAATGGAAAGTTATGAAATCTAAAGCATCCTTTTGAATCAAAGAGATATACGGTGTACTTCTACCTTCATCTAAAAAAGCATAGATAGCAAAGTACCAATAATTTGTAAGTCAGTGACAGTCTATGATTAAAAAATTAAATGGGTTTTAGTTAACAGTAATAGGATTCCATAATAGCTTTTGTCATGGTAGCGTTATTCCCTCACTGTGCTTAATGCTGCCATTATACACCTCAATTCAAGGGTGCTGTGACTTAGGTAAACACTGTTCCAGACTGAGGCTTGGCATGTGACACCTCTGCCAAGAAATATGGCTGTGTTTAATAAAGCAAACAGCATAATACTGCTTTTTTGTTGTTGTTGTTAAGGAAGTATAAGATGGTATAGAGAGAGCAGTTGCTAATGGGCTGTGGAGTGTTGCACCTCACATTTGATGGCTGTAATCTTTCCTCCAGGTTGGGGTAGATCATAAATCATCGCTTCTTGCTGGCAATTTCCAATGAAAGAAGATTGTTCTTGCCTTTTGCTCAGCTAAAATCAACATTTGTTTTTTCTTTGAGCATTGTTAACCAGACACATCTCTCATATTCACCAAGGAGGATCCGCTGTGCAAGGACGTTTGGTTTTTGCTATAACTCACAGTCAAAATAACGCTTGGCTGTTCTTGGTTGGTTTCTTGCAGGTTCACTGGGATGAATCTGCCCGCCCCAGTTATCAGCAGTAAAAATTGGCTGAGGCTTCACTTCACATCTGATGGCAACCACAGGCAGAAGGGGTTCAGCGCCCAGTACCAAGGTGAGCACTCGCAGCACATCCAGACAAATTCCACTTGATTCTTTGGTGTTTTTAACCTTGATTTTTGCACCTGGTTTGCCAGGTGGTGTTGTATGGAGGGCTGCTGTTGGCAGTGTGTTGGAAATAGGAATGCCTGAGAGTTACTGGCAAATTGCTTTGCACTGTATGCCATGGGATGCCACCGTTCAGTGCATCCTGAAGGGTCCCAGAGGGAGGATCAGCTCCAAGGGCAGGGGCAGGGTGGGAGAAACTGGAACAGGGAAGGAGCTGGTAGGGCTGACCAGCTCATGTCCAACCTCCAGAGACAACAGCTTTCCTCAGAAGGAAGGAATGGGACTTGGGGAGGACGAAATGCTGTAGCACTGACTGACAGGAGCACAGTGAAAGGGAGATGAGTTTCCTTTCATAAATCTGTAATCCTGCCCTTTCTGTTCCTGGTTTGTTTGGCCTTAGCAATGTAGTCATGGCCTCAGCAAGAGCCTTGCATTATGAATCACCGTTGTTTCTTAACTTTCCTGGTGTTCCTCTGATGTATAAATTTATTTTGAATTATAATTAAAAACCTTTTGGTTTTTTGTTCTGTGTAACACAAACGACCATGCAGCTGATTGCTCTTGATATGGCATTTCCTTTGCAGCCATGATTGCTGCTTTCTATTGAAACACCTGTCTGAATCATCCTTTTTCTTTAAATAGAAAAGTAGAGATTAATGTTATAATTCCCTCTGATTAGATGAATGTCAGGGGGGTTCTAATCTAGCACGCTCCTTGGAAACTCTTTTGTTAGATATAATGAACTGTGCTTTTGTGTATTGAGTGTTTAAAAGGTGATGCTAAAAACATGCCCTTGGAATACCACTGAAGCAGGACCTCCATCCAGTGGCAGGGGGAGCCGTTCTTCAGTCTCCTGCTGGATGGTCTGGAGTTTGTGAGGGTCTTTCCACCTGTTAGGAAAGATCTCCATACCTTAAAAACAACGAACAAACAGTGCAGCAACAAAGCAGCTCAGGGCACGAGGGCAGGATTTTGGCAGGCAGTGGAATCTGTGCTGACAGAGCACCCAAGTGCCAGTACAGCTTCAGAAAACTCTGCATAACCCTTTCAGAGAAACAGAACTTGGTTTGAACATAAATATTTTAATGGAGATAAATAAGTAAGTAGATACAAAATAGGACATGTATTGCCTTATAAAGTGGAGCAGCTAAAATTTGGTTTTTTAGCAGTAGAGATAGAAGCAAACCTCAGGGTTGTCCAAGAGAAGGAAGGAGGGGAGGGTTAGGATTAATCCGATTTGTTGCTGGTTTTCCAAAGATGTGTTCATCCTTTATTAACACCCTGTTTCCTCTCAGATGTACCTGGCTTTGCTGATAATCTATAAGAAAATCATTTCCCTTCCAACTTGTTTAACATTGATACTTAGATTTAGCAGAACTCCATCTTAGTATGTTCCATTTCAGCTCTTGCTAATCCATGCCCCAGTTTAGAAATCTTTATGAACATAAAAGCAAGGTTAGATAGAATCAGCCCATATACAGGTTTTCTTTATGTTGAATGCAGTAAATTTATTCCTTTGCAGGGAGAGTGGAAATATTTTTCCCTTTCCTGTCTCTTTTATGTAAGGTGAATCTTGCATTCTTGCAAATACTGTGTTCCACATCCTGTGAAAGCAAATGAAAGGAACCACAGATAAATCAATGCATTGATCTTTTTTCCTTCCTCCCCAGCCTCTCACTCCCTCTGTCTTCATTCCCCAGTGGGTGCTGTGTTATCTGCAGCTGATAAGAGGCTGAGCTGGGTGTGCATTGCTTGGGGCAGGTGACAGTAAGGGTGCAGAGCTCAGGGACATCAGTGCAGTGATGGGATGCTGTAAATGAGGTAATGAAAAAGCTGCTGAATTTAAAATGATGCTAAACAGAACTAATGATCTGGCTGGTGTAGTCCATCTCTCCAGCATATATTTTATTACTTAAGTAGGGTCCCAAATTGCTTTTTAGCTGATTGTTACCAACACATAATTGTATCTTTTATTGATCTGCCCTCCCCATTCCCTTCCCTTTCTGTCCTGCACTCAGGTAGAAAGATAAATGTGGGTGAGTTGCAACCCACAGCAAAATGCAAAATACTAGCAGACCTGTCATCTTTAATAATGCTCTCATGAACTCTTTTGCACATATTGCACCACCTAAATGGCTTTTAAGCATATGTACATCTATACATGCTTAATTTCTGGCAGATCTGCAAAGGGTGCAGAGGGATATGGTGTGTGCTGTGCAACCTGTTCAGTCCCTTGGGCCATACTGGTAAAATAGGAAAAAAAGAGGAAAACTGTGATGTTTGTTACAGGCTCCAATTCCTAAATAAGAGTTTCTCAGAGCAGCAAAGGGGAGGCACAGAGGTAAGGGGGTTGTTTTGCCAGTAGCTTGCACAGCCACGTGGGGTGTTTCACTTTGCAGGAAGGTGTTTTCTCCTCACCTCCAACTTGGGTGAGAATCCCCATAAGGAACCTGTGCTGATGTCACAGGTGATACTGGAGCACCTCAGCAGGGGAAAAATAAAGTAGAAAACCGATCCAGGCAAGCCAATATTTAATAGCAATCTCCCAGCAAATCTGCCAGCAAGGGGAGCAGAGGTTGGTGGAACAGATTTTTGCTGAAATGTGTGATTTTTCAAATTAAAAATAAATAAATGTCTCCTTAAATTCTCATTTAGAACAACATGAAGCATGTTAGAAAAGACATCCCAGAATGCCTCCTCACTGGAAAAGCTTTGTAATGTCATCTTTTAAATCTGACAGGATGCTGAGCTTTCCATTAGATCTATTAGGAACGTGTGAGCAGCAAACCCCTCCAGAAGACAGAGTAACTTCTGTTCATCCAATTAGCCTGACACAGGCCTTTGTGGTGCTGTTCTGCAGTCAGATTTGTAAACAATATAAATTTTCATACACTAGATTTTTGAGGGAATAGCTAAGGGGAATTGTTCCTTTTTTTTATGAAGAACAGTGATAATGTGTTCTGAGTTGCTCTAATCGAAAGTAAGTCGTTCGTAAAACTTGACTTCATCATTTCATCTCCTTGGAACAAAATGGGGGATTAAGGAGGGAGAGAATGCAGTGATCTGTACCAATTATTGGTGAAAGGGAGGGAGTGCATTTAGGGTAATACACGGGACATGCTGATGGGCAATGCAGTTCTGTGTGTTTTAGGACCGGTCCCTTGCAGTGTCTCTCTGTTTTCTGCTGGTTTTGTTGCTGTTGGGTTGGTTTTGAGCTGAATTTTCTGTTGGTCGCAGATTTGGAGTGGAGCATATTCTGGAAGACAGGCAATGAATGCAGTTAAACCTTTTATTACTGAGTATATCCTGTTAAGGATTCCTAGTCACATGGCAGGCCCAGCTGCATGCAGGCTGTGCATTCTCCATGCCATAAGCTGGGGTTTGGTGATGGTGCTCTGAAGCACTTTACAGAGCAGTGAGTTGATACTGCGAAGCCACACTGAGCACTGTGCATCCTGTGATAGCCCACATTTAACCCCAGGAACTTGGGCTTGGCTGTATCTATTGACTGGGAGGGGATGCTGGCTGGAGGGTTAGTTGTAGCAGAGGTAGGAATAGGCTCCAGGCTTCCCCTGAAATTTCAGCTTTTGTGGCCTCATTCTCTTTTTTACATCCCTGACACAGTGTTGTATTGAAAGCCTTGAGATCAGGCTGCAAATGTCCCAGAATTACCATAATGTCACCTGGAGGCAAGCAGTGCTGTTGGGCATTCTGAGACCTGCTGCCTTTCCCTTAGAGTGTTTGCAGATGGATTACAGTCAGAAGGAAGCGGGCACGTCTTACATTTGCTTTGGAATTGGCATACTGTTAATTATTTGTCCCTCTGAATTTAAAAAAAAAGAAAAAAAAAGGCAACAAACCCCCAGCAGATTAAAGATACTCAAACCAGGCAACGTCAGCTTTTCTGCATGAAAGTTTTTTGAGGTAATTCAGCCCTCAGTTTGAAGTTATGCTTTAGTTAAGGAGAAAGCAAAAAGCTGTACCAAATGATGAACAAAAAGCTGCATGCTACAGCAGTGAGCTGAGAGCAGCACTACCTTGGGTGAGCTTCAAGGAATGATGCTTGACATCTCCCTGTCTGAAGCTCCTGCAAACAGATGTTATTAGCTTTTTTTTTTCTCCAGGCTGAAAAAGCATGATTAAAAAAACCTTGTTAGTTCTATTGGTAATTTTTCTTGACAACTTTGTCTTTGGAATGTGCTAATTTAGAGATGAAAGTATGATGAGATAAAGAACAAGAAAAGAACAGTTTGAAGTGAAAGACGGACTGCTTTTCTCCATAGATAAGAACTGGCTCATCAGAAAAAGGATCCCATAAAGCAATATGGCCATCATGCTTCCTTTAACCACATTAACTTCGAACGTGCCAGTAAAAATTCTGCTGTGTGTTGCTGCAAAACCTCTCTGTGCTGCAGGAAGCTGTTGTGTGTCTGCCAGTAGTCAGATGGATTTGGTGGTGTGGGGTTTGTGCAGAGCCCTCTGTGCAGAGAGAGCCTCAGTTTGGCCAAGTCCAGATAATAAGGACAAATAGTTGCTGAGTTTCATTGGCCATCTTTGTATTACGTGGGATTCTTTTGGCAGTGGACTGATCAAAGTCAAAGCTTAACTCCGCATTTTGAGATCCCTGCAGTTTCCTGGAGCTTTCCTTCAGTCTGTTTCCCATTTGTAGAACGTTAAGCAGCATTGCAGGGCTACAGAGTGCTGAGGATTGTATGCCCAGCTTTTATATTCAGGCTGGGTCAACTTGGCTCAGTTCTTCAAAGACAGCAGTAGATCTAACAAGGGTAAATGAATGGGGGGAGCTGATGGGTTTGAGGGGTTAGGAAAAGTGGTTCAAACATCTGGGAACTATCGTGTGTAACTGTTGTGCTGCATTCTCATTTTACATCATCACCAACGGTTATCTAAAAATTTTCTTTCTTTGTGTTTTAATTCTGTCTCTGTAGTCAAAAAGCAAATGGAATTGAAATCCAGAGGGGTGAAGCTAATGCCAAGCAAGAACAGTAACCAGAAGACATCAGTGTGTAAGTGTTCTGACTCCTCCATATGCTCTCTTTGTAAAATGGTCTCCTTGAACATTCCATTTGACTTTCCAATAATCTCTAAAACTTTGTCACTCTTAAAAGTTTTAATGCTTTACCCTTTCTTCCCTTTGCATTACTGCATCACTCCTTCCCAGTGCTCTATTCACAAGCATGTACTAACCCCTCGAAGTGGGTATGCAGGGGATTGGTGTGTGTGCATTTAATATATACTGTATGCTTCCTATTCAGTGACAGACCGGGGTTCGTTGCTTCTGTCTTCTTGTAGTGTGGAAAGTGTCAAAATGTAAACAATTTGGAAATGTGAAGTGATGTTGCTATCGTAAAACCAGGGATAGGGATAAGGAACCACAAAACAAACCAACCTGGTAGAAAATCTACAGAAGCAATAGCAGTCTTTGTTTCCCTCTTTGCATTTTATTTAATTATTCATCCCTGCAGAAAAATCACGCCCCTTCAGTGTGCAAAAGCTTATAGCACTGACTTCTATGATCTCTGTATGAGTTTCTCACGTTCAGCATGTCTGATGTTTGGTGTCTGTTAGGGAGATGCTCGCAGTGTCACGTTGTCACCGGTGCGTTTTCCTCCGGCTGTAGGAGAGCCCATTAGATCCGTTCATCTTCACACCAGGTCCTTTTCAGATCAGAAGCGACGCTCATCTTTTCCTTCCGCACGTGGCTGAACAGATGGCTGCGCTCCTGAGGGGGCTCTGAGATGAAACATGAGGGATCTGAATTACCTGCACGGAATATTTCACGGGGATTTAAGTAGGATCAGAACGTAGACTTTCTTAAGATAGTTTTTAGAGGAGAGGTTGTACTTGTTCGTTTTCTGCATAGCCCATTACGCTCATCAAAGAGGAGCTGTTTGGACATTCTGCTCGCCTGAATTTCAGATGCAGAATTCGGTTAAGAAAAATGGATGAACTGAATTTAAAACATCACTCAATGAAAAAGGCTCACTTTCAGGTTCACATGAGTGCTCGTAGCTTTTAGTCATTCAGGAGAAAAGTCCAACAAGGTAACGAAGTAGCAGGATGTAAATTATCCAAGATTTCCAGAGTACAAAATGCTGGGGCACGTTCAGGTAAAACTCAGTTGTAAGAAAGGCTCTGAATCCAGGATGCTCTGGGCTCTATGAAATCCAGGCTGGATGTGGCTCTGGGCAGCTTGGTCTGGTGGTTGGTGACCCTGCACATAGCAGAGGGGTTGAAATAGATGATCGTTGTGATCCTTTTCAACCCAGGCCATTCCATGATTCTATGAAATGTTCTTGCCAAGTATAATTTAACTGTCATTTTAAGGTGTGATAAAAATTTCAGCACTTAATGGAGAGTGAGGTTACGATAGAAAATAGCCCTGCCTCTGTTTGAGTGAGCGCTGGAGCTCCGTAAGATGGAAGGTTGTGTTTGCAGTGGGTTTGATGCCATGTGGGATGTTGGGATCTGTGCTGGGATTCTTCCCCAGGTGGAAAATGGCAGTTTGTTTTCAGCTCATCAGTCCACTGTGTTTTCAGGGTGTCGTGCTGTGTTGTAGTCGGGCTCCACTTTTGAGGATGAAGTTGCTGGAAGTTGCTGGTGCCTCTGCCCAGCCTGTCCTCGCCCAATGCAGACCAGACTCCAGCCTTGAATGCCGCCAGTTCAGCATCTTGTGTAGCACTAATCATGTCATATTTGATAAGGCAAAACCCGGTGCAGGAAGGCAGCTTAGCCTGAAATTTATTGAGCTGTAGTAATATTGATGGTGGAGGAACTGTGGCCCAAATCCCTTTCTGTCATCAGCGTGGGGTTTGCCACAACCCTCCTGCCTTCAGCTCCTTCTCTGTACACTGTGCTCAGCGACGTCTGGATTGTAAACCCCAATTAACCTCCATCCTGCACAGCCTTCTGCTGTCACACTCCTGTTACAGTGAATTTTCAGCTTCAGAAACGCTGACTCCAGAGGAGGTATCTCCAGAAAATGGTTTATTTTCAGAAAATGGAGCCCTAAGTGTTATCTTCTTTTTCCCTTGCTTTTCTGATTTGCTTGGCTGGCTGTGCCCGCTCTTCTCTGAAACTTTCATGAGCTTGTGAGCTGTGCATCACAGATGACCGTGCAGGTGGGACAGGCTGATTAAAGGTCTCTGGAGTTGGATACTATTGCTCTTGTCGTTTCATCTTGCTCAGCTATCAGAAATTTAGAAATGTGGTGAAAACGAGAGCTGTGCCGCGCTTTATTTCCAAACCCTTTCCTGCCAGCCGTGGTTTCTGGTGGTCTTTACCCCTCTCTTTTGGGTAGTGCAGCTCCTTCTTTGAGGCCTCTGTTCTCTCATAAGGCAGCTTGCAGCTCCACGCTTGCAGCCCTGCAGGTTCTTTCAGAGGATTTCAGTTCTGCTGAACGGATGCTGTGGTTACTTGCCAGATTAAAGCCCTTTTCACGTGTCCGAATGAGGCAGAATGTATTCACATCACAGTTGTTTGTGCTCTTTCAGAAAAAGGATTTATTAAAAAAAAACATGGAATTTGGTGGGGGATGTGCTAATTTTGTTCAGTTGCAGTCAAACGTGTTTATTTGAAATTTAAATCAAGTACTTCAGACTGTTCACCATCCCTAATATTAATTGGGCATCTTGCTTTAATCATTTTTAGGGGAAAATAATACAGCTCTGGAGAAAAAGCTATAAAAAATACAGTTTAAAGTTTGAGATTATGTTTAGAGGATTACTTCTGGTAGCAACTGAGGGACACACCTTTTGCATCTGCAGTATTCCTGAAGCAGTGAGAAAGTGTATTGCATGCAATGTGTAAATGTGTATATTCCAGGTTCATACAGTGGAAAAAACGTTGGCACCTTGGTTACAAAACAGCATCAGAGTTGCTTTTGTGACATTCGAATGAGGCACACCTGAAAATGCACTGCTGGACATCACTGGAAGGGACTGCGTGAAGCAGAGAAAGCTCTGTGTACCTTCAGTTGTATCAATTTGTACTGATTATGCAAATGCAAAGTCGTTTTGGAGGGTTGATCCAATTTGGTCTCAGCCAAACGTACGGGAGCTGCTGGGTTCAGCAGTGCAGCAAGCCTGCTTTGTGCATCAGGTGTGAGGAGTGTCTGTGTGGGTCTGTGCTGCGCTGCAGCAGTGGGGCAGAGCAGCTGCTGGGGCCGTGAGCTGCAGGCAATGAACTCCCCAGTGAGTGGGGCTGTGCTGCAAAAAGGCTTTGCAAACTGTCTAAAAATCTGCAGGGCTGTGACATTTTGAACTCTCAGATACTTGGGAGCTCTTTGTAGGTAGCGACAAGATGTGAAATACGGGTTCAGAATGCCCCAAATGATAACAGTACAAAAATTCCAGCTGGAAGCAGTCGTTTCCAACGTTAGGCTCTCTCAGCCCAAGTCTTGCAGAGTGCTAGCTAGACATGAGAGAGTTTAAGGTCTAGATTTGTAGCCTGGAAGGGCCCTGAGCACATTGTTGGGCTCAGTGTGATACCAACAGCTCTGCTCTCCAAGCTGGGCTCTGTAACCTCTCATTTGTCGGCTGGCTGCATGGAGTCACCATCAGCCTTACAGCACTCATAAAGATGGACTGAACGTTTTTAACTGGTAACTGCTGAAGTGCTCCCATTCCCCTCACACCAGTTAGAACAGCTCATCTTCTTGGACTGTGTTTTCCATGCTGAGAAATACTGAGTTTATGTAAAAAACAAAACAAAACTGAAGGAGACCGTTTGGCCATCTTTGTCGTGTAGCTCATATTTACCATTCCTAACTTCAATAAAAAACTGTCCATTGGGGATCTCTCTGAACTTTATTAACGTGGGGAAGTAGAGAGAACTAAGGAAGGTTCTCAGTTCTTTTAACAGATGGAGTAAATTCCTGTGACAAACAAAGCAATCATAACTGGGTGCTACTGAAAACACAATGAGGAAAGTGGTTGTTAAGAAATAGGAGGGCAAAGGGGCTGGAAAAGTGTTATTTTAGGAGAAGGAATCCTTGAGCCTCCAGCACAGAACTTCAGCACTTCACCCCGGTTTTTAAGTTTTATTGTTGTCTTTGTAACCATGAAGAATTTGGAGCATTGCAGCCTTGGTGTGAAGCAGTCCAAGCTTTAGGCAGATGAATGCAGCACCCACTGTGTGTTCTCAGCATAACAAATGTGGTTTATCAACTTTGGTTAAGTTACATTGCCATGTGTGCGTTTAGAAGACAGAAGAAGAAAAGTTTCAGTGCCCATCTAATCCATCCTCTGCTTTCCTTTGTGTTGACAAAGCAAAATGTCCAAACTACCACGCTATGAAGATACCTTTCCTTTCTCCTTGCTCTGTTCGTATCTAATCTACTCACTGGTTTATGTATACGTATTATATGGGTATTAATAAAGTGCTAGGTAACGAGAGAAGAACTGGTTTTAGACTTCAGAAGTGTGATTAGTCATTTGCAACTTGCCCTTTGGTGCCTGTGGGTTCTGCTGGTTATTTGTAGCCTGGCCTGCTCCCAAAGCCGTGAATCAGGTTTGCTGTCATCCGATTTGGGACGTAATAAATGGCCGTGACAGCAGCTCAGAATAACCAACACGGTGTAAGTGATGTTGTCTGGTAGTCTTCTGACCATGGGAGAGAGGATGGAATGTGGAAAGGCAATCTGGTGATGTGCTCTGCAGGAAGGGGTGTTTCAATGCAGGCGTATGTGGAAGCAGTGTTGGTAAACGTGTGCATCGCAGGCTCAGCTCCTTGGTTAGTGCACTTTTATCCTGGAGAAGGTATAGAAATAAGATGAGAAATCGAAGCATTTTTTCTTAAATACCACGTAGACTTGTGATGTACGTGTTGTGCAGTGAAGCTGTTGTGCCAGGATATTCTGACCTTATTCCTTGCTCTGACCAGGGCCGTTTGCTGCACCCTCTTTTTCATGCTCTGAATTCCCATTTGCTTTGTTAGAACAGAAGCATCAGGTATGTGTCACACCTGGGGAGCTCCATGGCAGAGGAGTGTTTAGCTCCACAGATGGTATTCAACAGCCTGATCAAAACTCCAGGCAGCGTCTCCAGGTGGTTACTGAGGGTTCCCCCAGTGGGGCCAGTCTTCTGTGCCACTATTTTGGCTGGCACTGAAATGTGCCTGCAGCTCCTGCAGTGATGAGGCAAATTCTGGGTTGCACAACCAGCTTCTTGCAGAGGTTGTAAGCTGCATCAGGCTCTAAAGCAAAACGGCCAAGTTAGCAAAAAGTTAGCAGCAGATTAAAAGCTGTTCCATTTTTTGTGTGTATGTGAGCAGGACGTTTATCAGGGAAGGGAGAATCAGTGGAACAAACCCACTGAGTTCTCATGCAGCTGTGATGGCTGCTGGAGATGCTGCTCGTGGAATGTGGTTTGGTTGTGGCTTCTAGAGTGCCAGGCACAGCAGTACTCTGTCAGGACAGAACTCTGCTCCTTCCTTCCAACTCAGAGTCGTCAGCCTGGGAAATGTGGCAGCAAAGCTTTGTAGCTACAAAACGCAGCCATCAGAAGATGCTGTGTGCTGCTTTAATGCTTGTGTCTCGCTAGCATCTCTGTTTGTCCATGTGATGGAGCTTAATGTGAGGTTATGAATATGCAAAAAGGGGAAAGCAGTTTCTTAGGAGGCTGATTTGCCATCAAGATGTATCTCTGCCTGGAGGAGGAGGCCGAAGCAGTGGGGCAGGGCTGGGCAGTGCTGTGCTGGGGAAGGGGCAGCAGGAAGGGGAGGGATGGGATGAAGGAAGCACTTGGGCTGAGGAGCAGTTGATGCTTTCAGCACTCAGCCAGCACTGGTGCAGGTGCTTAGATGGAAGCAGTGATCCCTCCATCCTTTTAGGTACAGCCTTATGTCTTCCAGCTGTAGTGAGGTGTCGTTACCAAATGAATAATGTTTTGATGGTCCTGCCTTTTGGGTGTTCATGCTCTGCAGCCTGTGTTTGTGTAGACACCCCATGTGTTTATCAGTTCGTGTAATACTTCATGCCCAAGCCTCCATATCTCTCAGCAGCAGCTCTGTGCACCAAGATCATTCATCAGGGGATGGGTGGAAGTAGAAGGGAACGCTCTCACTTCGGGTTCATGCTTTACCACCTCAGCCCTGATGACAAGATGCAGTGTGTTTTCCTTTCATCCTTCCCTCAGTGATAGGAGAAAACTGAGCTGCATCAACTTTGACAGCGCTGTGACACAGTTGCCCCTTTCTCCTGAATCATCCCCATGCGTTGGTCGTTGCTGGAATTCAGAATAGAAATCAACAAATTGCCAGATCTCATTTCATGCTTTCAGGAGCCGCCCAGGTTCTGTCCATCCCAAACAGTGCTCAGCTGTGCCACTTGTCAGGCTGAAGGGGAAGGTGGAAACGGGGGGCAGAGCATCAGGATGGCAGATGTTTACTCGATGCTGATCACCACTTCATTGATTCCATGTTTGTTGGCAGTCACGTTAAGGTTGCTCCATACAGTTTTTCACGTTCAAACTACTTACTTGCTTTAGAATGCTAGACTCACATTTCCCTCTCCTCTCTCTCTCGTTCTCTGCCTGTTCTTCCCTGGTATCACACCCCACCTCCTCATTGGGTTGGCTGTGTTCTCAGCTCGGGCTGGGGAGGGCAGGCCGTTCTAATCACAGGCTTCGGAAATGGGCTGCTTAATTGGTGCAATTTTGCAGAATGAAAAATCTCTCTCTTCAGAGGTACTTCTGTAGCAGAACAGAGGGAAAGCAATGTTCCTAGCTGGCGCTTCCTAGAAAACACTTTGGTGTCTAAACTGAGCTGAAATGATTCCAGTTTAACTTGTTTCCAAAGCTGTTTTTTTCTAAACAAAATGGAACGTGTTCAGGTTTTCCAGCTACCAGCTGCCATTTTTCTCTCCACATCCACCAAGATAAGTTGATGAAAGAATGTTTCTTTTGCTATTCTGTCTCTGTATGTGCTGTTTTTGCTTTGTAGTAACTCAGGTTGGTGTGTCCCAGGGACATAATATGTGTCCAGACCCTGGGATTCCAGAGAGAGGCAAAAGAATAGGCAACGATTTTAGGTAAGAACCTTTGACGTGTGTGTTTATGCATGCTGCAAAGCTTTTGTTACAAGCACTGTGTGTTATCCTTGGCATTGTGTAGTCTGTTTGCAGAGCCCCTCTGCACACATCATTGTGCTGTGTCTGAAAAGCTTGCTGAAGCCAGTGATGCAGAAGAACGAGCGTGTCTGAATGTGCATGTGTGTGTAATCTATTACAGAGATCTGTAATGATCTCCTTGAGAATATTTCTCATACCACAAAGTGGGCACTGGACCTGCTGCTATCATCCCTGTTTGTTGTCGCTCCCTTCTCCAGTTAAGCACAGAAGGAACCATCTTAAACAGCAACAGCATCACTTCTAAATTAGCCTAAGTCCCAGCACGACCCTGTGCCCAGAGAATTTCAGGTGATTTCCTGAAGCAGTGGTACAGCTCCTTGTCAATAAGGAAATGTGGTGCTGGATAATTGTTTTCTTATAATGTTTAAAATAATGGTGTTACTCCCTTGTAGTTGCTGGCGTTCATTTAAAGCGTGTAGGAATGAATCAGCCTGTTGTTAGCAATGGTGAATCAATATTTAATCTTATTTTGCTGTCAATAGCTGTTTTGTTCACTAAAAATGTCTTTCAATTTAACCTGCGTCTATCAGACTCTCCTGAAATCCAGAGAACGTATTGGAGGAGAGGGAACGCAGGTGGAGGAAAGGGTATTCCCAACAGAGTCCCTAAATGCCATAGGATAAATTCTCAGCTGCTGTGAAACTGGCATTGTGTCGCCTCAGTGAATAATACAGCACTGCTTTAAGCAGCAAAAGATCCGAATCCAAAGCGATAGAACAAAGAACAAATCTTTCAGTAGTAGATAAAGATTTTGTTCTTTATAAGAACGCTGAGCATTGTCATCTCCTGGGACTGAGTGTGAGCTCCCGAACTGAACAAAACTCCCACTGAAGTTGCATTGAAAGACTCAAATCTGTTCTTGGACTCTCACCACCTCAGGCAACCAGCGCCCAGCACGAGGAAATGAATGAGGAAAAGCTGGCCCCTCATTCATTTCCACTGTTGCCTGGAGGGCCAGTGAACTCTCTCTGTTCACAATTTGGATAGTAAAAAGCAAGAGACAGAGCTGTTGCTGCAGAGGCGTCTCAATCGCTGACTTTCCCCTCTGTTCTGTCTGCTAGGTTAGGCTCCAGCATCCAGTTCACCTGTAACGAGGGCTACGATTTACAGGGATCCAAAAGCATCACCTGTAAGAGAGTGAGCGACATCATTGTTGCCTGGAGTGACCACAGGCCAGTGTGCAGAGGTAAGAAGGCAAAGTTGTTTTTCACTGAGTGATGAGGACTAATGAGAAAACCCACCACGTCACGTTCATGCATCACCCGTTCTGTCCTTAAGTTTGTCCCCACTTGGTTGCTGCCTGTTGCCTTTTCCTTTTGGCTTAGAGCTCTGCTTCTCAAAGCAGTGTTTAACTGGAGGCTGCCCTATGGAAGACCATCTCTGGTTCCTCTCAGAGGCAGCTTCGTACAACCCCTGTTGTTTAACTTCTACTTGGTTCAGTCTTTCCTTCCCTTTCAAAGACAATTATGTTGTCAGGCAGTCCTAGAACAGTTCAAACCTTTGCTGAACATTATATGCTGTTTTCAAAACCCTCACTCACACAGGAGGTGCAGCCAGGAGAGCAACCTCAGTGCTCTCAAGCTGTTTTCAGACATCAGCTCTGTGCTGCTGGTTGGTCTGCACTGCACTGTGAGCATTTGTGCTCTTGGCAATGGGGGTTTGGTCTTGCCAGCAGTAGGACCTCATACTTTTCCAGTGGAATGGAATTAACAAAACTAATTCTGTTCACTGTGGAGCCTCATTAGCTTTCTGCCCCTTTTTGTTTGCTCCACCCCCGATATTTCCCCTTAACGTTTAAGGAGGAGAGGACACGAGGTGGAGGTCTGGAAGCCAGCATCAAACTGGTCACCTTTTGGCCTCACTGAGAGCCATCAGCAAATGGAGATTTGTTTCAGTGAAGAAATGAGAACTGGTGTCCATTTTGCCCTTGGCCATTCTGTTTTCTTTCACTCTATCCTTTCTCTGTATATAAAGTGGCATGCATAATTGTGCTGTTTGTAATGCTAATAATGAACTACTTGTAATATTTGAAGCTAAATCCATCTAAAGCTCTTAAAGTCATAAATTGGTATTTTTTCACCTCTTTTTTCTTTAATTTCATCTGCAGAGGTTTTCAAGGCTTTGGAATCCCATCTAATTCTTGAAACAAGCGTAGAATAAATTGAATCAGTGTAAGAGGATATTTGGCATAAATATGTGACACTATAAAGGAAATTTATGGTGTCCTCTCGCAAGAGATAAGAAAGGATTTGCCTGCGTTATTAGGATTCTATGAATCAACTTAATTTTTTTCCTACCACTAACTTCTGGGTTGTTTCTTTTCTTCGTAAAAAGTTTCCCTCTTGTTTTTTATTTCAGTTCTAAAGCACTTTTTCTGTTTTCATTTTGTTGCTGGATGACGGGTTTCTTTCAGCTTTCAGGGCACCTGATCAGCCAGTTCAGATCCATTGGACTCTGCCATCTTCTGATGCGTGGTAATGGAGCATCTTGCCACTGGGTTGGAGGCTGCATTTCAGCTTCCCCATCTGCAGCAGGCTCCCTATGGGTCCCAGGGAGCGTCTCTTAATCTTTTTTGTGCTCCTGTTGCCCACTCTTAAAATGGGAATAAGAAGGCTTAACTACTCTCTGTAGGATAGGAAGGGTAGGTGTAATGGCTGCCAGGGGCTGGGTCACACGTGCAGAATGCAGATCTGCCATGTGGTCAAACAATTCAACCAGGACATCATTCTCCATGATTCGCTGTTGTCTAGGGATGGAAAAGCCTTGCGGATGCCTTATTTGCAAGTATGACTCCTTTGAAACTTGAGAGATGAATTTTGAGGATCCATTACAACAGCAGATGCAGTTACAAAACTAAGATGCTGTTCTTCACATTTTCTGATTAAATATTGCATCAAAGGAACACCACAAGCAAAAAATTCCCCCTTAAGCACTTTTCAGCTTTTACTTTACCTAAGATGTTTTTGAGATGAGTTGCCATCGTCGTTCTTTGAGCCAGCAGTTGTATCAGAATGAAGTCAGCCCTCACCTAATGAATTTTTGATGTGCAAGATTTTTTTTAGGCTTGCAAGGAGGAAAGGAAATGTAACTTTCCTGGAACATGAAAAAGGAACTGCATATTCCATGTGGTTGCTTTCATTGTCCTGGATGTGAAAATATTTCTTCGAGGGCTTTAATATAATAAGAAAATACTAAATCAGTGTGAGAGAGAGGAATGCGTTGGTCTGGTGGTCCATCTCTTTGGTAGCTCCTGAAAACACCCCACTCATCCCATCATCACAGATAAATGCATCTTCTCTGATGTTACATGGAAGACAGTGACAGTTTTGGCTAGTGAACAACCCAGCAACAATATTTCATTCTCCCACGCCTTCATACTGCTGTGCATCTCCAGTCTCTACGCAAGGAGCACAGCGTTCATCTCCAGGCCAACACATCTCCCTCACACGTCTGCCTTGCTTTTCTGTTCACAGCACGGATGTGTGACATGTACCTCCGTGGCCCCAGCGGTGTGATAACATCTCCCAACTACCCCGTCCAGTACGATAACAATGCCTACTGCGTGTGGGTCATCACTGCGCTCAACCCAGCCAAGGTAGGTCTTGGAGATGCATTTTTTTTGTTGCCTTCACTGAAGCAGTGTGGAGCTGTGCTTCTTCACAGCACTGTGCTCTGGCATTTTAGCCCTTCAGGGTTCTGTTTCTGAAGTCATACCCCCCCGATCTCCACGGGCTTCTCACATCCCCAACCGTCGTTATAGACTATGACGTGTCATATTCTGTCAGTGCTGAAGAATCAGTTTATTAAAGGGTGTAATTAAAAGAGAATGTAATTATTTTTAATCGAAATCTCTTTGATATCTTGGTGAGAATGGTGGTGAAACACCGAACAGCTTAGCAAAGCATCTCCCTAAGCCAGTGCTCAGCTGTGCCAGAAACCCTCATTTCTCATCACTTCTTTCTGGATGATAGCTGTCCCATAAACAATGGGGATTTCAGCCCTCAAACAAGTATTTCTCTTCACTGCTATCTAAACAGTATTTAAAGTTAATACAGAAGTCCTTTCCGTCGTGTTTGGAGCAGTGGATGTTGGTAGCGATGTTTGTTTTTCCCTTTTGGTCAACTTGTACAGTTTGGAAGCGTTCAGATTCAGTGTCACTGATCCATCCAAGGCTGAGGCCTTTTCCATTTTCCGCTGGCACAGGAAAACAAGGCTCAGAGCCTCTTATCTCTTCTCCCCTCCTTGCAAACTCTGCCTGCTCCTCTCCTCCAGATCTGTATGGGAAATAAAAACAAAAAGGACTCTGTTGCTGTGTAGCTCAAAATACCCCGAGGTATTCAGCACTTCTGCTCTTGAAAGAAAACAGTTTTTATTCTTCTCCGTGCCTGGATTCCTCCTAACATAATTTTCATTAGTTCAGGAGCAAGCCTTGCATTCCAAGGCACTGAGCTCATGTGCTTATCCAGTCAATTATTTCTTGGGCCTTGCCTCCAGACAGCCTTGCATTCTGGCACTCGGCCTTATGCTGCTGATCCAAGGAAGTCATTTTGCAGACATGATGGTGTCCCAGGATCTCATCGTTCACAAGAAGTTGTTCCAGTCTGTAGGAATGCTGGCAGCCATCCACACTGCAGCCTGCTTTCTGCAGGGATGGGGTGGCACTGTGTGCGCTCACCTGCGGCGCTCAGCTGAGTTCTGCTGCTTTCTCCCCATTGACCTCAGTGTGAAGCCTTTAATAAGTAGACATCGTTGGTGGATTGCAGTTCTAATGAGGGGTATTCCTATGTTCCAATTGCAGAATGAGTTTGTAGTTAAAGGGCTGTCATTAGCAGGTTTGGCTGCACAGGAGCCTCGTAATGACCCAAATTCTGGGAAACTGGATTGTGAAATCAGGGTATTGTTCCAGTACTCATTTATTAGGAGTGATCTGCTGGTTTATCAGACCCTGGAGGTTCTCCTTTGTCAAGGTAATGTGCAACTGGAGAGCAGATGACATGGAACTGCAGCCATTGCTGCTCACGTCTCAGCTGTGTCTCAGTCTGTGTCCTGCTGACCCTCAGATGTGTGTTGCCTATGTATGGACAGGCTGTTGAGTACATCAGCTTTTTAGGCTGTGATGTATCTATTATATCTCCTTCTTTTTGTACATCTTTGTCTTTCAAATATGAACAAAATCCCAATTTCTTGGATAAAATAATCCTGGCTTTAGAAAGAAATGGTGCTGAGTTAATCATGGATATTCCCTGGGTTTTGGGCAGGCTGCCTCTACCGCTTAGGAGGGAGGAAAAGGCAATTAAACACCAATAAATGATTACAGGCCACTCTGACAGGTTTTTTTGACCCTTTTTCACATTGCTTTAGGGTTGAGTTTTTGGAATCTAATGTTCAGTTCTGTTCATTTTCTGGCTTTTGTGCCAGCCTCGTGCCTAGCCCAGATGGTAGCAGCAAACTTTCTCTGCTTCTTCAGCAGTGCCATAGGACAAACTTCTCCTTCTGGAAGCTTCCTGGGCATGCTGTCTCATTTTTCAGAAACTCACTTTCTTTTTTTAATTCCTAGAGTCTGAGTTTCTCCTCTTCCCCTGGTTAGATTCTTTAGGAGCTTTTAAAGCTGTTTGGTCATAAGCTGTTGGGAGCGAAACCAAATCTGTTCCTTAGCTTTTGTACATCACAAAGGGAACTGAAATTGTCAAAATCCATTCCTTTCAGTACGTAATAACTCAGCAGAGGTTGACTGGAACTTCTGCTCCATGCTACAGCATGCCCTGTATGGAGGTGTAACACAACAGAAATAAGAAGGATAGATTGATAAATCAGCAGTTTGTGTTACCTGTCTGAGAAAAGACGGCTGGTTTCCTTTTGTTTGAAGTGATAAATAGTTAATTAGCAACATCAGCTTATGAAGGGTTTCTGAGAGAATTTGTTTGTTGAGCGTTTCATCCTGGAAGCGCGATTTACAGGTAGGGAACATCTCAGTCTCTTTGAAGCGAAGGCTGAGAGAAATGCAGTGACTGTTTTGGGAAAGGCACTGGTGTGCATGCGTGTTCATTGCACAGTGCTTTGCATGCTCACATTACTTGGAGCTGTAGAAAACTGCACAGAATCACAGAATCACCCGGGTTGGAAGGGACCTCAAGGATCATGTAGTTCCAACCCCCCTGCCTATCAGGGCCACAAAACACACACATTCAGATCAGGTTGCCCAGGACCCCGTCCAACCTGGCCTTGAACACGTCCAAGGACGGGGCATCCACAACCTCCCTGCAGCTTGACAGCTCTCCTCTGCATGTCTGTGTGAGCCCAGGCAAGGCACTGGAGTAAATGGGAGACAGCAGCATGGAATCCATTGCTGTAAAAGTGTGTAAAGAGTTCATCAAGGCTCCAGATACCAAAACTGTGCAGAGAGGACCACGGGTCTCATGGGTCAATGTACAAAATGCCAAATCAGTTCAGCGGCACAGAGGCTCCTTTCATCCAAAAGCAATCCCTGGTGCTGGCCTTGGGGGCAGCTATGGCCACACGCTGCAAGGTGTGCACAGCTCCACGTAATGCTGTGTTCTAATGCCTGGTCAGTCCCTGCTATTCGTGCCTCACAAATCAACTAGTGCTGTTTGTTGGACGTTCCTGGGCGTGTCAAACTCTGACTTTAAGGCCCATGTTAGAAGCATGTTGCTAGATTGGCGAGCTCACCTCCCTGACTCACGTTGCTTTTGTGCAAAGGGGATGAATGATATCATCACTGTGGGGCCCCCAGCATGGGTGAGGGAGGAGTGGAAGATGAATTAATTAAAATGCCCATAAAATACTTTGAAGATTAAAGCATTCTGGGCCAGAGCTGAAGCCTGCTGAAGTCAGTGGTAATCTTTTCATTGACTTGAGTGGTCTTTGGATCGGGTCCTGTTCTATGGAGCTTTTAATACGAGCGATGGGAAAACCACTGAGCTGAATTTAGAACTCATTTGCAAGTCATCTGTTCTATATTTGGAAAAGAACTGTGAGCCAGATTCTCTGAGCTACATAATCCCCTCTAACTTTGCTCAAAAACCCACATAAACAGCATTAGGGGCACAGTGCTCTTCAGCTGACAACTCGGAATTATTTCCTATACAGGGGATGACATAGAAAAGCTATTTGGGGGAATATTGAGGGCTGACAGATTTTTTTTTCCCCCCCAGTCTTTGATGCCGTGGGAATTATTTTCAACCACACTGGAAAAATAAATCACTGGGGAACTGAGAAATGCATATGATAATTGGTGCATTTGCATCAAAACTATTTCTGAACCTTCTTGACATAACAAATGTCACTGGTTGGTATTTCTCCTGGGGTTGTTCTCACCTGGAGCCCAGCTTGCCAAATAAAGCTCTGTCCAAGCTCCTGTGTCATTGGTGGAGAGAGATGGGTCCCTCCAGGGGATGATTCATCACGATGAGGATGGATGCTGGAGACGGGGGAGGACGGGGGGAGAATGAGTAATGTGAGCTTGTAAAGCGTTTGAATATAACTGCAAGAGGTGCTGTGCTCCATGGAGAGAGCGACTGTGGGATTTTTTTTTCCTATGGATGTGACTGCATTTCAAATCACTTTGCAGTATGGGAAGCCTGAGAATCAGGTGTCTTTTGAAGCCTGTTTTCTCAACTTTGCTAATTGCTTCCTGTCACTTCACTAGCTTAAAATTGAGGTTTTGTGTCATCCGTGTGTTTGTATGTGCTGGTAGGTCTCTTGTTGTTTAATGAATCATTAAGTAATTTCCAGCCTATAGCCCAAATAGGAAAGGAAAATGGATAAATAAGTATTATATTCAGCGTCCTGCTCCGGAGCCACAAGGTTAGCCTTCAATATACTGGAATATAATTAGTTATTTAATTAGGGTCAGACTCCCTAGAATGCGGTTTACTTGAACGAGTGGTTTAACTAATGATGTGTGCTGTTTTACAGCCCTGTGTTCTTTGCATTAATTACATTATTCCATCATTACATGGCTTAATAATAATCTGCACACGTTAATATTTTGATACTACTGACTAAAATTAATGGTTCCAAACTTCTGTGAAGGACCACAAAGCCTCCTGTTCCAAGATCCTGCTACTTTTGGGTAATGTGCTTCAGACAAATACCACATTTGCTTTTCGTTTAAATAATAGTAATTGCATTTCTGTATAGAGGGTAATTGCATTTCTGTATAGAGGGTGGCAGCACCTGGCAGTTCAATTTGAACTCTGCACACACCCATTATTTTTTAAGAACCCTGAAGCTGTTTGGCATCTGATAAATTAATAGAAGTGGTTGAAATTGAGGAGCTCGCAACAGAAAAATGCTGTCATCTTCTTAGAGAGTATCTGCAGGCCTTGGAGAGAGCAGAGAGACGTGCTGGTGTTTAACAGAGCCCAGGTGATGGTTGCTTTGGGGTCTGATTGGGGTGGAATTGTGGTGGCAGCTGCAATTTCCTCTCCCCAGGCAGCAGGCACTGTGTGTGCACTGGGCTGAAGGTCCTCAGTGCTGCTTTGGTAACTTCATGTGTTAGGTACCAAAAGGTGGTGGGAAGCTGAATTTGGTCCTGGAAGCTGCTGAGAGTTGGGAAATGCAGTTTGTTTGTGGGCGAAGAGATGAGTGCATTCAGGTCTCTGTGCTTTCCTGGGTCTGTGTTTTCAGAGGCAGCTCCTGCTAAGGTCAGCTGGTGTTGTCCACAGATGTAAATTGTAAAGCAATTCTGTAAATGAAGCTCTCTGCCTTTTCTCTTTGTTCACTTTCTCCAAGGATGGATTTAAGGCCTCTCTCCCCAGTCTCCAAATGTAATTTTCAGTTATTTGCAAATAAAAGGTTTCAGGAGAGACTCGGAACTTGACATAGTGGGACCTCTGCTCCCAAACGGTGCATGCAGAGCTCCATGAATCCTGCCTTTTGTTGGGGTGGAAGGCTGGGACTGAGCTGGGGAGGGATGCACAGCTGTGGGCAGGCAGTGCATGGCAGCTTACAGGGCAGAAGGCAGTGGTCACAACGTGTTGCATGGATGGTGCTGACAGAACAGGAGCAAAAACTTCTTTTTTTTCTACTGTGGGAATGAAGGGGTCATCTAGAATATCAGTAGGTAAAGCAGGAAAACCTGATTGGTAACTTCAGTAAGAGCAACACTTGTGTGCTGAAAAAAGTGCCACAGGACTCTAAAAAGTGATGTCAGCATAGGTGATGTCCTGAAGACAGTAATGGTCTTACAAAGTGCTCCTCAATAGAGCAGCAGAATGAACAAGGTGGGAGGATCTGCTGGCTGCCTCGGCTGTTGGTCCTTATTAACACACTGCATCTTTGCCAGGTTATCAAACTGACCTTTGAAGAGTTTGAACTAGAAAGAGGATATGACACTCTGACAGTTGGTGATGGAGGACAAGTGGGAGACCAGAAGTCTGTGCTTTATGTGTAAGTACCACGTCCTTAACGTGTCTGAGTGCTGAGATTGAGCAGCTGTGGTTGGGTGAAGGAGCCTGATCTGCTTGCTGTTCCTCACTGCATATTTTATAAGCTGGTTTTCATTTTTGGTGGAGCTGACTGTCCGTGGTGTTTTCTTTTCTCATCACATTCTCTTAGGCTTCAGCTGACAGAAAGGCTTTTACCTCTTTGCTTCTCCTCTCTTGAATTCCCTTTGTCAGGACCCCATTGGGAGAAGCTGAGGCTTTCCAGGGAGCTGGGAGAACAGGATTAAAATTTGGATACCAAAGGAAATGCAAATCAAGCAGAAGCTGAAAACTTTGGACCTCTCTCCTGTGCTGCCTTTCTTGAGCAGCCATTTTTAAGAGTGCAGAGTGGCTGTGAGTGCAGTACCTTCGAGTCACAGCAGTTTGCACCCAGCGTGCAATTGTGTGAATGCTGATATGCAGGGAGAGGCTGAAAGCAGAGCAAATCATGGGGTGTGCAGGACAGTGCCAATGCAATCAGGTCTTGAGCGCATCTGAAAGCGTGGCTTCTTGTCCTGCCCAGGTGCTGTTGCCTCCACTGAGTAAAGACATGAGCCAGGGATGTTTGTCAAAGTCTTCAGTGTCTTTTCCCTATGAATCTGCATCCACTCTGCCTTCACCCCCCTTAATGTCTGCTGTCTTCCCGAAGTCTCCATTTCTCTGAGCTTCATTTTGCTGCACTTTTCAGGATGCGAACAGCAGTGATACTGAAATCACAAACTCCAACCTGTCACGTATAGAAATGTAAAGTCTGATTATGGCAAAAGTGTTTGTAATTAAAGTGTCACAGAACGTTTCACAGCTGATTGGTCCAAATGTGCAAATTACAGCTGAGGGAATCATTTGTAAGAACTTGCTGAAATGGCTTCTCACTCCCTCCCCTTTCTGTCTGCTGAGATCTATGGAAATTTCACTGGATTTTGTTCTGATTATTCCACGTATTCCATTTCACCTTTCCATGTATCCTCATGTATTCCATGCTTTTGGTTATTCCATGTGTCCTCACTCTGTATTAGGGATTCAGAGCTGTGCAAATGCAGGTGCAGAATCGCTGTGACTGACTGCAGGGTGTTGTGGTCTCTTCTCCCATTGCTGGGGAATGCTTCCCATTAAATTGCTGATGCTAATCCTAAAAGGGAATTTATTTATTCATTACCTGGGAGAAAAAGTTGAAAATCAATGAAGGAACCCCCATGCAGAAAGCCAACCCTGTTAAATATGAGAGTTCTTATTACTCATCATTTATTCGCTGCCGTTCAGGAGGAACTCAGTCCTGCACTTTGAAACCAAGAAATACGTTTGAGTCAAGTTTCATAGCACCAGACGTTACCCCAAACTGAGGTATAAAGGACCATTTGTTTTCAGTCTCACTCTCATGCCTGTAAAATGCATCTCAGAGAACATAACAGATTGTTAGGCTGAGCTTTCTGACTTGCAGTGAGGATTTTATTCCCCAAAGTAACAAGCACCCAGATCAATCATCCAGCTTGTTAAAGTGGAATGGGAAGGCATGCAAAAACTATTTTAAAAAAAACCCTTTTCTGAAGTTTTTTTTCTTGGTATGTTCCTTGTTCCTGTCTGTCTGCTGCTTAAATAACTTGAGAAAAATCAACAGTGGCACTTTTTCATCTTTTCCCATCCACATCAAACTCTCTGGATGAAAAACAGTAATTAAGAAAAGGTTACTTCTTCATTTACTAGCAGATACAGAATCCCTGTGACTGACTAGAATCAATAAAATGCCTGATGGAGCGCTGAGGAGTAACGGAGCAATAGATGGGTACAGATGTGGGTATGGGAGATGGATGCAGTTTCAGGGGGAAGCCCTGCAGGTTGCACAGCCAGAGTTGCAGAGGTGATGGTTTCAGGCATTGTAGTGGCTCCTATTGCTTACGTGAGTGATAAGAAAATCTGTAGGATGGGGGGGGGGAAATGCATTTGTATGGCATCGTTGGTCCCAGTTCTGATGCTAGGTGCCTGTGTGGGTATGGGAAAAAACCTGGACTCAGCAGGCAGCTGGTTTAAGGGTGTCAAGCAGGTGGAATAAATAGCACAGCCCTTCAAGCACTCGTTTTGCATCACTCTGAGCAAACTGTAACTGGCAGATCAGCCATACTGCCTCCAATTACCCAGGAAAGTGAGGATTGCCATAATTGTGCCTGGAGGTTGCAAGTTCCGTTTATTCACGAGATGCTATCAACACACAGCTGCTGGGTTCGTTCCCTTGCAGCTCTGGGTTGCAGTAATTCTGCTTTGAGAGCTTGGGGTTCCATTTTATCAAGTCTTTCAGGTGCTGCTGTCATACTTGAGAACGATGCCAGGCAGAGGCTGTATCTATACATATGTATGTGTTTACGTTTAAGCAAACACTACAGAAGAAACCACCTATCCATCCGCAGTAGTTACGCTTATGGTGACTTACAAATTGATCTCAGGTGGTACCTTAGCAGAAATAGTATAATAGCATTAAGCACTGCCACGAGGACAGACAGCACTCGTATTGCTGGAGTAACGATCCCTTCCCACGCACCGGGACTCTGCTTTCAGAAGCAGAGAGAAGGAGCTGTGCTCAAAGTGGGCATCTGTGCATGGAACTGCCTGCACGGGTGCTGTGTGGGTGGAGGATAAAGCTCTGAGGCTGTGTTGAACCACAACGAGGTGATTAATCCCAAAGGCTGAGCGAGCCAAACATGCCTCATTAATGCAGCTTTTATTGGCATTTTTCTTAATCTCATCACTCTCAGAGCAGCGTCCTTGTGGGGTGGGCTCTGCCCTGATCAGCCCACGCTGCTGGGATTAGTTGTGTTTTTCCAGGGGCTCATAGGATATTCAGCAGATTGGAGGCTCGTGCTTTGTCTTGCAGAGCTTTTCTGAGATCCTGGTGGAAATTTCTCTGTTGGGAAAGAGACGCAGCAGAGAACGTGCTGAAATTAACTTGGGAATACCAGAAAATATCTCTAAAAGGTCTTAAGAGGAGTCAGTCACCACTATGGTTTGTGGGAATTTTCTTTGCTCATGTTTTGCTTCAGTGAGAAAGGAAATGATTACTGTTGATGCTGGATAAATATATTGTAATGGTGGTACTAAACTGCAGTTACTAAAGCAGTGGTGATAATAACCTGCAGGCCCTCAACTCTGCTAAAGGACTCATTGCTGTATGTGGAATGCAGAAACCCACTGAGAGCATCATCTGCCTCGAAAATCTCTCGGGATTTGGGGCAGTGTTCTGTCTTGGGGGCTGTTCTTACTGTAGAGGCATCGTCCTGGTTGTATGCTGTCCCACAGTGGTGTAAGTGACCTGTATTTTGGTGAGAAAACTGAGGTTCAGGATGCATACAGACTGCTGACGTGTTTTATTTGTTTGTACAGCTTGACAGGCACCACAGTCCCCGACCTCATTGTCAGCACACAGCACCAGATGTGGCTCCTCTTCCAGACAGACAGTGTCAGTAACCTGCTGGGATTCAAAGCAACGTACGAAGGTAACTCAGGTGTCTCTCAGAATATAACTGTTTCTAAAAGGAGATGAGATGGGTTCAGCTGCTGGTGAGAAAGGAGCTTCTCCACATACTGAAGCTCTTCAGAATTTGCCTTAAAATTGAAGCTTTGCTCCAATAAGAACAGCTTCTGTGATTTCCATGAGAGCAGGCTGGATGGTTAATGTTTCATTGCCCTCTCATCTGCTTTTTTGGATGAGTTGGTGAGCTTCAGCTGAGTGATGACATCTGCAACAGACTGTGCAAGAATATGAGATGGAGTTATCAGTGGTTCCAGTAGATCAGCGGTCTGAGCTGCTAATCCAGAGTGTTACAAATGGAAGGAGAATTAATTCTGGGACTTTTATAAAGAAACCCTTCAAATGAATTAGGATGGGAATGCTGAACTCTGCCATAAGCTTCTATCATATCTGTTACAGGTATCTACAAAGTTAGAGAAAGTAAAAAGTACTCCTTAATTCTAACTGATGTAAGGGAACAGTGCTTCTAGCTGAAGCTTTGCCTGGGTCTCTGTTCAAGATGCTGCTGGATTTTGCAGAAATTCCCATCCTTTATGGTCTCACAGTGTGTGAACACGACGGAGCATCGGCTTCCTCTGATGGGTCCGAAGAACTTCTGTCTGATGGGCTCACACCCATCAGGGGAAGCTTGTTATCTATGATAAGCTTGTTGCCACGATGCAGCCTCCAGCACGGGAACACTTGCATCTTCTTTTTGGTTTTGTTGTTGTCTTGAATTCTTTTTCAAAGCGTTTTCAGTTTTGTCCCAAACCTGCTGATATCGGGGATGGCTTACTCAGCTCTGATGCCTAAAAGCAGGCTACAATCTTTATCTAGACATGGAGGCTGATGATGAAAGGTCTGAGTTGCAGCAGCTGATAGCAGCACTGAGGCTTATATCAAACTGTTTCTCTCAAGGGCCCTCAGTGCACATTAGTATTCATCCATATTTAAAATGTTTCCCTTGGACTTACTGTGTTTCAGGGAAGTGTCATATTGTGCTGGGCCAGGAGCCGACCCTCCTAGTGCTGCTGATTGATACTAAAGCAGCATCAGTTAGGAGCCTGAAGGGACCTGACCTACTAGAAAACCTGGTCAGACCAAATGCCAGCATGACCAGCAGGCTGAGCAGTGCCTGGGAGGGGGACTGGGTCACAGTGCTCCACTATTTACAGGATTGCAAGACCAGGTCAGCAGAAAGTCATTAGAGACATCGATAAAAGACAGTGGAAATGAGGAAGGGAAAAAAAAAAAAGGCAAATCCAGCCTGGTTGTCCAGGGAGCATCGTAACGGTGCTGTTTCAGTCTTAGTGGCTGTGGTGGTACTGAAAGCACGCTTTCTGCAGTCACTGTGATGTCTATTTCTGCCACGTTTGTCAATGACTGATTTTTGGCTGCTGCACCTCCGCCTGCCTGCTGTGGAGGGGTGAAGGCACTCCCCAGCTTTGCTTTCAGATCTGATCTCATTTGTCAATCTCATCCCGAGGGCAATGTGGGCATATTCTTCTAGTCGTGTAAAGATTCGGGGCCTTGGTTTATGCTGTTCTTCTATGAGCTGTGGGTCTATAAGGAAGTTGACTTTTCCCCACTCTGGCTTGCTGAGATGTTATGGGTGGCTTCATCTGTAGATTGCTGTATTAGGAGCTGCTGCCTGCTCTTCAAATCCTTTCTCTTTTCCTGGGCATCTTTGCAGTCATTGTATAGCAGATTTGCGACCTTGCAAAATGGATTTCTGCATGAACAAAAATACAGTTGTGTGCCTGGCCCTGTCCTGAGGTTCAGTTGACCTCAGATCAGCCGACTCCATAAAATTCATTTTTGAAAGTGCTTTGAGTTGCAAAGCAAGATCCATTTAAGTAAGAGGCAATTAGCACTTGCCAAATACATTATGAAATTGTACCTAACTTACTAACAACTTTCAGTACCAGTTTTATAGGCACACTTCTTCCTAACTGCGAGAGGAAAATTACAGCTAATGGAGCAATATAAAGTCAGGACCAAAATCTGCCTCCTAGAAAAGCAGAGCATTGCTTGTAGAGTACATTTAAATAGCCATGCATCCTAAAACATGCAAGTTTTAGTGAACCTTTTAGGTATAATGCAATCATAAAGCCAGTTGCTAGGGCTGAAATGGTTACACCTAGGAGACTTATTGGTGCATGGATTTTAGGACCTGCTGGAAAGGACGTGCTCAGGAGGGCGATGTGCCATCAGATTTCTAATGTGGAGATCTGGGAGAGGGGGAACCTACCTGGGAATTTTGCTTCATCTGTGGGTAAAGGAAGAGTCATACAAACCATGAGATGTCTGGGTTCTGTTCTTTTCCAAATCTGCACTGCAAGATTGGATTCTTTTGGAACACATGTTCAGCTGGTGCAAATCGGTGTGACAGCATTGATTTTCAATTAAGCTGTGTCAGTCTTTACCAGCTGAGGATCTGGCTCATTAATGCTCATGAAGATTACTTCTAAATCTCCTATGTCTCAACCGCAGCCATGCTTATCCTTTTAAACAGACGTTCTCTCATAATAGTGAACAATGTTTTTGGACTTGCAGAGCTTGTCAGAGGAAATCTGGACTAAGCTCTACTTTGCTGCAAAATTCTTACCCTTCTCCTAACTGTAGCAGGCAGATTGGTGCTGCAATTTAGTGCTTGGCTTGTGAGAGAGCTTGCAGCCTCGTGGGGTCCCAGGTCTTCTCCCTTTAATCTAAGACAACTTCAGAGAATACCTTCCCCCTGGGGCAGGCTGCTGTTCCACAGCCATTGGCACAGTTCTCTGGGAGCTCCCAGGCCATCCCCCTCCTATAGCTTTCTTTAAGTCATTCCTCCAGGTAACGTGTTCCAAACTTGGTGAGAAATGTGGGGTTCATTGGGCAGGGTTCAGACTCCCATATAGATAAAGGTACTTCTGAAAATCCCAGGCCTTATCCTTTTGCCATTATTTTCCCCATTGGTGGAGTTGGAGGCGTGTGTGGGGTGCGATGCGTTTGTTCCTGGTGAGCTTGAGGTTGTTACAAGCAGTAGTGTCCAATAAAATCAGCAATCCAGAATTCACTGTCAGAAAAATATTAAAACGTGCAAAAGCAGGAAAAAGCAGCTGTTAATGTAATCATATATTTAAATTATTTCTATGTTTTTTAACATAAGGTGGCACTAATCTCAAATTAGAACTTCATTTACAGGCCCTCAGAAGCACGAATACGGTTTGGGTTTCAGCTGGCACTGGGTTAGTGTGGGTAGAGCTGGCTGAGGTCTGTGTTCTGAGGCAGCAGCGTGCTGCAGGCAGGGGATGATTAAACAGTATTTATTGTTGCTGGGATGCTGACAAAGTGCTTGGCTGTGGAGAGGACAGCTTTGCAGCTCAGACGGAGAACTGTGCTGCTAAGAGGCTTAGGAGCTGCAGCCTGAAGATCTCCTCTCCTGACCTTTCTGGTTTTAATCAAATTAGTGCTGCCCGAGGCATTGGGTCGGTGAGCTTTGCTGGGTTGCCACGTTTCTTTGTGCATATGCATTAGATGTAAATACAGAACTCTGGGTAGATGCTAGCAGATAAGCTGCTTACAAAGGTGTTGGCATGCACGTGTCCTTTCCTCTGTCCTCACACACAATTGCACCTTGCTGCTGGGTGGCTGCAGGTGTTTCACACCTCTGTGTATCTGTTCTTAGGTTCTGCATTGCCTTGCTTTAGGCTCGTGGTGAACTCAGGAAGCAGCGCTGGTTTCCCACTGCGTGTTTCCATTCAATATATTGACTCCTGCCATAAAACACTGCTGAGCTGGCTGATGTGAGGGCTTTTAGCTGATAGTGCATTGGCCTGAGCTGCTCCCCAGGTCACGTCCCTTGGACTTGAGTTTCACCTGAGTTCAGTGGATGGATCTGACATCGCACTGTGGGGTTTAATGAGCCTGGAGGGTCCATCTCTGCATTTCCCCTTCAACAGCAGCTTGGATGGGAGGGATGTGACAGAAATGCAGTAAGAAGAAAGGTGCTTTCCTTTCTGCTTTATCTTCTCCTTCTCATCCTGTTTCCTCATTAGAGCCTTTTTTCCTCGTGGCTGGAATCAACTCAAAGAGCTAGACAAGAGAAACTCCCTGCTTCCGGCTCATTAAAGATAGGTTCCTAACACTATTAGCTTTCATTAGTTTAAGCAAAGTTAATATAGATGCAAAACTGTGTGTATAAGACTAAGTATACTCTTAAGGGTTTTTCAGACCAGAGCTAATGTTTGTATGATTTCCTCAGGTATGTCTTCTGAGTGCTCACAAATCCCACATTATATGGATGGTGGTGACTCACTGGAACAGGCTGCCCAAGCAGGCTGTGGATGCCCCATCCCTGGAGGCACTCAAGGCCAGGCTGGATGTGGCTCTGGGCAGCCTGGTCTGCTGGTTGGTGACCTGCACACAGCAGAGGGTTGGAATGAGATGATCATTGTGGTCCTATTCAACCCAGGCCGTTCTGTGATATGATTCTTTGATGTGTTTTTGCTAGTGCTGCATCTCCGAGATGCTCCAGTTCATGCAGAGCTGAGTCAGGAAGGAGCAGAGATGCTGAGCCCCCTTAGAAAGGATGAGATGTGGAGTTCTGCAGTGTGTCCAGTGCTGCCAAATGGAACGTTGGCTGTGGGACAGCATTGCCCACACTGCTGAGGTTGCCACTCAGGGTCCCCCACCACTGTGGGCTGCTCAGTGCTGAGCAAAGCACCCACCCCCAGCACGCACAGCCCAGAGAGCAGCTGGGAAATTCCTGCTGAACCAATTTCTGATAGAAACGACTGTTTTGTCAAAAACCCATCCGCACAATGTAATATTTGAGAGAGGATTTTGAAAGATTCATTTCAACTTGTTTCATTTAAACAGTGTCAAAACACTTGATTTGGATGTTCTTGTTTGGTTTTGACTTCTATTATTCTAGTGGGGAAACGACTGTACTTAAACATTCTTCAGGTGAAACATTTCAGTCTTACCAAAGTAACATGTTTTGATATTTCTGAATCACTCATTTTTGGAATTTCAGCTCTGCCAAATATCTCATGAATTTTATGATGTATGAAAAGAAATGTAGGAAGCGGGGAATTTGCTCAGAGCAGAGATGCCGTTTCCAGACTTCTGTGTGTAAGGAACGGGGCTGGCTCTGTTTGCATGCTGCTGACAGTGAGATCACACATGTGGTGAAACACGTTGGTGTGATTCTTTGTGTCTCTGCCATTCTTACATTGGTGCTTTCTCTCTCTGTAGTTGCTCAGATGGGTTTGCAGAGCAGCACCCATTCAATCAGCACCTCGAGAGCACCCCTGTTACCTTTATTCTTTCTCAGCAGAGGCTCAAAAGGGAGTTATTTTCTTTCTCTGCTTGGCTGCATTTTTTTTCTGATTACCTGCTAGCCAGAGCATGTCCTGATCTTACAAAGGCACTGAGTGTGCTGGACACTTGGAGCTCTGCTTGTTGCCCTCTGTGGTGGCTGGAGCTTCATAGCACAGCACATCTCTGCACAGCCTCTCACTGCAGTTCCTATAGCCGCTGCAGAGTAGGAGTTTGGGTCTGAACTCAGGTCTGGGATGGCCCCTCACCCTTGGGAGTGCAGTAGCAGAGCTCTGCAGGCTTTGTGGGTCAGGGCTCTGTGCAGCCAGGGTGGTGCATCCCCAGCAGCAGGGTCCCATGGGGGGAAGGAGCCTGCAGGGTCCCAGTGCTGCCGCCTCTCAGCGCTGCAAGGGGTGAGAAGGAATGGCACAACAAAAATTCATTTCTAAGGGCTGTTGAGTTCTGGCAGAAGAAGTTATCATCTTCCTGCGTCTGTTTCAGGTCACGGCAGTGCATGTTTAAATATGCATTCCGCCCTTCAATCTTGTTACCATTTCATGACTTTTGAAGCTCGGCTTTCTTCCCACGATTTACACTTTCTTCTGCTTTTTTATTTTGTAGAGTAGTGTACAGTTCAGTAGTTCAGTGCTGCTTTACCATCTGAACTGCTGTACCTTTCGTCCCTCATGCGCAGTGCAGACCTGCAGCATTCAGATATTCAGAGCCCCCAGGAGGATGCACAAATCCCAGCAAACTGTTTCCAGTGACAGGCGAAAGAAGAATCCCACTTCACACCAACTTTTCTATTAATATTAATTTATGTTAAATTATTTTGGGGATGCTTCATTACCTGGCAGTGACTTCTAGTTCAGGATGCACGCAGCGGTAGCAGAAGCGAGGTGCCTCGTCGTGACTTCTATTCATAATACACCTGTATCTAAGTTGCCTCAAGTCAGCATAATAATGAGGTCGTTGTTGTTATTCAAACCAAATTGGAATATTAGATGGAGTCATGCAAATCTGGGATTATGCGATTTTCTTCTGTAAAGAAAATGTCATAAAAGAAGTTTCCAATTTGGTGTAAGAAATTGAAAACGGGGAGAGAAGACAGCGAGGCTGATCATAGATGATGGGGACAGAAAGCAGGGGAGGCTGTAAGGAGAGATGAATGTGAGGCAGATGAATAATGCTGAGCAGTGAGATGACTGCGAGGCAATGAGGAGCTGTCGGTGTTGGTGATGCGGAGCAGGGGGCCCTTTTGAAATGAAATCATAAGGAGCAGCAGATAACAGCGAGTTGTGCCCGTGCTTACATGAAGTCCCACTATGCACACAGAGAAGGATGAGCAGTGTGCACACAGGAAGGCATCAGCTGTCAGCTCGGGACCACACGTGGAAATGGGATGGGAGGTGGTGGGGCTGGAGGGAGCAAACAGCAATGCTGCAGCACTGCGTGCCTTCGTGCTCATGGCCGAAGGCTGCAGGGTCTGCCCATGGTACGTGTGGTTTAACACGAGTCCTGGCAGCCAGGTTGCTGTGGCTGTGTTCTCTAGGGGCCTCACGATGGCTTTTCCAGGCACACGTGGGTGGACACACAGCGCTGCTTGGGGTCACAGCCATCCCCTCACTGCTTCTCTTGTCCTTTCTTTCAGAGATCGACCAGGGGAGCTGCGGGGATCCCGGCATTCCGGCCTACGGCAGAAGAGAAGGATCCACATTTCGCCACGGGGACAGTTTGAAGTTTGAGTGCCAGCCTGCCTTTGAGCTGAAGGGCCAGAAAACAATTACCTGCCAAAAGAGTAGCCAGTGGTCTGCTCAGAAACCTGTCTGTGTTTGTAAGTCAGTGAGAGGAGGCGGCTCTGAGATGCTTTCAGTGCGTGGTGAGGCGGTGATGTTGGTGCTGTGAGCCGTGCTGGGATGGCAGAGCTGCAGGCAGTCGTGGCTCAGTGCTCCCAGCAGGGCAGGGATTGGGGGCAGCACCCACAGGCACAGCCCTGTGCATCCGCTGCCCTCCCAGCATTTGCAGCTCGTTTCTGGAGAGGAAGAAGCACTTCTTGTAGCCGAGATGGGGCGTCAACAGCGAAATTTAAGATCTATTGAATTAAATTCTATTTCTGGCCGTTTAATTTTCTTTCGTTATATCTGATGATATTCAGGCTCCCTGCTGCTGGACCTCAATTTTTAATTTGTTGCATGAGTTCTCAGCAGAAGTAGGATATTATGCTCTCAGTAGTGACCAAGGGTAACATTTCCAGATGCAAATGGGTGTTATGTGCACAGTGCCCATTGGGTTTTAATGGGCTCGCATCCTTTGAAGATACACTGGGTAGTCTGCATTACTGTAGTGACTGAACCTTCACATTTTGTTTGAGCTTTACCAAAACTCACAAAAATAGCTGCATTTTCTGTGACTGATGACAAGCAAACTCTTTGTGTTTCATCTCTACTTACGTGGCTCTGCTGGATTGCGTTACTTTGAACAAATGCTGTGCTCTCATGGAGTGAGACTGAATCTAACCAAAAAACATAGGGAATGAAAATTCAACTGAGCAAGAGACAAAAGGACAGAAACGTGGCGAGAAGAAGGGTAGTGAGCAGAAATGTGAATTTTTAGAAGTGTGTTCACTATGCATGGAAATGCACCAGGATTAGAAATGCAGTGTAAAACGCTCATTTGTAGCATGGCAGAACATGATCTGTGCCAATGGTATCATACAGCCAATGGGGGGTGGAACTGTATTGCTGCAGAGGTGGATCTGGGTTCTTTGGGGGCTGCAGGGGCTCAGCATCCCCACTCTGGGCAGTTGTGGGCATCAGTTTTCAAGTGAGCGCCTTTCTTTGCAAACTGTGGTTGGACCTCTGAGTATTTCTGTACGTCTGTTTGGGGAAGGGAAGCAGTTACACTGGGGCTTTTACTTTTCCAGATGCCTTTCTTCCTTCGTGGTATTCTCATTAAGCAAAGCAGCTAGAGATGCTGATGAGGAAAATGGAATTTCCTGGGGTGTCTTAGAGGTGGGAGGTGTCAGGGCGTTGCTGTGCTTGGCTTCAGAAGGTTTTACTGCTTTCCCAGGAGATGAGTTCATAAAAACAGCTGGTGGTTTGGCTGAGGTTCCTGCTGATAGTTTGTGGTGAGAGCAAACCTGTTGTTCATACCGGGGGTGAGGTGATGTTCTCATGGTAGCAATAGGACAGACTTCCCAGCAAAGCAGGATCGTGTTTTTTCTGTAGATAGAAACTGAAAGAGGGCATCAAATCAAACTGCAGTTGCCAACAATCAGCAGCGTAATAAAGGCATACATTTTTTAGTTAAGAAACAGTCATTGCATTCTGTTCTCTGTGACCCTCAGAATACTGGATATCAGTGAATCAATGTGGCAACATGCAGGTCGTGGGGAAAGTATTCCATTGCTTTCTTACACCTTTGCTCCCCTGCCTTCGAATTTACTTATTCTAGATAGTGTCACACTGGTGTTCATGAATCAGAAGAGGTGGCACGACAAAATGTGTGTCCTGGCATGAAATCTGTAGTGGAATTAGTGACAACTCTCTGTAATGTTGGGAGACCATTAAGTGTATTGGGTATCAGGCAGGAAAATAAGGTAACCTGATTTATGTGCTGCTGGTTGGGATATGCAAACAATTCAGTGCTTCTGATACTGCCTGCAAACGCATGACAAATGCAGAAGATTAAACAGCATGCCACGGTGCATCCTGCTGTCCTGAGCAAGTGATTTGTGAGCAGACAATTTATTGTGGGGAGCTCATTTCCTGGGGCTGTGATGACAAAGCAACACAAACCATTTAAGTAATGCGTTGGCTTATTGTGACGAATTCTTAATTTGTGACTCTGTGCCTCTGTGATAACAGCACCTCCATCTTCATCCTCATTGCGTCCCTTAACTGCTCAGGATGAGTATGTGGGTCACTGGAAGAACCTTGCAAGACTCCTTGATGCAGGTCCTTTCCAACCCCTTACTAAGCAAGGAGTCCCTGCTGTGTGGGTTTGGATCAATGATCTGAGATAGTCAAATCACTGTGGTCTGAGAACTTCTGGCACCACATCTGTGGTGCTTCATCCATCCGTAGGTGCGCTCTGGATTCGGGCTCTGCTTCCTGTGGTTCTCTGGGTCGGTGCTGTGTGTGTACTGAAGACCTTTCCTTCTTTCTCTCTTTTTCCCTGTTCTGCACGTGTTCTATTGCTCAAATCAGGTTTGCAGTCCCTGCCTTTCTAAAATTACAGAGCTGTTCTGTCTACTGGGGCTCAGGCAGTTCTCATACCCCAGGGTAACCCAAGTCATTGCTTTCTTACTGAGCCACGTTTGGTTTTCTTGAAGTCGTGAGGGACAGCAAAATGGGCGTAGGAGGTGTCATGTGGATAAATGTTGCCTGTGGGAAATGGTTGCGCTGCTCAGATGAAGTTCCTGCTCTGATGATAGGAACTTGCAAGGGATGTAATATTCAAGCTGAAGTTTTCAGTTATGTGTGGCTGAGGAGGTTATAAAGTTTACAAATGGGGAACCAGCCCATAATTTCAGCTATTGGAAGAGCTGTGGGTTGTTCAGATCTTGCAGTGAGAATGATGATAGAAGTCAGGATTGATGCAGTCAGGAGCTGGGCGTTGTGATAGCAGCATAGCTTCCAAATAGTGGCTGCAATTGGTGTTTGAACCTCCTCATGTATAGCAGGGCAAAACTCATTTTCTGAATGTTATGTGAAATATTGCAGTGGAAAGCATTACTACAAAACATTTTATGTGACCAAAATCTGTTTCCTCACTAAAGAGAGGAAGAGCTGCCATCCCTGCTGCTCTTTGTCTCTCAGCTCTCCCCCTATGGACCCTCCAAGTGTTTTAAAGTTATGTAAAACACAGAGAAAGAAAACAGTGTGGATTATGATGGTGAGGTGTGGAGCAAACCTGGGGTGAAGGTCTCTGTAGTGAACCTAAGGGTGTTTGGTTAGTGTTGCTTTGGGGCTCTGTGAAGGCGGGGGGATAAATGTGTGTGTGTGTGTTTAAATGGAAGGCCATAGCTTGGGCTGTGCTGTTTCAAGCTGTTTTCACAGCTTTCTGAGGCTCTCTGACCATCCTGTAGCCCACAGTCCCATCCTTCACACAGAAGTGCTGTGCCAGCGCAGCCATCTCCAAAGGCAGTGGGAAGCTGTGCACTTTTCCAGGCTTTCCAAACATCTGATCCTTCAGTAGCAATATAAAATCTACTTCCTTAGCTGTTTTGCTGATCCTCTCTCAGTGTGTGATACCTGCTGCATAACCTGGACTCCTCTTTGCACAAAGCACAGGTTGCAGTTTGCAGCAGAGGAGCAAACCTTTGGTGTGTGCTGTCTGCTGTGAGCGTTTGGGTTTTGTCTGCAGAAATGCAAAGTGCCGTTGATGTTTTCCCAGCAGTGTTCTGAACAGAGCTGTGTCACTTCATATCACTTGGTAAGGTTTCCATTTAGCTCTAAATTAAATTGTCAATTGGCTGTTATTTTCTTTCTTTCTTTCTTTCTTTCTCTTTGTATTCTTTTCCTGCCCACCTTTGCAGTACCCTACGGTGCCATCTTCTTGTGAAGGGTAATTTGCAGAACAGTGTGTTTCAGGTTAGCAGTGCTAAAAGCATAGTTTGCCTTTTAAAAATAGTAGATTTTAACACTGAGAGCAGTTAACCCTTGGAGCAGTGCAGTGATGGGTTCTCCACCCCTGAGCGCTGAGTTGAGATGGGCGAATCCCTCCTGGATGCCCACAGGAAGGAAGAATTGCTTTGCAGTCTGTATTAAGGAGGTGGGTGGATAAGATGACCAGGATGGTTCTTTCATTGCCCAATTATTCTTTGATTTGAAATTCTAGAGAATTTTCTGTTAAAGGAATTGAGACTTTTTCATCCCAAAGGGAGGTTTCGTAGGCTGCTCCAAACTGTAGTGCAGGTTCCCATTCTTGCAGTGAAACCCAATGCAGTGTGCTTTCTTCATGTTTCAGTTCTGTTCTTAATTCCTCTTTATGCAGTGCTGCTGCAGTTGTTGCCTCACGATGTGCTCCACCCTCCTGCTGTAAGCAGGTTTTATTTCTCTGGCTAACATTGGGCTGTTTATCTGCGGGGAGATGCAGTTGCTCATAATGGCTTTTGGAAAAAGCGCAGGGGATGTTTTTATTTCCGAGCTGTTTTACCATGTATTTTTGTTTGCTTTTGTTTTTCTAATTGATGCTTTTATGAAGGACCCTGGTACAATGATCCTGAAATGATGAGGGATGCTCCAGTTGCCTCTGCCAGACGAGTTGGGAGAGGAGCTGCTGGGTCACCTCATCCTACCGTGATGTTTGCTCTCATTTCAGCAAAGCAGTGCCCTGGGTTTGTACAGCTCAGAACTCACCAGGGAAAGGTCCTGCTGCACACTGAGTTGGCTCATAGCTTTGCACAGATGTGCATCTTCTGGGATCCGTTAACGCCTTCTGCTCGCCATTAACCTCAGCTGGGTTCAAAGAAGCAAATCTGCTGAGATGCTCTGTATCTACAGCCGTTCCCCTGAGCCACTGAGACCCATTCTTTCTGCAGCAGTAGGTGAAGCAAATTAAATGAAAGTAGGATTACTGTGATCTCTGTATACATGAGGGATTTGTAGCTTTTGTTAAGAACCTTGTTTCACGTTTGCAGCCATGTAAGACCGTTCTGCTCTTAAAGTTAAGCAGGTCACGTTCCCTCAAAGTCCTGCTTCTGCACTGCAGGCCCAGTTTATCAAAGCACTGAGATTCAAATTCTTGCCTACGCGGACATATATGTTTAAGTGCTGTGCTGGACAGAAATGCACTTTAAGCACCTTAATTACAATGAATGGCATTGTTGTTGTCTCCAGCTCTCCCCATCCATTGTTTTGGTGTAGCCTATATGAGAATTTTCCTTTTCCCCTCTCTGTGACCTTATGAGGCTTTCCTTGGGAGCTCCTGCTTCTGCTCTTCCTGTAGAGTTGTGTCAGAGAAGCTGCATGTTTCCCACAGGACAGTGCTCGCTTCGGTTGTTCCGTTTCCATTGGAAAGCCAAGCTCTACCTGGGTCCAACCAGAGCCTGCCTTCTTCCGTGGTCACTGGGATCTGTTAGTGGCTGAAGAGCCAGAAGCACAAGCATCCTGCTGTGCCTGCCGCTCTGTGCGTTCTCCTGGTGTCTGGTAGGGACCTGGGGAGCTTTCTTTTGTGCTGCCATCCTGTTTTAGCAGCGACGCTCTGTGACGAGGCTGCTGCGTTTCTGTGCTTTCAGCCTGAAAGCTGAGCCTGCTGACTGCTGAGCTGGTGATGCTCCAGCAGCACAGCGGGCTCTCCAGCTGCAGCGGGATGCTGACAGCGCAGCAGCCTGCACATGGCAGAGCCTGGCCCCAGCTGTGCTCATCTCTCATCAGGAGGATGCACTTCATTGGGCCGTCTCCGTGCTTGTTGTTTTCCTGATGGAGCCAGTGGAGCTGTTGCCCTGATAAGGTTCCATGCTGGTGCAAATGAGCTGTCCTGTGCCAAGGCATCTGTCCATATTCCTGACTGCAGTTCACAGCGTGATGTATTGTCTTTCTTCACGTGAGTCTGAGTCTGAAATTACACTTACTGATTTTTATCAGCATGGAGGTCATCTTTATCTCCTTCTCCTTTTTCTCTACCCAGAAAACAGGGGTTACATGTGGGTTATGTTGCTGCCTTTAATTTACTCTGCAGAGAAGTTTCCTCGTGTCTGCCTTATTTGATGTTAGTATTTTACACGTGGGGTTGATGTTTGGGAAAGCTGCAGCGGGGAAGTTTCCAGTTTGCAGGTGGAGTTGATGTATGCATCTGTAAGGCTCACGGTGTTGCTTCCCACATAGCTCACTTTACAGTCTGTCACTGCTGTGCAGCCACCACCACCCGTGCTGCAGCTGCACACGTGCAGAGCCCTTGCTTGTCTTGCAGCAGCTGCCCTTCAGGCACTCTGTGTGCAGAGATGTGGGGTTTGTGGAGGCAGACCCACGTCCTGCAGGCAAACGGCGCAGCTTTCGTTGTTCCCAGCAACCTGGTCGCTGCTCCTGTGTCAATTGGGAAGAAATGACACCTGCTTTGGCATTGTAACTCCCTGCCACATTCACGTAGACTTCTGTGTGATCCATTTTAAGTGTGGTGATGATATTTTTCACATGTTCTGGTGCCCAGAGCCTGCTCATTTCTCTTGTGTTTCAGCATACCTGCTTTCCTGCCCTTGGCCAACGCACTGGCAGTGACAGCTCCTCCATCAGAGCGAGCTGGGGAGCTCGTTGCTCTGCAAAAACAGAAATGTTCTGGTTAATATTTGCTTCAGACGCTGTTTCCTCGCCTCCCACTGGCCCTGCTGGTGCCCTAGGGTTGAAGAAGGAGAATGCATTGTGATGCAGATGTGTTTACTGAGGGAGTAGCTACAGAGAAAGGAAAATGCAAAAAGTAAAGCACTTTGCTTCACAGCTGGAACCAGTGCCCTGAGCTTCCAGCCCTGTTAGCTATTGGGGACGTGTGCTTCTCAACGTGAGCCATCAGTTATTAACCAGGCTCCTGCTGAGGTCCTGTTTTTCCAGTCCATCATCAAGTTATGCCTCAAGGAGGGAGCTACTTAAAAACGAAACGCAAAGCAGAAAGTATGTTCCTGTCTTCAGGCTGTGTCCCAAGTGGTCACAGACTGTGGGAATGATATCCGAAAGCTGAGAGAGAAGTTGGGATTTTTGTACTGTTTCCATGGAGACTGAACTCATTACAGCGATTCCCTGCTTTGTTTTCAGCTCCTGAACCTGTTGCCTTTCCCCCTTCCATCCGCTGCAGGTGTGTGCTCTCCCCAGCATCAGCCCAGGGTTCTCATGGCAGGATGAGAGCAGCCATCAGCTTCTGAAGGCAGAGAGAAGCAAGTTGTGCTTAGAGTGACCAGACAGTGCAGAAATAGCTCCAGGCTGAAAGCACAGAAACAAGCAGCCGTGCTGGAGAATAATTGCCAGATAGGCTTTGTGTTGCACTGAGCATTGCTCATGGGACCGCGGGGCAGAGCCCTCCGGGCACAGCCATGCATCCCTTGGCTTTCACAACAAGAAACAGTGAGAGCTTCTTTGCTTTCTTACTGCTCTGAAGGAAGGCAGAATGTTGACAGTTTGCAGTGATGTGAATAAACACCTGACACTCATCCATTAATGATGTGGGTCTCATTGGCTTTCTTGGGCAGTCCGCTGTTTGAGTTCTGCCATGATTTATTCTGCTGTATTTAATAACAGCATTTTTCTAATTGCTTTTGCCTTACTTCCTCAGTAGCAGTAATTGATAAAGGTCAGGATAAATTTGAACCTACGCTGCGCACGTAATGAAATGTGCTCTCATAACATTTAAGAATAACGGTAATAAATATTAATTTAGATCTCTTCGCTCGAGGCCGCGGAGCCGCAGGTATTCCTCACTCAGTGCTGCTGACGGATGGGCTGTGGGCAGCACCGCTGACCTCTGTGTGTCTGTCAGGGCCCCACAGCTCCTGGTTGTCACAGATGCTCAGAGCAGCATGAGGCAGGTAATGCTCAGCTGCCTTCCACCTTTCCTGGCCGCTGTCATCTTTGTTCTGACGGCACTTCTCGGTGTCCTTGATGTCCTGTTTGACAGCTGCTGTGTCTGACTGGGTGGCAAAGCGTTTGGGTAAAGCAGGCAGGCTGAAGTGGGATTGCACCCCTCCATGCCAATGCCCTCCTCCCCTTTATTTCAAAGAAGAAACCTCTTCCTGAAATAAATCCGTGACGCCTTCGTGTTGCAGATAGCTTTGGTAACGAACCTTGTGCATTGGCCCTTAGGGCGAGCTGCCGTCAGGGCTGGTGGTCCTCCAGGGCTGAGTGCCCCCCAGCAGGAGTGGGATGTGGGGTCCCATGGGGTCCTGCCTCATCCCAGCTGCAGCTCAGCTCTCTGCCGCACTCAGTGCTGTGCAGAGCATCAGAAGTGTGACGTGCTTCCCTGCCGTGCAGGCGTGTGGGGCGTCGGGGCTGTTATTTTTTGAATCTGCCATTTTCTGTTATCTGACAGAGGTTAATTTTCTGTTCTTCTCTCTCTGCTCTTCTCTCTTTTGTCCACAAGTTCTTTGTTGTTATTTCCAAGCTCTGTGCCACAGCCGCAGCGCCGGCACTGCTGCTGGCACTGTGATGCTGCGCATCCCATGGATGCTGATTTACCACTTTGGACTTATAAACTTGCAGGAGAAACCTCACACCTGCGAGGAGCTCCTCCTGCTCACATCTTTGTGTGTGTGACTGCATTTATTTGCAGTAAGTTCTTGTTGGCAGATAATACGGAGCTTATGCTGACAGAATTATTTGACAGCATCCCTTGATATTTCAGCACAGAGCCAAAATCCTGAGGATATTTTGCAGTTTGTGTTCCCTTTAATCTGTTCCCTTTGTTGCTGAGAGCAGGAAATGGATTGTGTAGCTTTTAGCCTTGATAACGTCACGGTAACGTCCATCCTATTTGATCCGAAACCATTAAGCGCTGAAGGAAGATGGAGGGAAAATAAAAGAGGGAGGGTGAGCACTGAACCAAAGAATTGTATAAATGCCAAACTGAAACCAATCTTATCCTCCGTGCGATGTCCTTTTGCCAGGAATTAGTGAGATCTGTGTTCCAAGTAATGGGTTTTACCCCAAGGGTGTGTGGTAGGGGGAAGAAGATGAGCAAAGCGTACATATGTAAGGTATAAAGAACATGGAGTAGGGAAGTGCAGCCTTGGTTGTTCAAATTAATGGACCTTGTCATGCTGAAATACAGTATATATTGAAAACTCCTGGGACGTAAAGTTGTTTTTTCCATACGCACTCTTCCCCTCAACTTCAGTTTAAGACTGCTTTTAATGATTCCCATGGGAATGGCGGTCTGGTTGGATGCCTCCTTTTGGTGGCCCAGCAGAAGTCAGTGATTGGTTTGCAATGGGAAGGAGCTGCAGGTCAATGCTGGCCTTGGGCTGCCTGAGCTCCTGCGGCCAGGGCAGCACCTGCGGGTCCTGGGATGGCAGCTGCTGTCAGCTGTGCTGAGCTGTGCTCACAGCAGGAGCCACTGCTGCTTCTGAAGCTGATGTTCTCATTTGGCAGCGGCTGCAGTTCCACCCTGGATTCTCCAGGAGGATTTTCCGCTGGGATATGCAGGAGAATTCTCCTGCAAAATACCAAATCCCTGCTTTTCTGAGCGGCACTTCCTTTGTGGAGTAAAACCAACCCGTTGCATTGTGCGTGGCTCAACACCTGTGCAGACATCCAGGCAGTGCTGCACACATCAGCCCGGAACCAGGGACTGGGGGCCACCTTGAAGTCACTTCTTCCCCATGCAAATAAATCACTGACAAGCAGCAGTGAATGGAGCACTGAGCCCTTCCTTTGTGTAACCGCTCCTCAGGAGCCGTGTTGGGAGTTTGCAGGAATCACTGAGCTCGGGGGACACGCTGGGGAACATGACAGCAACGTGTGGGAGCATCGTGCTGCCCGAGTGATGCTGATTTCTCATTGCAGTTTCCTGCTTTTTCAATTTCACCACCCCGTCTGGGATCGTGCTGTCGCCGAATTATCCCGAAGAATACGGAAGCAGCTTGCACTGCGTTTGGTTGATCATAGCTAAACCTGAGAGCAGAATTCATTTGGCTTTCAATGATTTTGACGTGGAGCCTCAGTTTGATTTCCTAGCCGTGAAGGACGGCGGCACTGCAGAGTCTCCAGTGCTGGGCACCTTCTCAGGAAGCCAAATCCCCTCCTCGCTGACCAGCAGCGGCCACGTCGCCAGGCTGGAGTTCCAGACTGATCACTCCATGGAGAAGAGAGGCTTCAATATTACCTTCACCAGTAAGAACTCGATCCTTTGCTTTTCGTTTCAAGCTCCAAATTCTCATTGGGTGCCTATTGGCAAAAGCCTGACTGTACCAAAATCATTGGAAATCCAGAGTGAGGCTGAAAAGTGGGGATCGTGTCAGGTAACAGAGGGTTGGTTTCACGCTCAGAGCTGGTTGCACAAGTTTTGTCTGGCTGTGTTGTCCACCAGTAAATCGGGGTTATCTGTTCCATGGAGCATCCCATCAGCCTCCAGCTTGCCCTGTGCCAGGGGCTTTCTGCCTCCCCTCTGCATGCTGCTCACTGGATGGACAGCAGATGCATCTGTTGGGGCCCAGATGGCTGAGTCCATCCATCAGCACTGTCATCGTTTGCTGACTCCCTATGCAGGGCTCTGAACACCGAAGGAAACCTGTTGCTCTGTTATATTCTAAAGCATTGAAACTTCCTCAGGGACTTTTGGCTTCACTTAAGTCCAGTCTTCAAATCTCAGATGAATGCTACAGTAACTTTATCCTCGTATTGTCCTATAATTTCCTAAGGAGCATTGTTAAACCTATTCAGCAGAACTGATAAATGATTTTGTTATAATAGCCTTTAGTGGCACCACTAAATTAATAGCCTTTCCAGTTATGATTGCAAATCCTCTGTTTAAAAAAAAAATAATAATAATTCAGAGGTCTTAAGAAATCCTTGGCCACATGGAGGAGGCTGAGGGCTCATCAGATGGAATAGCATGGTGGGGCAGAGCTGCATACCCAGGATTGAGCCCTGGGTGCTGTGAAGTCAGGAGCTCTCCTATGGATGCTGGCAGTGCAGGAGGCAGTTTGGATCTGTCCGTACCCACACTGGGAGCTGTGGTTTTCCCTTGTATGAAGATGTTTTTAAGGTGGTCTGTTGTTTTTTTTGCTGTTGTAAATGACGCAGCTACACTTGGGTTTATGTCTTCTGACTGCTTGAGCTGCCAAAAGGGAACTGCTGAGCCTTTCTCAGGCACCTTGCTGTTCTTAGATAGGAGACAGGAGACAACATATTGCTACAAGTTCCAGGAGCACAAGACAGAGATTCAGCCCGTGTTTTCCCCTTCAGCAGTGTATAGTAACACGTTACTGTAAGGCAGAGGATGTTTTGTAGGGAATCCAGAACTGTGCTTGGCCAAATGCATTAAAGAAACGGATAGCATGTGGGTGTAATGAATCTGCAGGCTTTAATCTTTTATATGTTGTTCATCTCGGAAGACCACCTCTGAGCCTGCAAAGATATAGTACATAATTATGCACTTAATGGGAAGTTAAGGCTATGGGCTCATTCTCTGATTGGTTGGCTGGCCTGGCTTTAGCTGCAGGAAAAGGGCAGTCCTTTAACCAGAGCAATGTGTCTGTGCAATTCCGTCCTTAACTTTGCAACATGTAGAAAGGTAATGGCTTCGTGTCCTTGCTTTTATCCCAGTAATGATGACAAGGAAGGCTGGGGACCGTATGGCAGCAAATCACACAGTGTCCTTAATGGGTAACTCACATCCCATCTGTGTGGATGCACTGTCTGTGTAGATCATATGCACTGTGGTATTTTTAGAGCTTTTTTTTTCTTTTTAAATCTGTCTCTATTTTGAGTATTTTAGCATTTTCACATCGGAATGGTTGCTAAGATGGGATGGTTTGCACACTCATTTCTGGTCCCAGTTGCTGCACTGTGAGGCAACCAAGGGCAATATCACGTGCTAATTGCCACCACAGAAATGGTGTGGAAATATGAATTCTTCACTTGTGATCTGACCTGATTATTGTTACATCATTGCAGGGAAGCTCACTGTCCTCTCTTTGCCTCTCAGCATTTAGGCACAACGAGTGCCCAGACCCCGGTGTGCCTGTGAATGGGAAGCGCTTTGGGGACAGCCTGCAGCTCGGCAGCTCCGTGTCCTTCCTTTGTGATGAGGGCTTCATCAGAACCCACGGCTCAGAGACCATCACCTGCATCCTGAAGGAAGGGAACGTGGTCTGGAACAACGCCGTGCTCAGATGTGAAGGTAAACTTTAGAGCTGGAGGTGCTTCTAAGCCTCAGCTTCTCAGTCGTGGCCATGATTTTGTGCAGCTCTGTTGGGAACTGTCTGCACAGAAGAGTTTGCTTGGAAGGGAGAACCAGTCACACAACAACCAATGAGCTCTGAGCTCAGTAGTTCTAATTTGTTTGTTCTTGTTGCAAAATGAATGATGGAGATGATTTTATTTGCTCAGCTCGTCTTAAAACAGGTGCTTTTCTAATAACAATAATGGAAGGCTTTGATTTACCGATGACTGAAAACTTCCCTGCTCCTCTTGGCATGAAGGGAATTAAAGAACAGAGAATGGAAGACAGGTGGAGATACGTCTTCTGTCCTGATTTTTGGTGCATGTAAAATACATTATATAATATTTATGTAATGAAAGCAGCGAAAGGTGCAGATCTTCCCTGTGAGAAGTGAACTCATTGCTGCCATCATCCACACGCACACCTCCAGCGTGTCTCTTGCTGTGGTACATCAGTCCCTACTAATTGATTCTGGCAATCAGGAGCCATAAATTGTGTCTGCATCTCCTTGCCATTACTGCTGTGATAGCCAGTGCAGAAATGGGAGAAATGAAATGGTTGAATTAAAGGCTTTATTACAGACTTCTGAGCTTTTTCGGAGTCTTTTAAATCTTCCATTATAGAAAAGAAATGGAAAAAATAAAATTGCTCATTAGAGGTGAAAAGTCTTGTGTTGTCAGAGGAGTGATGCCCTGTGCTGGTATTTACAGCACTTTGAATAACAGAAGTGCTCTAATGCTGAGAAATCATTTTGGTAATTGGTCATGCATTGTTCAAATGGATGAGCAGCAGAAAGCACGCAGTCCTGTCCATTGTCTTGGAAACTGAAATAAGAGGCATTGATTGTGTTCAATAAATTTTATGGAGAGAGAAGCTGGACTTATTTTCTTGTATAATTTTTCTTTTACAAGCAGTTGACAATAAAATGTCTGTGGGTTTGATAGAGGGTGTCTTTTCCTATCACAAACAGGAGTATTTAAATCTATGTATCTCTGAGTGCAGCGGGGAAACATACATAAAGTAATGCATTCCCAATCAGTGTTTGTCTTTGAAGACTTTGAGAACATCAGACATCCTTATGCCATTAATTCTGCTTTTCTCTCTGTGGTCACAGCGTTGATCTCTTTCGCTCCCTCTTTGGTGTGCACTGAATTAAGTGTACATTTTAATCACCTTTTCAAACAAGGTATGGATCCAAAGTAACGTGTATGACTTGAATAATTGACGGCAAGGAAAGACCTAAGAGTTGAGTTGAAAGATGCATAGAAGTCTTGACAAGAAATTACATAGCTCTGGGGCGTCTCATTCAAAACTGATTGGTTTGGATCCAGTTGAGATCAGCTGGCTTTTATTTGGCATCCTTCAGGTCAGCAGTGATGGCTTTAGGCCCAGATTTCTGTGGGCATTTCGGATCCCATTGTGACACTTCATGGCCCTCGTGCAGAGCTCACCCTGGGGCGCACCTGTCTGTGCTGTTGCATTTTGTAGAGGACAATCCACAGCAACTTAAGGCTGTAGGATTTTGTTCCTCTGGTCCATCAGTGTCCTTTCTCGAGAAAAGACAATACTGTGCCTTCAGCTTCTGCTGCTGGCGCGAGGGAATTCAACGTGGAATAAATGCCACAGTCTTGTGATGTCCCTTGTGGCAGAAAAGACATGACTCAATTACCTGCAGATATGAAAGCCTTCCTGGCACCCGCAGCTGCTGAAATCCACACCGACCTTGCAGTTTCCTCGGGTTTATATCTAATGATGATTATTACACCCTGTCCACTCAGAGCTGCTGCACAAGGTCAGGTAGAGCTGCACTTCGTCAGCATGGACTTAAAAAGGCGATTTCTTGCAGTCTGCTTCTGGTTGGTTTTAACACCTGAGAAACAGCAGTGCATGAAAGCTATTGTGTGGCAGGGAGGTCCCTGTGATCCTGCAGCAGTTTCCGTGCTGTTTGTCACCTGAATGCATCCTTTCCTCATTGCAGCTCCATGCGGGGGCCACCTGACATCTCCCAGTGGCACCATCCTGTCCCCTGGCTGGCCTGGCTTCTACAAGGACTCCCTGAGCTGTGCATGGGTGATCGAGGCCCAGCCAGGCTACCCCATCAAGATCACATTCGACAGGTGGGCATTTCTCAGAGGTTACCCAATTATCCTACATCTGTATGCCTCCATGTTATCCTGTAGCCCGTGCTGCTTTCTCGTCGTTAGAGCACAATCAGAATTACAACAGAGCAGAACTAGCAGTGCTGTTGTTCTTTCCCACGGACATATTCTTCTGTCTCTTGCAGGTTTAAGACGGAGGTGAATTATGACACCCTGGAGGTGCGAGATGGCCGGTCCTACTCGTCGCCACTGATAGGTGTCTATGATGGGACTCAGGTGCCTCAGTTCCTCATCAGTACCAGCAACTACCTCTACCTCCTCTTCACCACTGACAAAAGCCACTCTGACATTGGCTTTCAGATCCGATATGAAAGTAAGTGCAAGTTGTTCACGTAATTGTGCCCTCTCCAGCAGCACAATGGACTCAATCAAAGACCCCTCGGACTTGCTTCTCCCCTTTGCCAGGCAGTTAGCACCACTGCCTTGATTTGAGAAGCCATTACAAGTCAAGCAGCACTTTCTGCTTTTCAACTATCTTGATTGATTAGAATTTTTTTTTTAATCTTTGTTTTAACATCTACAGAATGTTACTAGAAGGAAAACAGGGTGTATTTTGGAAAGAAGCAGAGCTCAGTTCCTCTGCCCATTTCATCCCCTTGCTTTGGGGATAATCAGCAGCACTCTGGAAGAGCTCATAGGAGTGAACCTTCCCCCCTATTAACAACTACGCCTTGGCTTTGTTTGCCACAGCTGTGAAGCTGCAGTCCGACCACTGCTTGGATCCTGGGATCCCCGTCAATGGGCAGCGCCATGGCAATGATTTCTATGTGGGAGCACTGGTGACATTCAGCTGTGACTCGGGCTACACCCTGAGTGACAGCGAAGCCCTGGAGTGTGAGCCAAACTTCCAGTGGAGCAGACCACTGCCAAGCTGTGAGGGTAAGGGGCACAGAAGAAAGCATCTGCAGGAGATGGCAAACACTGAACTGCAAAGGCAGTGCAGCAGTTGGGAAATTCGCAGTGATGTTTGATCTGTGTGCTGGGTTGGGCTTTGTTTGGACCTTCAGAAGAGCTGACTGTTTGTTGCCTTCTTTGCAGCTCTGTGTGGAGGTTACATTCGTGGTTCCAGTGGTACTATCTTATCCCCGGGCTTTCCTGATTTTTATCCAAATAACTTGAACTGCACGTGGACAATAGAAACATCGCATGGAAAAGGTGAGAGATTTTTAACTGACAGTGTTTTGGAGTTGGGCTTGGAACTGTTGGAGGATGGTCAGAAGGAGGCCAGTGCTCAATGTCTTTGTCTCCAAGGCAGTGCTGTTGTGTGTCCACGTGTTTGGCCAGTTGTCGTTCTTGCCACCACTCAAACATTGTGTCTGGACATGGCATAAAAATAAATTTTGTGGTCACATCTTTTATGCTCTTTGAAACAGAGAGGACTAAGAGAGAAAGGCAGTCCTGCCCTTGGCACTACTGCTGTAATTGGTACTCAGTCGTACTGTCACCCAGAATGTTCTTTGCTGTGTTGGAGCTGTATCTGTGTAACATTTTACAGATAGAGAAGTGTAGGTGCAAGGTAAATAATTTCCAAACATAGGACAGAATTCAGGCTGTCAGTTTCCAGGTGTGCCCTGGTTCTGCAGCTTCCATTTCTCCACCAGCTAGGACTGCTGGCAGCCTGGAGGCAATGCATGGGTCTATTCGGTCCAATTTCCTGCATGGCACAAGCCAATTTTGTGCCTTGGAAGAAAAATTCCAGGAAGTGCATCACTGAGAATTAGAGAAGAAATTCTGTGTGGAAAGAAGGGTGGTGTTTGTCTCATAGAATCATAGAACATGATGCCCACAAGGATCATTCATCGAGTCCAACTCTTGGACTCATCCGGCAGTCAGAATGTTCTTGGGGTAAGCACCCAGGGTACAGCCTTTATGTAACTTTATGCACTGTTATGTAACTGTCTCATACTGGATATCAGCACAACGGGAGCTATCATGAGCCAATTTTGCCATACCATTTGTATTACAGCAAATAAACTTGTCAATGAGCAGCACAGTGCATTAAGGGAACCATCACATGCTGTGAAAACTATTCAGTTGAGTAGCAGCAATCCACTCTTCATTAATCCACTCTGCCTTGGATTCAGCTGTGTGACGAGCACTGCATTATCCTGTTGCTAAGCTAAGCACAATGCAGCAAACTGACACTCTGTCATATAAGAAAGTGTAACTATGATGGCCTGTGCACCTTTTTTTTCTTTTTGGCTAATATCAGAAGAAAAGATCTTTTGATGAAAATAAGTAAGGCTTGAAGAACGGTGCGTTTTCAGATAGTGGGGGAATGCCCACACAAGTCTAGGAATTCTTCGTCCCCTGTGCAGCAGCACTGGAAACAGCACCTCCCATAGAGCAGTTTGGTGTCACTCAGTTCTGGATTGGCCAAAGAGCTCAGGCCTGGGTCTGACCATCCAATACTGGGCAGTGTTTGCCTCACTTAGAGAAAATCAGGCTCAGTTTTAGTTGTGTGAGCTTCGTGAAGGCACTGCTTGGGTGCAGGAAACCTCCATATGAAAGAGGTGAGGATGAGAGGAGAGGACGCACAAAGGATGCAGTGCAGTTATAATGAGGTGGCATGTGGGCAGGCTGCATACCAGCAGAACCTTCCTTCCAACTCATGTAGTTCAGGGGCTGCTTATTTACCTCTGCCGTGGAATAAGGAAAGGAGTCCATTCCTCTAAAGCTTTGTGAAACACAATGAAATGCCTTTACCTGGGCTGCCCCGGTGGAGGTGTGCATACATATGTGTGCATTTGTACACATTCTGTCTCCTGCAGTGGCATTCTGTTCTTCTTAATGATCAATTTGCCCAGCCATTGATATGCTCAGCTGCTGCATTGCTTCTCCCAGCCCTCCTCAGCATTCCTGCAGTGTTTCTGCTCATTCCTCCAGTACGTCCACGGAATGATCCCAAGTCAGGGCAGCATCCACTGGAATTGAATGAATTTAGTTGCTGAAGAACAGAATGGGCTTTAAAAATGTGTTAAAAAAGCACAACCAAAAGCCCAATCTTGGCTGACTTCATCTGCAGTGCAATTGCCAAATCTTCACAGTGTGCTTTGGCCTTGGCCTTCAGTTCCCTGTTCTTGGATACCACGGGGGCAGTCAGAGGAGATCGGGGTAAATCTGGTACTGGTTCAGCCTAGGATTGTTAACAGTTCTGCTCTGGCAGCTCTAACAGGCAGGGGAGGTGTTTGCATCACCCATTGCCGTTGTCCTTCACTCTTCTTGCTGTGGTTGTGAGTTCCCTTCTCCCATAACATGGCTGAGTAGAGTTGGGGTTTTGCTTTGGCCATTCCTGGTGGAACCAACTGCACCATAAAAGCTGACCTCAGGTTACTCTCAGGTCTTGATGAGCTTCTTGCAGGTGGGCAGCACACGAATCCCCTGATGGAAGCACATTCATTGTTGTAATAGTTGTTTTTATGTGGCTGCAGACAGATTGACTTTATGGACTCGTGGGCTGTATAATTTAAGTTTAAAAGCAGCTTAATTTTAAAGATGTTTACATGCTTAAAAAGAGACTATTATTTTTCATCTTAGAATTTCAAAGTGATTTCTTTTCCCTATAATTTTTGTTGTTTCTTTTCCTGAGAATGGGCAAAAAAACCCCCTGCATTTACAGAGACATTTTGTGCCACGGTAAATTGCAGACCAGTGCAAAAATTTGATCAGGGTGGCAGACTCTTTAAAATGGTTTTGTAATTAGCCCTTTTGGCTGCAGTTACCCAGCCCTTGGTGGGCTCTGCTGCTGGAGAGCCCCATGTGTGCGGTTGGCTTCGTTATCTCTGAAGCCCTGAAATTGGGAGCTGTTCTCCCAACCCCAGGCACTGAGCTCTGGTGATGCTGGGGGGTGTGATATTTCTCTTCCTTAGATTGGGTTTTGTAAAGGCAAGGGTATAAATCTACTGTCAGTTGATAAACAAGAAACGCTTACAGCATTTTGTATTCCCTGCATCTCACCGAGATTTCACGCCAAAGCAGTTCATATCAGCTTTGAATCAATTGTACTGCTGGTACGGATAATAAACGTTTGGGAACGTTTCAAAGTTCCCTGCCTTTATGGAGTTCCACAGAGGGGAACAGATGAAGTAAACATTTTCTGCCGGGCTCCAGATAATGCTTACAAGGGATGTGCTGCTATGGAGATGTTACAGGGCTGAGGTTCCCGTGAACCCTGCACCTTCCCAGCCACGGCCATGGGGAGGGGTTGTGTTGGTCACCCACCTCTGAGTCCTTCTATCCTGGGAAGGAAATTGCTTGCAGTCCAAGAAATTGGATAGACGTAGGGACGTGTGGAATGTTAAGTTATCATTGGATGCTGACAAAAATTCTGCTGGGATGAATATTAAAGCTCATGCTCCAGAGCTTTAATCAGTCTCTGGGTTGGTCGCATCCCGATCTCCCAAATTAATGGGGAATGGGGAGCAAGGAGGAGATAATTCCTCTGATCCTTATTTACAGATTTCCTGCAAGCAGCTGATGCTATGCTTTGTCAGAGAAGGGATGCAGAGTCAGACAGCCCTCGGGTCTCCCCAGGTTGGCCGTCTCTGTGCTGTTAATCATTGGCTTTAATGTAAGAACTTGGTCGTGGCACTGGGCGCTCCCGATGTGAGGAGCGGCGATCAGCTGTGACTGATGGAGAGCAGATGACAGCACCTGTGTGTGCATGCAGGAGCCTCGTAAATCCCCGCTGGGTTCAGGGTTTGTGAGGAACTGTGAGGGCCATTGCTGCTCTGTATACCTTGAGGTGTTGATGTTGCAGTGTTGGCATAGAGGGGGACAAAAGCCATGTGTGCATGAGGAACGTGGGCTTGTCTGTGAGTGATCTCCTGGTGTCCTGCAGGGACCATCCCACCATAGGAAGGTGCAGGAGGTCTCTGCAGTAGCACTGCTGGCAGAGATACCTTCTGGAGGGACCTTCCTGACCTTTGGTGTTGCCTTAAGTCCTGTTTTCTAGGTATGAATACCTTCCAGAACACGCTTTGTTATTTTCAAGTCCTCACAGCTACAGCTCTTACTTTCCTTGCTGCCCACCTGAAGGTCAGCACAGCGAAAACAAAGCACTCGGAGCTGCCGGGCTCCATCCTTGCTGCTGCAGATCCATCCTCAGGTGAGCTGTGCTGCCTGTTGCAGAGTTCCAGAGGCACAGGAATGGAAGACCCCGACTGCCTCGCTCTGCTCTGGGCCCTGGGTACTTTTCTAACATAAACGTGCCCTCTCTTTTCAGTACGGTTTTTCTTTTCCATCGGGCTGCTCTTAGTGGAAAACAGGCAAAAAGAGCCCGGTGTCATCGCAGGGAGCTCAGCGGGCTTTGGTTCGAGGTGCTGCTGGTTCTCTCCTGCAGGTGTGTTCTTCACCTTTCATACCTTCCACCTGGAGAATGGCCATGATTACCTCCTCATCACCGAGAACTCCAGCTTTGCACAGCCCCTGAAGCAGCTCACCGGCTCCCGCCTGCCCGCCCCGCTCAGCGCAGGGCTCTTTGGGAACTTCTCTGCACAAATCCGCTTCATCTCAGACTTCTCCATGTCCTATGAGGGCTTCAACATCACCTTCTCAGGTAAGAACAGAGGTGGACAGACTTCATTCTTTCCCTTTTCTTTATACTTCAGTGCACATCTTGGGAATAGGTTCCCGTTGATTCATGCGGTTGCAGTTCTTGGAACTGGATGCCCAAAGAGGCTGTGGGTGCCCCGTCCCTGGAGGTGCTCATGGCCCTGGATGTGCCCTGGGCAGCCATCCCATAGCAGGGCTCTGCCTTCCAACCCAACCCTTCTGTGGTTGTATTCAGTTCTTCCACTGATAAATTGTGCCAGCATTGAACTGTGTGTCCCAGGAAATATTCTCTTTACAGCCCTTTATGTCCATATGCAGCAGTTTTGTGCTCCATGAGCCTCCATGGTGACTGATTGGACCCCCTGGAATTATATCCCATTGTAAAGCCCAATGACTTTTCCTTCTCTGTTTATGGGTGGAGTTTCAGCTCATTTTCTTGGGGTATCCCCAGGAGGCTGTTCCTTATGCAGAACAGATCATCACCCTTATAAATAATGCCTTTGCTCGGGCAGTCTTTGGTTGAAGTGTCCTCAACCCTGATGTCCTACAAATGACTGCTGAAATGTTGGCCTGTGCACACGTTTCAGTAAATGCAGTCTTTGCTGCCTGAGTGCCCTGACAAGCAGTTCCATAAAGCAACCAAGGAATGAACAAAAGCTCGTTGTGTGGTTGCCGTTCTCTTCTGTATCTCAGCACACTTTTCAGTGCCCCTGCTCTGCCTGCTGGGGAGGAAGGGCCATGACCAGTTATTTGGGGCTGGGTGCTGATGTGTTTGCAGTCTTTGAGGGACAGAGCTGCTGCCATAGATGCAGTTAAAACCTGCCACACTCCAAATTGGTTCCCAGTGCCTTTGTTCTGCCCTCTGAAGTCAGGGATTTCCACGTGATACTCTGTAAACTAGACATAAAAATTCCAATTAACTTTCATTTTGATGGGGAAAAAATGGCTTTTTGTCTAAACAAATTGCCTCACGTTGTCCTGCTATAACTGTTACTTTCAGTATTTTGGGACCTACTTCCTTTCTCAGAAAATGAAAATGGGAGTCAGTTATGTATTTTAGTTCTCTTTATTTATGTAAGTACATACTTTGTATTTTGCAGCTCCGTTATTTGTTCAAAGAATAACCCCCAAAAGAGGTTTCTTTTAAAATGGTTTGTGGCCAAAGGCATACATTTGGCTCTTCTCCATAATGCTACATGACCTTTCATTTAGTAGCAGCTTAAATGTTCTCTTGCATTCCCCAAGCAGGATGCTGTGTTCATTCATTTTCAGGATTAGTAATGTAGAGGCAACAGAAATCCCATCCGGATCAGTTCATCTTCATTGTACTAAACCAGGGGGAGAATGACAAACCTCCATCATGCTCTGCCACCACTGGTGTCACTTTCTGCTTTGGCTGGCAGCAGTGACAGAGAACGAGGAATGGTTTACATCAGTTGTCTGCTGGGAGCCTGAGGGCTGTGTTTTGAGAGTGAGACCCAGGTTCTGGTGTTCTTGGTCAAACAGGTCACACGTGTTGCACGAACGCTTCTTTTTCAGACCTTACCCACATCTGAATCACGACCCACAGGGCTTGGAGCACTTTTGTTGGGGAGGACGGGGTACAGAGCGTCTCCGAGCCGTGCAATAAATGCCTGTCTGTCTCTCATAGAATACGACTTGGAGCCTTGCGATGAGCCGGAGGTCCCAGCCTACAGCATCAGGAAGGGGCTGCAGTTCGGCGTGGGCGACGTCCTCACCTTCTCCTGTTTCCCTGGGTACCGCCTGGAGGGCACAGCACGAATCACCTGCCTCGGGGGGAGACGGCGTGTGTGGAGTTCGCCTCTGCCAAGGTGTGTTGGTAGGTGGTCATGTGCTTTCATTTTGCTTGGCTGGTTGCACCGTGCTGGAGCTGTTAGCGGGGCAGGGAAGTGCGTGGCGTTATCGCAGGGAAACCTCTGGGCTGGGTGGTGCAAGGGTGGGGAGAGGGAGCTGGGATGAGCTGCAGCCCTGTGACTGTATGTGGGGAAGGGGAAGGGTGGGCGGAAGGGCTGCAGCCCGCTCTCAGGTTGGAACACAGTGCGTGGTGGTTCGGGGTCCTCAGAAGCCCTGTGTTGTGGCCCAGTGGGTGAGTCGCAACCTGGGGGAGCTCCAGCAGCCCTTTAGGGACAGGTTCTGTAAGGTTGTGTGGTTTTAGGGCCAACCTCCCTTTGAATTAGAGTGCTGTAAAACGTAATAGGGTGGAGATGAAGGCTGCTTCAGGGTGGGTGCTGGTGAGGAGCACGGATTTCATCTCAGTGTGGTTCTCTCTCCCACTTTCAATTCATCCACCTCCAACCACTGCAGGTTCTTTTGTTCAGTCCCTCTTGCAGTTATTTATACTAATAAACAAACGTGTGGGGAGAGGAGATGAGGAGGTCACCTGAAACACTGAGCCAATTGCTGGCTGTCATCCCTAATGCAGAGGGGCTGCGGGTTGAGCTGCCCACAGTGCCCTCTGAGCACAACAGAACAGGAGTACCAGTGTAGCAGCAATGAAGCAGGAGGGAAGAAGGATTGCCAACGCCTCAGGCCTGTGCAGAAGGATGATTTAACACATTTCTGGGTTTGTTGTACAGTACAGTAAGTCGGAAAATATGCAGAGCTCTGCTGCTGCCTGGGTCACCCAGAGCAGCATGGAGATGCGTGCAGATGAGACAGGCCACATTCATACCTGGTATCACTCCAGCAAAGCCTGCTAGGTGGATGTTCCTCATCTGTGGCCCCTGAGGGATGTTGGAAAGGAAAGCATCCCAGCAAGAGCCAGTCTGCTTTCGCAGTCTGTTGAGCTTAGCTGTTGAGTCCTGTCATGCTGAGTGCATTTCCCAGCACTGTTTAATGCCTAGGTCACAGGACTGCATCATCCTGCTGTGACAAGCAGCCTCTTCAGGGCATGAATAATAATCAGGTTGCAGAGAAAGCTCATCAGGGGAATAGAAATCAAAAAGCATCATAACACAGCTTTAAATCTGGTTTTCAGACGTCCCTAAATGGACACACGAGTTCCACATGCCCAGATCTCTGCGGTAGCTGGCTTAGAGTTAGCATGCTGGTTAGTGATGATGGATCGGATTGCCTGTCTGGTGATCTGTGCACAGCTCTGCTGGCAGTTTTTTCCACAACGCCCCTGCTGCACACTCAGGCCTGTGTAAGGGTACAGCTGGAAACCGGAGACCTCCTTCCTATGGCCCGCTAAGAGATCTGGTTTTGCTGGCAGCCCAGGCACATCGTATTCAGTTTCCTGTTCTAGGGATGGATCTGGATTGAAACGAGAGCAGCTTATCCCTTCATCCTGCCCCTCTCTGCAGGTGGGGATGCTCTGTGCTGACCGCTGCACCAGACCAGGTCCTGCATGGTGACATCCCCAGCATCAGCCCCGGGTACTCAGTGCTGCAGGGAACGTTGTCCTCCAGGGAAGAGGGGAGGAGAAAGTCACCTCCCAACCGCTTCCTCTCACCATGTCTGCTGCTGCTTCCTTGCTTCCTTTCCTGCTTGACTGGGAGGAGCAGCAGAGGTGGGAGAGGTGATGCAGAGAGCTGCACATGCACTGCGTTGGTTTCCTGCAGTCCCAGCAGCTCTGTGTGCTGCATGAGTTTGGAAGTAAAGCTCATGGCTGTGTTAGCAGATGGGTGTAGGAAGGAGTGAGCATCTGTGGCCATTTGAAGGAATCACCTGCATGTGCTGTATGGCTCGAATACACACATGGTTATTAAAAGGTGGTTTTGTGTCTTTCTGTAGCTGAATGTGGCTCGTCTGTAACTGGAACTCAAGGTGTTCTGCTGTCCCCCAACTACCCAATAAACTACAACAACAACCACGAGTGCATCTACTCCATCCAGACACAGCCTGGAAAGGGGATCCAGCTGAAAGCCAGGACTTTCGAACTGGAAGCAGGAGATGTCCTCAAGGTAACTCTTTGTCTCAAGCAAGGAAGGGTAGCGATGCTAACGAGAGCAAGATCTGAAAGGAATTTGATGTTCTTGAGTTCTAATAGAGTGAGCTGGGGCTGACCTCGGGAAGGTGCCATGCAGGCAGCACCAGTGGCACAGTGGTCATCTCTGGAAGACTCTCCTGCCCATAGCTGGGCTGGTGTCTGTGGCTGCTGCTGCTGGTAATCACTGCTGTGTCACTGAGTGCCTGACACAGTTCTGAAGGCAGCAGCTCGAGTCCCACGGACCAGGGCGATCTTCAGGCTGATAACGGAATGTGGCCTGTGGGTATTCCCCCCCAGTGCTAGAGCAAGAGGAAAAACTGCCATACATCTGTGAAACTGTGTCTTCTAGCCCGGGGACACTGAGCAGTGTGTCACTGCTGTGTGTTGGCTGTGCTTAGAGACATTTTGTCACTGTGGGGAATGGGCACCTCTGAACTTTGTGAGCTCACGGCAGTGTCTGGCAGCAGCTTTAAGGTGGTAGTGAAGGTCTGTTGTGCTTCAGCTTAACTGAGGGAGCGTGGGGGTTTTAGCATTATTTTTGTGATTCTAGGAACCATTCCTCTGCAAATGGGGTTAATTTAAATTCAAGCTACTCAGCATCCCCATACTCGGATTAATCTGCATTTACAAGTTTCAGGACTCTATATGGAAGGAGACAAATCTAGGCTGAGTTTCTGTTAACCACAAAGAAATGGGTTTGTAGGAGGTATTGATACCACAAGATGTGTTCTGCTGTTCTAAAACCAGAGAACGCCTCTGCCCTTGTTGGTGGAATCCATGCATGTTCAACTCACAGAATCACAACCACACCAGAAACATCTGCCAGCATTTCTTTGGCTTCAAATGAGCCGCCCCTGTTTGCCCTCCCGAAGGGTTTGACCCCTAAAGTGGCAATAAAAGGTGTTTTCCAAAATTCGTTTCTCATTCCTCCCAGGTCTATGATGGCAGCAACAGCTCTGCTCGCCTGCTGGGCTCCTTCAGCCGCTCAGAAATGCTCAGCACCAGCATCAACAGCACTTCCAGCAGCATGTGGCTCGAGTTCATCACCAACAGTGAGAACACCAGCAAAGGCTTTGAGCTGCAGTTTTCCAGTAAGCCTTAGGCCCATTTTCGAGGTGTAATTCTATGGCTTTGTGTTACAGTTGCATGAGAAGAGGACGCAGTCCTTCCATAGCAGTTCTTGCAGTCTGAAGTGGAGTCGGAGCAGGGGAGAGGAGCTCTGCCCACGAGCCCTGCTGTGCACACGAGGCTGCAGCTGGGATAGCAGATCTCTGGGATCTCGCTCAGATCTTATTTGAGAAATGGAATTCTGCATAGGGTGTTTCTTCTTTGCTGTGATTCTTTTCCATCAGAGCATTTTCCTGGGAGGAAAATACTCCTTTGCGTGGTCTTGTGTTAACGCCTTCTGTTAAATGCCTGAGAAGAGCTGACGCCGTTTCTCCCGTCCAGGTTTTGAACTCATCAAATGCGAGGATCCCGGCATCCCGCAGTTTGGCTACAAGGTCCACGATGAGGGGCACTTTGCTGGCAGCTCGGTGTCGTTCAGCTGTGACCCTGGCTACACCCTGCGGGGCAGCAGAGTGCTGGTCTGTCTGACCGGGGAGCGGAGAGCCTGGGATCAGCCCCTGCCAACCTGTGTGGGTGAGAAGCTCTTGCTTTCCAAAAGTCCTCCAATGCTTTCTTTGTTTGTGGGCGCTGCACCGACGCCCTTCCTTTCTCTGTAGCTAATACATGTGATATTATCTTTAATATTGATTGCAGCCATCGACATCAAAAGGTAATGATAAGGATCCTGTGTAAGGCATCTTCAGATCGAGAGCAGCGATAGCTGCAAAACTTCTCCAGGCAGTGTTAACACGAAGCACCGCTGTGAGCACAGATTTGACAAGGTTTTGTGCTTCTCTGCAAGGAGACTGCTGCTTTTCCAGGCCTTGTCCTTTCACTTGATGAACACATTGTGTTAAATGCAGCAGCACTGCCTGGAAATGGCAGACAGCAGCGTGTCCTGGCGTTTGACAGATCAGAGTCGTGTTGATTTGAGAGCTACATGACACCTCATTCCAGTTTTTTGGGTATTTTAATTCCCTCAGCCTTCTCCTCGTCGAGTCCTGGCTTCCCCTTTACCTCTCCAAATAGATATCTTACAGCTTAGAAAACTCTGCTGTTGAGTTTTGTCTATCCAAATGAAGTGTGCATGCCCAAATCCATGCGATTAATGAGGGCTTCCAGGGCACGGCGAAGCTCTTACAGACTTTGTCCCCTTGGAGCTCTCAGCAGCTGCTTCCATGTGGTGCTCAGATGTTGGCACACCAAATTCTCCCACGCTGGGAGCTCTGTGCTGCAGCTCTGCTGAGTTTTAGCTTTGCTTGTTGAGAGGAAAAAGACAAATTTCTGTCATTTATCCATCCTGTTAGCCTGCATCCTATTTTCTGGGTGTTCATGAGAATGATTGCATCTTCATGAACGTGTGGGAACCTGGAGAATTTTAATGGGCATATAATGAAAACATATTCAAAATCCTCACGTTGGGGTTCATTTAGCAGCCATACGTATGCTGGCTCCTCCGTTTTATCACTCTTATGAATCGTTGAGGCTTTTTGCAGATGCAGGCAGAACTGAGTTCTTTGGCCCCACGTCTGGATCAGGGGAAGCAGGATGTTGGCAGGCTCTGCCTTTATTCACTGCAGAGCCAAAAAGGTGAAGAGGAGCTCTGACAACATGTCAGGCATTAGGAAGTGCTGTTGTTTGATGGCTCTCTCTTAGCTGAATGCAGTGACTCCCTAGCTTTGCCTGGTAGGCTGTAAGAATCTCTTTAAACAGGGGGCAAGTCCTCTGTTGTATTGATAGGTTGGGATTTGTGCTGTTGCCAGTAGGAGCCATGACAATGCAGTGAATCTTCTCATTAACCCATGTGTTTCTTACAGCTGAGTGTGGGGGTTCTATCAAAGGAGAGACGTCAGGACGGATTCTGTCTCCCGGTTACCCCACACCCTACGATCATAACCTGAACTGCATTTGGGCCATAGAGGCAGAAGCTGGTTGTACAATAGGGTGAGTAGAAGCTCTTCATGCTGGTTTTTCCATGCAGCCTTCTATGTGTGAGGCGACAGCTTCCATAGCCTGAGCTCTGAGCTAGCAGAGAGGCTGGGTTGTGTCTCTGGGGTTCCAAATTCTTTCGGCGTTTCTGAAATTCCCCAGTGGCTTTCACCCAGCAAACCCGATCTTTATCTCCTACTGGTTATTGTAGCTCGCTTTCCTATCCATGTACAGCTAATTTTTCTGGAGGTAGATCAATAATGACATAAAGCAAGTAGCAAGAATGCAGTGTCACTTTGAGAGTCCCCCATGGGGGATCAAACACTGCTTTGTCCGCTTGCCAGGTTGGACAGAAGTGCCACTGCTGCTTCTTCCCCTTTCCCCAGTGCTTTTCAGCCCCGTCTGGGCTGTGTCTAACAGCTATCATGCCATGTGATGACAAAGCCAGATTGTTTGCTGTTGCTGCCCGTGTTACTGCTGTATGAAAAAAATCTAAGAGCTTTTTTGTATTTACAAGTCTAAGAGTAAAACGTAAATGCTCTTCACCCCTTTCCTTGATTGGGGCAGAAACAAACATCTTCCACCACATTAGGGCTAAATTTCTGAATCGTATTCTGACATATGTCCAAGTGGCATAATCCTAAAATGGGGATGTGTGTATAGAATTGCTTGGAAGATCACATCCCAGAAAAGGATAATGGAAGGCAATGACAGATCTGGTCAGTCTGCCATCTGCAGTACCAGAGTAAGCCAGCACCAAAATGGATGAGCTCTGTGGAGTCACATTTGTGAGAATGAATGGTGAGGCATGGGGTCCCCAGCCAGAAAAATGAGACCCAGCACCTAGCTTTCACCTTCTAATCTTATTGTTTTATGGTTTTAATGAGAAGAACAGATGAAATACAGTTATTCTCCCAAAGGAAAGGCTCAGGATGGTTTCTGAACATCTGGTTTGTTCATAGACCCAAGACTGTTCTCTGTTGCTGCTCCTCTGACTTCTGTTCCCATTTTCTTTTTACTTTCCTGTTGGAAAATGGCAGTTTGAAATGTAATTTGGTCCTAAGTTGTGTGAATTTGGTGGTTAAGTAAGCATGATGCTGAGAACAGTTGGCTCATAAAGTCAGTGCAGTCACCAGCAGAATCCAGGCAGTTCTCTGCCCTCTGATGCTCCATCTGTGATCCCCGCTGCTTGCTGCTGTTCCCAGCTTGCCCCCATCCTGCCGAGCCACGTCTGTAAGCTCTCCCAGGGATTTCAGCCCAGCAAAAGCCACCTTCAGCAGTTATGTTGGCAGGTGAAGTTTGTGCTAAACTGATGGGACTATGGGGAAAAGAAGGGTAGATGATGAGGCTCGTTCAACAGTAGTTCTCTTCTCAGGCTCTCCCCACCATCCTACACCTTAGCTGGAGTGTCAGCCCCAGTTCTGTGCTGAGCTGAGCCCTGCTGCCGTTCAGCTGCGCTCACCCATCGCACTTCTGCCTTCACCGCCGATCCATTGCTGTATCAGCACTCATCTGCTCTTCAGCACTGACTGCTCATCACGCTGAGCGCTGTGCTGCTTTTGTCAATAGATTACGTGGGGATAGATTTGGTTCAGTATTTTCTATTTTCCTTAATGGAGAAATTCCCTCCATTAGGTGTGCTCTCAGTGCGGTTCAATAACGGATGGTTTCTGATCTTGCTCACAGAAGGAAGAGCAGAGCCAGCTCAATTCCTGCCCGAGCAGCTGCCAGTTGAATTCTCCTCTTTCTGTCCTGTAAAGGATTCTGCAGATTTCTGTCACACAGTGTAGGCATGAGCCCCCACTTCTGTTCCCCCAAAAGTACAGGAGGTGGCCTCATCCAAAGGCTGCTTCAGCCAACACAATCCTGTCCTGTGTCAGAGCACGCCCAGGAGCAGAGCTTTGGGTTCGTGTTTGCAGCATCACGGAGCTTGGAAAGGGCCAGGGCTGGAATGAAGGGATGCAGTGACACCAGGCACCTGTATGGCAGTGCACCTCGAGAGCCTCCCTTTGTCACCAGAGATGAAAGCTCCCTTCTTCTGCTCCTTTATTTGGCAGCACAGGAGAACAGATGATCTCTGGGTAGTTGAGAGCACATTCTCAGCAAGTTCATTTTTATGGTAATCCATTGGAAAAATAATCCTCTTCACGCATGATGCAATTGTATAAAGCCCTCATTTATAACCTACATTAAAATTAATCACCACAGCTTTTTGAATAAAGCTGTATCTGCACAGAAGAAGGAGAAGGAAAGGAAGGAATGAGAGACAGAAATGAGTCTGTCCATTACTGCCATGAAAGTTAAAGGGTTGTGCTGTGAGAGGGGATGAGTTGTGCTGATGTGTGAGCACACACACATTGCACTGCCCCAAGGAAGGGGCCATCATCCCATGGGTGGATCTGGGTGGGGGGCTTGGATGGAAAGCACCACCAGAAAGCCTTGGGTTGGTCAGGCAGCTTCCATATATGCACCACATACAACTTAGTTACTTTTAGCTGGTTTGTTTGGGTTTTTTTGCATGTAATTGAGTTTTCCCCTCTCCTCTGTTTGCTAAACCAGTTGCTCTGCCCCATCTTAAATTAAGCCCTGCTGGGAGCAGAGTCAGGCTGACAGAAAACTGGTGCCGTTTGGTTCCAGGTGTGCCTGTTGAACAGACGGGTTGCTTCAGAGCACACAGCTTTTCACAACACAGTGCTGTGTCCCACTGCACTCCTGAGCTGTGCCGGGCAGCCCATGCCCTGCTGCTGGTTGGCAGGGCACAGCTCTCCCCACGCTGGTAAAATGTGAGTGAAATGAGGAGGGGAGTCACAGCAGCCCAGCAGCTGCCCCTGATCCCCTGCCCGGCTCATTTCCACTCACATCTGCCCTTCCTGAGGACTTCAGCACAGGCTTTGATGGGCGCTGCTCAGCCTCAGAGCATCGTCAGGATGGGCTCCTGTGCTCAGCAGTTCTGCTGGGATCCATCCTCTTTTTTTTCCTTTTTTTTATGATTCTACCTTACTTACATGCATTTGCCCCAGATAAATGGCAAAGCAGCCAAAAACCACATCCATGTTTTCCTCCGTGCGCCGTCACAGCTTCAAGCCTGACACCCAACTGTTGGTTCTCACAGGGTTTCTCCCCATTTCCACAGCACACATCTCTGCTCCATCTGCCTGATCTCAGTGCTGGGCAGTATTTCCCCCAGTGCTGATTCGGCTGTGAAAAACAATGCACTTCTCAGGGCTGAACCCTGATGTACTGCAGCCTGGAGCTGATAACTCCCTCGGCTCTAACAAGAGCAACAACAGTATGTGATAGCTTAGCTGCTATTTGCACTTGCTGTTTGTGGCAAACACAAATCCCCTTTGCTGCCCTGTTTCATTAACTTGGGGCACCTCATGCCCTGCTGAGGGTTTCTTTTCCAGCATGACACTATTCAAATAAAGAGTGGTGTTATTTTCCTTTCCTTTTCTTCTCCCCTGGTGTACAAGATTAGCTCGGTGCCAGGAGCAAATTCTTTGATCTGAGAGCAGGTAACAAAAATCAATGCGTTTTATCGGTAGACAAAAAGCTGCTCCTTGTAGGACACCAAAAAAAGCAAAAGGACGGCCAAGGTTGTTGCTGTGTGCAACTACGGGGACAACGTGTGAAATGCACGAGAATCCATCAGTTGTCTGGAGGGACCTTAACACATTTACTGCTAATTTTCCTTTTGGAATAAGTTTCTCAGTGCTTCAGTGGCTATCTGTAATAGAGCTCAGCAAAACCCAGGGCAAAGCCTCTGTCTTCCAGTTCACGGCTCCTGTGCCTCTCTGCTGCATGTTCTCTGTATGTCCTTGACTGGGCCCTCTGTCTGTGGCAGCTTCCAATGTGAGGTGTGAGCACACGCAGTGTGAAAGCAGCAGTGAACTTAAGCTGGGGGCTGTCTGCTGCCCACAGTTGGCCTTTGGACCTCCACGTCACTGCTTGAGAGTTTGGGGACAGGTGAGTGGTTCTGTTTGCTTAGGGAGCACCAGAAAGGGGACAGCTTTTCAGAAAGCACTGCTACCCGTGCTTTGGTTGTTGGCCATGGATGGATGTTTCAGTAGGGATGTGTGCCGTAGGAGCTCTTAGGGTTTATAGACAAGCATTGGTAGAAGGCTGAAATACTTGAAGGTGAGTAACAGACAGCAGGAGAGCACATTTCCTATTCAGTGGCTCTCAGGTAGCTGAGGTTGGTGTAAGTACTGTCGTAACCCTCCAGCAATGAAGGCAGAGCTCAGTTTGGGTCTGACCTCGGTTCTTTCTGCCTCACAGACTCCATTTCATGGTTTTCCACACCGAGGAGTTCCACGATGTGCTGAGGATCTGGGACGGTCCGGTGGAGAATGGGATCCTCCTGAAGGAGATGAGTGGCTCCATTCTGCCTGGTGACATCCACAGCACTTTCAATTCCGTCATCCTTCAGTTCAACACTGATTTCTTCACAAGCAAGCAGGGCTTCGCCATTCAGTTTTCAGGTCAGCTTTGCATTCTTTCCCCAGTGTTGTCCAAGCTTGTCTTTGCAAGTGATTTTCTGCATCCATATTTAAGTGCTGCTGGTGAGCAAATGAGATGGCACTGAACACAGTAGCAGGAACTCGTGGGCATTTGTGCTTTTGGATCTCCACACATAGAGGACTCTCACATTTTGTCTTTGCAATGCGGTTGAATTCTGTGCTCCCTTTTGCTGCTGTCACCTTCACAGTGGTGAGTTTGGCAGCAAGGCATAGAGCAGCACATTGTGGAACACACAGAAGGAATTACAGATATTTTCCACCACATTCCCAACACATCCCTTGGAGACAGCAGCATTACAAGCAGCTTCTGCTGGGCATTCTGAGAGCAGTTGGTCAGCAGCCTCTGCAAACCAAGTCTATTTAAAATCTCTCAAATTGGATCCCCTGTGATGCAGATCCCAAAAAGCTCTATTTGCTGTATGGATGTCATTGCAAGCAGCAGCACTACCTGCAATGCAACTGCAGTCTGTCATTGCCTGAGTCCTGCTGGTCATTACCTAAGACCTGGCTTTGCAAGCACATTTATTCCAATTACATTAGGGTAATACATTTCAACATGCAAACAGATTTCCAGGCCTTCACTGACTTTTTCAGTACCCTGCCAGCCCTTGCCCATTTTGGAGATGGCAGTAAATAGTTCAGTAAACTATTGAATGATGATGCAGCTTCTCTGGGACTCCAGCACATCAAAGCAGCAGAGCTCATTCTGTCGCTCCCAGGTTGCTCACAACTTTCTGTTCCGGCTGTGTTGGGTGGCCTGGAGAGCAGACCAGCTCTGGGGAGACCTGAGCTTTGCTTGCTCCATGCCAGGCTCGTGTCTGCTTGCCAGGAAGGACCAGGACTGGCTGCTGCCTTGCCTTATCTTCAGTTGCACAGAAAGAGAGAGGGATTTCCTCTGGCTCTTTTAAGGAGAGCTTGCTGTAAACCAGCTAGGTGTAATGGGCTCATATCAACATAGCAGGAAATAAGCTCTGTTCTGCTGCCTGATACAGAGCTGGTCTTTATTGAATGCTTCTGCTCAAAGCCTTTGTTCACAAGGTGTGACTAAGCAGCCAGCCCTAAGCTCAGAAGTTGACAGTTTTGGATCTGGTGAACTTCAGTGATCTATATAAGCTTGCACGACCTGTGTTACTTCAGGACTTTCCCTGCTGTTAAACGGAGCTGTGCTGCCTGCCCCAGCTGCCAAGGCACTCGGGGAGGGCTGGGATACCAACAGGGCTCAGCTCACAGCCTGCAGGGACATGGCAGCAAGGCACATGTGTTTCTAAAAGGTCGGGCCTGATGCTCACAGGGCTGAGGGTGAAATTCCCCTCCCACATGGGGGAAGTGAGAAGTGCAGGCAGATGAGTTTACTTTGCAGTATGTCATACATAGAATTCTATAAAAATGCCATGTAAGATCAGCAGATGCCTGGACTTACTAAATAAACACGCATGTGCACAATTATGCATCAGGCTTGCACTCTGTGTAGTGTTCTTGAACTTGCTTCTCCCCAGAGCCTCCACCAGCTGGAGTGGCAGATGTTGAGTGCAAAGTAAAAGGCAGCTTTTGTGTGTGTGACAACTTGGGGAGATCCTGAAGGAGGATCCTGAAGGATGGAGCAGGAAGCCATGGCCTGGGTATCTGCTTAAGGACAGGGCTGCAGTGCCTGGCATCTGCACTGTGAATCCCTGGGGTATCTGCCCCCTTCTCTGTCCTCTGCAAATGAGTCTGGATGGAAATAGGAAGGAATTTGTCCTTGTTGTTGAGGTGATAGTGTGGGGTTTGGTTGCAGTGTGCCATTGGTCTCCTCAAAATGCAGATGCAGTGATCTTTTCCTGCTCGTCTTGGTTTCACAGTGAAAATGGTGCTTCTTCCTACTGCAGAAAAAGCACTGGGACAAGTGCACTAAGAATAAGGAGTTGTGATGTGTTAGAGCAACAGGGGCTTGAAATTAGGGCATGAAGGAGATAAGGTTGTATCTGATATTGTCTGAAAATCAGTGCCTGTAGCAACGGAAGGTCTCTGCTGGAAGGACCAGCAGAGGAGGGAAGGAAGCTTCATGAACTTACCTGGTAATCAATGGTCTGCAAAATATTTGACAGCTCTGTGTTCAAATAATTAGCATTTGTTAGCCTGTAGCAAAGAGGGAGGGAGCTTGACATTTTCCTGTGAAACTTAATATGTTGAAAACGTCTGGAAATACGCAAGGTTCATCATTTTGCAATAAAAAACGGTATAAGCCACGAGGAAATTTGTAAGCCTGTATTAAATACGCATCTTTCATACTCGTCAGTTTCCACTGCCACTTCCTGCAATGACCCAGGGATTCCCCAGAACGGGAGCCGGAGTGGTGACAGCAAAGAAGCAGGAGACTCCATCGTCTTCCAGTGTAACCCGGGATATGTTCTGCAAGGGGAGGCCAAAATCACTTGTGTGCAGATTGAGAACAGATTCTTCTGGCAGCCGGACCCCCCCTCCTGCACAGGTATGAGCCAGCATCCCTCCTCCCATTGCATTGGCTTCCCTGCATGGTTTCACTGCGAGACATCCCTGTCTGAAGGGGGCGAGTCCCACCTGGTTTGAAGAGATGTACGTGGAGGTACATATGTCTCAGCCATGTCAGCTTTGTCCCTGGAGTGTCTGAGAAAATGAGAATCTAGTTCATGCTGGAAGCTCATAGGACGTACTGCAGTGTAAGTGATAATATTTGACCTGACAAGTCAAAATGAAAGGCTTCTTGAAAACTCAGGCCGGTAGAGAGGATTGGGGTCATGGGCAAATGATTTCTGCATGAGAAGATAACAAATCCTAAAGAGAAAACTATCTGAAGTTCTCTTTGAGCTCATAAAGTGATAAAAGAAGCTCCTGACTGTTTCCATTTGCCGAGAACACACAAAAGCAGTCATGCTAAGAACATGGGAGCAATAAGCGTCAGCTGTGTTGGCCTGTTAAACGGTAGCCACAAATTATTCATCCTATAACTTCATTCCTTCTGGAGCAGTGTTATCCCAAGGAAGGAAAATCAGTTGTGATTCTAACATCTGGTTTAATGCCAGCTAGTAAGCTTCTACAGCACTGCAGGGATCTGTGCTCCCTGCAGGATGACTTGATTTCTGAATGACTGTCCTGATGATCTGCTGTGGCACTCGTTCAGCCCAATGGGGACGGTCCTTCTGGTCTTCCTGGAGCTATAACTGCATGTCATGCCCATCTCATCATCCCTCTCCTGGTTAGTTTTCTTGCACTGCCGAAGCTGAGCTCGCAGTCCTTCTCAGAGGTGCACAGCCAGTGCCTTCACCCAGGTGTGGGATTTCTCACGAATCGTTTCTTAGGCAGTTTGACGTGGAGATCTGAGTGGGGCCCTTCTGGAGCAGAGCAGTCCTGTTGTAGATGTGAGCTCTGATAGGCTGTGACAAAGCTGAAAGCAACGTCTTGCTCCTTCCCTTCCCTCACTGGCAAAGGATTTGGAGAAATAACCAGTAGTCAGATAATGCCAGCTGTAGAGTAGCTGTGTAACAGGCCGCCTGGTTAGAACTGATTGAGAAAATGGGGTTTAACTGAAGGCTTGAGTTTGATGACTGTACTTAGCATTTCAAATAGGTTTTCACATTTATTTTGCACAACTTCTGAGGTCACTAGACAACGTGGGCTGAACCAAAACGTCCACTGAAGTAAACCCCTGAGATTTGGGGGCATTTGAAGTCTGGATCCAAATAGCTGTGACTTGAATGAGTTTCCAGACCAAATCCTTTGGAGAGTACGGGTGGGATTTTCAAAGAAAATTAGAGGGTGTGAAGCAGTCATTTCCCATAGGCTTTTCAAAAATGAGTGTGTGTTTTAGTTTCTTCTAAATTTTCCCATAAGCATTCATCTGGTAGAGGAGGGCATCCTAAAGGCTGAGATGAAGGTTAACGGACACGGAATGTTTGCTTGCGGTTCCTCCAGGTTCTTTTGAGCACGACCTTCCCCATTCTGTGCACTGCTCCCTATTCAGGAGGAGTGGCAGCTCTGGTGCCTGCACTCTCCTGTGGCTGGGCTTGACTGGGGAAGTTGCTTTGGTTCAAGGATGTTTATTTTGCTCTCTTTATAGTGCAGCCCAGTGCAGTGTTACCTGGAGGTATGCAATGAGGGCTGCAGGAATGCCCACAGGATGCACACACAAACATGCACTCCTTCCTGTCAGTTCATTCCCCCCATTTCTGCCCCACGCAGCTCAGTTCCCAGCAGCTGTGTGCAGTGCTGCAGGCTGCTGGTTGCTCAACACCTGCGTGTTTCACCCCACCGCAGTGTGGGGGATTGATCTGAGCAGCAGGGAGGATTTTAGGGCATCGACCCTTATGAAGGAGCTGCAAGAAAAGGCTGACGAAGAAATCAATCGCGAGTATTTGCCACTGTGGAAATACGTGCAGGCAATTTCAGCCTTAAAAAAGGTAATAATTGATTTTTCTATCAGCTTGGCACTTAATGTGTTGGTGAGCGCAATAAACGCGATCACATCATTAGTCCCAGACAGCATTTTCACTTATTTAGAGACATGCCAGACGTTACCTGGAGTTGCCTATGCAACAGAAGAGCACCAGGTAGCTCTGTCTCCTTTGGGTTCCTTTTGGCTCATACAGATTGTAGCAGCACCCAGAGCTCTTTCCCTGCGTAGAGCCTGGCATAACAGAGCCCTCATTTCCATTAGGGCCTCGTAATACAGGTAGTATTGCAGACTGCCTCTCTGTCCCCATATCCGTCCACCTCTCTCTCTTTTCTTTTTTCCCCTCCTTGCATCTCATTTGCTATTTTTAACGTTTCTCTGAGACAAAGCCTCATCCCTGTGCCTGATTGCCTTCAGCTCCCTGCGGAGGGATCCTGACAGGACCAGCAGGAGTGATCCTGTCCCCGCAGTACCCAGAGCCCTACCCGCCGGGGAAGGAGTGCGACTGGAAGCTGACCGTCTCTCCTGATTATGTCATTGCCTTGGTATTTAACATGTGCGTACCCCAGAGCTGTTCCGTGCTGTGGGCTGGGGAGGAGATGCTGTTGGAGGGGCACTGCCTGGCTCTGGGCTGCCTGTGGATCCAAATCTCCCTGGAGGAAGCAACCCAGAGCTGGTGGGACTGGCCTCGAACACAACCGTGTAACTACATAGGAAACCCCTGCAGCATCACTTGGCACAAACTTAGCTGTATCCCCACTCCTTGATGCTTACGTATGTACAGAATGGAGGCAGAGGCGTCCCGTCCTTAGCTGGGGAGCTGGCTGGGGTCAGGAGCTGCATCTCAGTGCTGTGGCAGTGCAGCCCACCCAGACCCCAGCCTGCTATTCTCCAAGGGGCTACTGCAGCATGCTGATGCTTCATCCGCCCTTCCTTTTTGGTTTTATTTTTCTTTGCAGCTTCAGTTTGGAACCTGGCTATGATTTCCTTCACATTTACGATGGACCCGATTCGCTCAGCCCCCTGATTGGAAGCTTTTATGGCTCCCAGCTACCTGAGAGGATAGAGAGCAGCAGTAACAGCCTCTTCCTCGCCTTCCGGAGCGATGCATCTGTCAGCAATGCTGGTTTTGTCATCGAATACACAGGTAAGAGATGTGTGGGTGCCTGGCCCAGCTAACTCTACCCAGCTAATTCTACCACAGCGAACTTAAATAGCTCTGTCCTCTCCTTAGCAGAACATGCCATTTAATTTCAGCTTTGAGCACCAGAAATGATCAAACTATTGAACGGTTGTTAGGAACACTGCACAGTACCATGGATTTATGATTTATTCTTAGCAGCAAAAGCAGCTTTGTCCAAGAAAGGAGATGCAGACCTTCATACCCTGTATTGGGATCTCGATCTGAATTGTTGATATGTCATTCAAGAGCAGAGCTGGGTGACTGGAGGTGGAGGTGAGGATCACAGAGGTGGATGCTCAGCTCTCTTTGAATCAATGGAGCTCTCCTGAAATCTGTGCATTTTAAAATTCTGAATCATTCACTTAAAAACCCAGTAATAATCAGCAAAAAGAACAGAATATTCAGTTCACAGGTCTGTGCATTACTAAGCGTTCACTTTTCTTCTTGCTTGCTTGAGGAAGAAGTAAGCCTCTGCTTTCTGGTAGCTTCAGCTCTCACTGTCTGAGACATGGGCAGTGGTTGGAGTTTTCCCTGGATCCTGTTAGCTCTCTGTTGATGGAGGAAGCTGAAACTGACAGACCTGGCACTGCTGCTCTGGGAGATAGAGAGCAAAAGGGAGGCTTTGGCAGAGCCTGTTGCTGGTTTGTAGGCAGAAGAGTAGAGTTGCTACACACTAGTTAAAAATACGCTCTGAAAAACTGGATCTGATGAGCCAGGATTATGTAAGACAGAAAAGTAAGAGCTGCAAAAAACAGAGCTATGAAGAAATGATTCTTCAGGCTTAGATGGTCTGTATGTGCTTGCTGTATGGGAAAAAAATGGCTTCAGATGCACTGGATGTGTGCCACTGTGAAGCCAGCATGGCTTTGTGTTCATAGTGAAACAGGCTGCTGAGCCTTGTTGGCCCAACCGTGTGCTGTGGGAGCAGCAATGGTTTGTGCTGGAGAGCTGAAGGGCTGCTGCTGTGCTTTCAGTGTGCTCAGGCATTTCCCTTCTCCAGTGCCACCTCCATCGGTCGTTCCTGCTATTGAGTTCACCTGGCCAAAGGTTAAATGATAGCAAAATGACCAACTCCTGTTATTCATACAGAGCAGATGGATTTCCCTGCAGTGAAGGTAAGTGAAGATAACAGGACAAAGACAACAGCGCTGCTTAAGATCAGAGAGATTAAAAGTTTTCTGCTATCATTAGAATGAATTTTACTGAAAATTAAGTCTTGGGTTTCTCTTCTTTCCCTTTTTGGGCAGTTATAAAGTGGTTAACAAATGAAATCTCATTAAATTAGGGTTGTTGTGTGATGCCTTTTTCTTCTAAACACTCCTACAGTGTTAATCGTGCCTGCATGCTTCCCAAAAAGCCAAACTGCTGGGACAAAAGAATGAGGCTTTAGGTTTGCTCATTAATTTCCCCACACTTTAAAAGGAGCCCAGGATCCGAGTCCGATAAGCAGCAGAAAATAGAGCTTATGGGAATTGAAGGAAGAAGAAAAGAAGAGCAGGGGGGAGGATGTGTGAAAGAAAATCAGACACCCAGCTCAGCTCCTTGCCAGCATGGAGTCCCAAGTACAGTTCAAAGACGCTGCCCCACTGTTTGGTCAGTGCTGCAGCACACCGTAGGCTTTTGCCCCAACCTCCCTGTCTGACCCGTGTCATATGTGAAATGCTGTTAATTACCAGGGGCTTTGTAGTCCTCTTTTGGTGATATTTGGGTGGAAAAACAAAGCAGCCATCTGTCAGCCCCTCCTTGAAATCCTGCATCTTCCCTGGGACTGGGACCGTACCGCTAGCCTGCAGCTACGGCGTGTGGGGTGAATTTCAAACAGCCTCGGCTCTTCAGCTGAAATTGTTTCAGGGGCAATGGCTCTTCTAGAGAAAGTTGTCCTCTGGGGCCAGGAGGAGTGGAGAAAACAGAGACAAGAATGAGTTTGGCTTTTATTATGCTGATTTTTGTGTGGAGCGTGGCAGTGAGAGTGAAGTGGGAATGCAGCAATGCCACGGAGGTGATGGAGGACAGACCCACGGCTCGGCTGGGTCCCCATTTAACCACACTGATGTGCAGCTCCAGAGGGATTTCTGATGGATGAGCACACATCTCTGCTTTGTACCCGTGCTGCACTGTCAGCTGTGGAGCAAAATGAAAAATCAAACCAAGGTTACCAGCAAAAAGCAGAAGTGCACATACGCTTCAGTGTAGTGGTTTACAGTCTGCATAAAGCCTTTGCTGGGTTCAGAGAGGAAGGTGTAACTTCAGTGCAATAGTTTGGGGGATTTCACATGGGAAGGAATGCATCCTTTAGAATGAGTGAGCTGTGCTGAGCAGGTTTTGGCTTCGGGCTGGAAAAGTGCTTTCCTCAGGCATCCTGTTAAGGTCTGGGGATGTTATCACTGCCCTTAACAAAGTGCTTCTTTGCAACACCAGCTTGGTTAGTGCTGCCATTACTGAAGGCAGCTTGCTTTGTTCGTAGCAGATTCACTGGAGCCTGACAAGCATTAGTCTAGCAAAGCAAAAGGATGATAAGTTCTTCATTACACAATAAGGACAGTGACAAAACAAAAGCTTAAATACAGAGAAGACATTGCTTTCAATTTCCTAAAATTTATCTTTTGTTCCAGTGGTTGCTTAAGAATATTTTTCAAGTCTTTATCTCAGTATCTCTGTATGTATTAGCTTTTGAACCAAGATTACATTTCTGTGCCTCATTTATACCTGGGAGATTGATGGCTGCAGAGCAGCACCAGGTAAGTCCCCAAACCTGGCTGCAGTCCATTCAAAGGAGCCCTGTGTGTGAGTGGCTCCCATTCATCTGCTGCTGCCAGAAGGTGCCACCAGATATCCTGAATTGATCTGGGTATGAGCATCTATGGCAGGGACTGTCTTTTCTCACTGGGAAATCTGAATTCTAACAATCAGTTTGCATCACATTGTCTTGCAAACCACACAATTCCATATTCGTACGCTGATATTTTTCAATGGAGACCACGCTTTGTTGGTGCTGTGAAAGGCAAGCAGGAGAGCTTTGGAGAGCTTTTCCCAGCTCATCTCCCTGCTGTGTGTTCTAGGAACATGGTGGGTCCGTGGCCGTGGGCACAGAAGTGGGTCAGACCCATCGATTCCTACCTCCATCCCAGCAGCCTGCACTGATGCTGTGCATTCAGGTCTGGCTCCTCATGTGTAGGGCACAAAGTGGGAAGGAGTTCCCAGGTGAGGTGCTTCAAAGCAGGAGGGTTTCTCACGCTTTTTTAGTGCTTCCTGTTTCTTTTTCAGGCCAAAAGTGAAGAGGCGTGAAATTGAAAGCAAACGAAGCAAAACTGATTACTTTTCACCCATCCAAAGGAATGGGGAAAGAAAAAAAAAAAAACAAAACAAAAAAAAAAACCTCACCTTATTTTAAATCCATTATTATTTTGCCAGAAGTATTTCGCCCATCCTGAGCATATAAACATACACTCAGCATTACTTATGGGTTATTTAGGGTGGAAATTCCTCCCAGAAACTCTACTGTGCAGTTGCAAGGCAAGCTGTTTAAAAAACATCTAGTGCTGTTTGCTGTTGAAAGAAATGGGAAATGCTGCGTGAGCCTGGAACAGCATCATGTGAAAGCACAGAGGTTTTCTTTGGATCAGGCAGTCTGGTTTGCTGGGATGAGCGGGAGGAGGCTGTGCTGCTCCTGGGCTGGGAGATCCTGATGTAATTTGTCTTTTCTTCAGTCTATGATGACTGCTGTGAAAAACTCTTTCAAGCATTTTCTCTGGGTGTTGCTTTAAGGCTTAGTGCTTATTAAAGGCTTGCATGTGTTCACAGGCATGGAGCTGGTGATGCGCTGGGCAGACAATGCTCTTTGATGGAGCTGTTCTGAGCATGCTGATAAAAGCCTGACCTCTCTGTCTAGGAGCTCCTGCAGGCTTTGAGTTTTCCTTGAGAAAGAAGAGGGGAAGTGCAGAAAATCTCTGCTTTCCATGGGCTAATGAGGCAATTCTCATGGCATTTTTGTCTTGATTCTTTTCTAAACATTTGGCAGCCTGACTCCATGTTAATTGGGACATCGTGGTGAAGTCCTCAACTTCTGAAGTGGGTGATTGAAAATAAAACATTAATTCTAAATGAGCAAGCACTGTTCTCACTTTGTAGCCCAGTAAATCAAAGGCTGCTCTAGCTGTGGCTTTTCTTCATCCCTCTATGAGCCTTTTGCTGTCAACATGCAACCCAGTGCTTCCTCGAGCTCGAGCTCCTGCCTTCCTCTGTACTGCTGAGAACGAGTGGGGCCGTTCAGCAGAGATGTGCTGGTGTGTCAGGAGGGGAGCGGTGTCCCAGAAGGCACAGACCCTCAAGTGAACAGAGAAGCGGTCGGGAATGAGGAGAACACATCAGAAGCAGCTGGGCCATCTCAGCAATCAGCTTTGAGCAGCCTGCAGTGACTTGAGTGCTGAGCAACGCAGCTTCACAAAGAAAGAGCAGAAGATGAGATCAAGAGCGTGGCTCGGGCATCTGACAGCTGGCTGGGAGGATGGCTGCCAGGTTGAAGCCACGTTAACTTGTGAGATGAAAGGCAGCAAGGCTGTTCCCAGCCACACGAGGGGCATAAAGTGGTCATAAGAAACCATCAGGCGCAGCTTTTGTACGGAAGGGGCTAAAAGTGAATGTTAGCAATTCAGGGAGATAAAGACTAACAGAACAAACAAGTATTTTGGAAATGCCGGTGAAGCACTCTTGCGAAGGACTTGCGTGCTGCAGAGGGCTCTGAGCTGTGCATCTGCCCTGCTCATCCTCAGGGCCCGGGCTGGCTGATGCAAGAAACGTTTCACTCCCTTCTGTGGGCTGTGATGGCTGTTCTGCACAAGAGTGTACATCTGTGAGGAGCACTGAAGGTTTAGCAGGTCCACGGCTCCCAGAATGGAGAGCTGGTTGTTCTAGGAGAAGCCAGTGGCAGCTGCTCCTGGTGGTAACACTTCGCTGATGGGATCTCTGCAACAGCTGTTGTGTAAAAGCAGACGTAAAGTGAATCCTGTTCTTTAGTGGGGAGAAAAGAATGAACGAAAACGAGACTTGGCTTGGCTGTTTCCTCTTTCTCCCTCCAACCCCTCCCCAGACACTAAAAGCCCGTGATTTAATACTTAAACACATTATAATTGTTCGCAAACGCACTGCTCTCAGAAAAACCCTCATTTTTAATGAGCAGTTTCCAAACGACAAAAGAGCAGGATTAATCAAAGCCTCTAATTATATTTTGTGCAGGAAAAAAAAAAAAAAGAAAGAAAGAAAAGAAAGAAAGAAGCAAAGAAAAAAATGCCCTCAGAAGAAGGAAAGAAACATCCAAGTCCTGAAGGCTTGTAGTCTTTACTGAAATTTTCATATGTAAATGGGATTTTTAACTCTGCAGGGCATAGTGAACAGAGAAAAATGCCTTCATTTTGTCTAACTGCTTGTAATCATTTTGCAATAATTGCAGCCATGCTGCACATCTGGAGAGTCAAGCAGCTAGCACGTGGCACTGCGTTTCATGGCGAGAGCAGGCAGCTCTCAGATACTGGCATGATAGGTGCCAATGAGAGAATGTGAACAGATGTAGCACATCTGAAATGTAGTGTGTGTTCAATCTGTGTTCAATATGTCCTGACTTGCAGTTTCCTGCAACCTCCTGAAGTAGAGGGAGGGCAAGTGTAGGTAGTTGCCGCGTTGATTGAATTTTGAGTGCCAGTTAATGTGTGTGAACTGAAGCTTTCCTTCTTACAGTATATTTCTACCAGAGCTGAGCATCAGTGAATGATCCGGACCAGAATCTGACCCTAATAATTCCCCAGATTCAGCAGCTTGAGAGAATGCTTGAAAACTAAGCCCCCCGCAAGTGGTGCTGGTGTTTGTGATATGCTTAAGTGAGAATCTAAAGCAAGAAAAGTCAAAAACTATGTCATTGTCCACAATTTGAAAGCAGTTGTACCAGACCGGTAAAGATGTTGGCAATTTTGTCTTACAGAAAATCCCAGGGAATCGTGCTTTGATCCTGGATCAATTAAAAATGGTACACGAGTGGGTACAGATCTGAAACTGGGATCCACCATCACCTACTACTGTGATGGAGGGTATGATATCGAAGGGGTCTCCACGCTGACGTGCATAATGGGAGAGGATGGGAAACCTGCGTGGAACAAACCCCGACCTACCTGTACAGGTAAGGAGAAAGGGCCCAGTGCTAAAGCAGTTTATTCCATTGCAGCACTTGGTGTTAGTTTTGCGTAGAACTGCTTGCACAGAGACAGAAATGTGTTCCCTAGTTCTTTCATTTCTAACACCGTAGGGTCAGGAGGAGTTGACTTCAGTCAGCATTCAGGAGCTTACTTGAACATTTGCTTACCTGACTCCCTGCTAATCAGAGCCCTTAAGCATGTGCTGTCCTGAGCAGGGTCATAATTGAGAAGACAGGCATTTTTTTTTAGATATTCTGTGTTGTGTTTGTGGGTGTGTTGTTTTCTGGCTTAATGAGAAAATGGTTTAAGTGATGGCTTTGCAGTTAGACCTTCTTAATGTAAGAAACGGCAGAAGAGAGAGCTGTAGTCTGCTGGCAGGAAGAATGGGATCTTGGGCTCCCCTCAGAGCTTCTGCCACTGGGAAAGGCAAAAAGAGCAGGAGCTCATGCTGCCAAGCCCTGAGCTCTGGGAGCAGATGGAGAGCAGTGCAAATCACCCATTAGGCTGCAATACCATACATGGCATCCCTTAGCCTCAGCATGGTCTTAATAATTAAATGTGAAGCAGGCATGAACTCAGGTTAGGATAAGCCTTATTTTTCTTAATAAGAACTTGCAGCGAGAGCTGCAATGCCTGAAGCACAGAATCGATCATAGGTCGGGGCAGCTGACACTGCATAGAATTACAAAATGCGTGTGGAGATGGATATGAGAGCAGCAGGAAAAAGGCTGGTGGTTCTGGCAGGCTGTGGGAAGGGCGCCTCGTGATCTGCTCTCGTCTTCGTCTTACAGCGCCCTGTGGTGGTCAGTACACAGGCTCAGATGGTGTAGTCCTCTCTCCAAATTATCCCCAGAATTACAGCAGTGGACAAGTCTGCTTGTACTTCATCGTCGTGCCAAAGGACTACGGTATTTTTCTTTCTTAACAGATTTTCAGACGCCTGATGTTGTTCTGATGAAGCAGTAGAATGAATGCATATGTAAACAGATGTAAGGGAAATTGGAAGATGGCACTGTTGCATGCTAATTGTGCTTTGAGGTCACTGAAGCTTATGGAAATTTTCTGAATTTCAGAATTATCAAAAATGAGGAAAAAAACAAATCTAACAAAATCCATGGTCCCATTCCCATTCCGGTTCCTGTTTTGTATCCAATTGTGTAGAGTTGAAAAATCAGCAAGGAATAATTCATGGTGCTTAATACTAACAGCAGACTCTGAGAGTATGAAATGTACTTTCTGTAATTGCATTCTAACTGAGGTTCTAAATAATCTGTCTGCATGAAGAAGCACATACATGTGTAGTTTTGTTGATGTGAAGCTATAGGAGTTACAGGTAATACTATGTAGATCAAATTGTATTGGTTGAGCAATTTGAGGTGTATTTTGAAGATTCTGACAACCTTGTTCAACCTTGTTCAATGATTAGGACTGAACTAGCTCCTGGCTGGTGTCATATGGTACCTATGGCCAGCTGACAGAAAAGCTGTCAAAACTGGAACAATGGCTTCCCCATGCATTCTGATTGCAGGCACTTGTATTGTTGATTATAACTTGCTTGAGTAAAGTTTCCTTGTAGATGTTATTATTCTTGTATGTTCATCATGACGTGTGCATGGTATGCTCTTAAATGAATGTGGTGCAGCTACAGATTAAAGGAAAGCACCTTTTAAGAGAGGAAGGGGAAAGCTTGCTGGTAAATGAAGTTCTGACAGCACCAAATCTGTGTTCTGGTAGCATGCTTGAATGAGCCGATATTCTACATCTATTTGCTCATTCAGTCTGTCTACTGAATTGATGCATAAACGCACATCAAAGTCAGACTCATTTAAATGGATCATCATTCTTTTAATAGACTCCAATCCCACTTAATTTTGGTCAGTTAGGATAAAAGCATGGTGGACATTGTAGGAACACTTGAGGTAAGTAGCTTGATGGGTATTAGTATTGGTTAACATATTTTCTTATTTGAAGGGAATTCAAAGCTCTCTGTAAGAGCTCCTGCACTGACAGCTCTGGCAGATGAAGGTCTCTAAATTCTGTTATTTGATACAGTTTCTCAGCGCATTATATTGATCTTGTTCTAGTCAGTCCCTGTGGCCTTTTCAGTTGTTTATGATTTCCTTTGCTAAGAGAGCAAGATGTGAAATAAGATGCCGCTCACTTCAGTTGTAAGCTCTCTTCACTTGAATTGCCCTTCTGCCCAAATGGATCTGGGTTACCTCTAAGTTCCTGGCTCTAACGGATGAAATACTACACTATAATCACACTTCTTAACCTACCTTACTGCAGCTGGTCTTGATAGTCCCTTAAGAAACACAGCATCTAATGGGCTAGACAGTCTTGATCTGCAAGTGTGACTTCTGCCAACTATAGGATGACAGCTAAATTAGTTTCTTTTCTCCACTCGCTGCCTTTCAATGGCTTCATTGAAAGCAGCCAGGAAAACCATTAGTAGCAAATGTTACGCATTTCCCATCTCCTTCACTTTGCTGCTCTGTGGTCACCAGGCATCAGGGTGTGCTGTCGTCACTTTTTCAGTGCTCCTAGCATCAAAGCTGTGCTGGAAACCTGAATGTGCAGGAAACAAATGTTATAGCTTGGTGAATGATGAATTTCACAGCAAGAGACCTCTCAGCTTGTGAACCTGCAACTGGGCTCTTACAACTTGAAAATGCAAAAGGAGGAGAGAAAGACAGGGGTGAGGCTTCTCTGGGCAGATTTGGGAGGAAAAGAACCTGTTATTTTATTCTAAAAAATAAAGATAAATAACAGAAGTCTTTAGCGTTAGTTAAGCAAACAAACAAACAGCCCTCTGATCCTCTCATTATTTTATTGTTGTTTTTTTTCAACTCTGCATGCCCTCAGGCATGCATGTGTGCAATGTGTGCAGTGAGACCCAGAGCACTGAATGGCGCTATTAGCAGTCTCCATAGACTGGCCTAAGACTGGCTGTTTGTAAAATTGTGAGTGTCCTCCTTCCTTGCAGTGGTCCTCCCTGGGCACAGTGGCACAATCCAGAAATTAATTCCTTCAGAACAGAGACTGTTGTTTTGTTCAGGCTTTGCACAACACCTTAAGAGTGGGGGCCCAGCTCATGACAGAGGCTCAGTATAAGTAATAAATAATTATCTGTAGGTGAAATTATACACCTTGTGTTACGTAGGCAGGCAAACGGGATGATTCACAAAGCAGCCCCTTTTGGCCTATGAATCACAGTTAAAGCGTACTGGCAGACAAACACGGGGGAGGCTGGTTGCTGCTTCTGTTACGCTGACTTTGTGGATAAATAAAGGACTCCCACCTTCTGGGGCTGTCAGTCAGGCCCTTGTTATCCTTGCCAGTTTCCTGAAATAAAAGCGCATGAAATGCCTCATCTCAGGGCCTGGCAATGTAAGTCACAACTTGGCCTGGCTGTGTAAGCCGCAGTTCAGGGCCTGTCTGTGCAGGCCTTGAGTCGAGGCCTGGCTGTGTAGGCCTCAAGTCGGGGCCTGGTTGTGAAGTTTTCAAATCAGGGCTTGGTTGTGTAGGCCTCAAGTTGGGGCCTGCTTGTGTAGGCCTCAAGTCGGGGCCTGGCCACGTAGGCCTCGGCTCAGGGCCTGGCTGTGTAGGCCACAACATGTCCTGGCCTGGCTGATGGGCTGCCTCTCTCTGCAGTGGTCTTTGGGCAGTTTGCCTTCTTCCAGACTGCGCTCAACGACATCATCGAGGTTCACGATGGCCCCAACCAGCACTCTCGGCTGCTCAGCTCCCTCTCAGGCTCTCATACAGGTACGGACCTGCCTTTGTGGAAAAAAGTAAGCTGAAAGATAGTCTGATATTTAATGCTTTGCTCTGAGCGAAACAGTATTGTGTGCAAGCTCTAGAAAAGCTTTGGTAAGCCACTGATGCTGTAATCTGTCTTCTCTGTTTTTATTCTTTGTCCTCATCCAGGTGAATCATTGCCGTTAGCCACCACCAACCAGATTCTCATCAAATTTAGTTCCAAGGGTCAATCTACAGCCAAAGGCTTTCATTTTGTCTACCAAGGTGAGTATAGCTTGTTCTGAAGGTGTCCTTGGGTAGGTATTAAGAGATAACGGTCAAAAATACGTCAACAAGTGTTGTAAACAGTGTTAACTGACTTTGGCATCTGTGGGTCATTGTGCACTTTCAGTCTGAACAGGAAATACCAAAGGAGATGGAGGTTATTTTGGTAGCAGCGGCTTGCAGGTGGTTCCTGGAGATGCTTAGTATTCAGACCTTCCACTTGCACTCAGCCTCAGCCCTCGCACGTCCCAGGATTAGTATCAGAAGTATCTCATTGAATCATGCCTGCATACACAGTGAGTTCTTGAGATTTATACCCAAGCAGTTTTTCCCACTGGCATTTTATCATATTTCTCAGCGTAAGCAGCTGAACACTTGTCTAGCAGCTCTGTAAAATCCTAGCTCTCTGCGTGTCATAGGCTTAGGTCCCCTGCTGTCAAACTTCGCCCTTTGATCCTTTCAGTAACAGCTTGCATTGCATCAAGTGAGTCCCACTTAGAGATTTTAAAGCAGTAAAGTGATGTAGAGAAGAGTGGGAAAACAGAAGTGTTTTCCTCACCCACATGCTTTGTCTAGTTATGGTTCAGCCAAGCATTCGCATGTGTTACTGCAAAAGGGGCCACGGGCAGCAGGGACTACTTGTACCTTCTCCAGGGGTGAAGTAAGGCATGTTTTGGATTTTGTAGTATCCAGAAATACGTTATTTTTAATTTCTACCTAATTGTTTTACAATAACCGTAGTTCGGACAGTAATCATCACAGATTTTGCCAAAACAAGTTTTTTTTAATGGAGTCTGTAAGGATTACTTCCTCCTTCCTGTGTGCTAGTTACGACCTGCACACTCCTCAGTGATTGCTGCAATAGTAAAAGCAAGAAGAGTGCCTGGTTTTGACTGCCTGGCTGGGATCCAATAGTATGTACTCTGATTTTTTTACAAATGAGTTCTGCCTCTCTCAAAGACTCCCCCATCCAGTGGTGGAACATGAACGGCAAGTTCCCCTGAGGTTAAGGAATTGGAAGCCTGCATTTGAAAGCAGTCTGGACTGAAAAGCAGAGCTACAGAGTCAGACGTGAAGGTTCTTTTGGTGGTTTGGAGAGAGGCAAGGCAGATGCTTGTTGGCTCCAAATGGCCGCACTGGGGCTGTCTGAGCAATGGTACAGATCCACAAGTTTTCTGGCTATCTTGGTTTTAGCTGAAGTTGCACATCACCACAAGTGGATTGTTTCTGCCTCTCCGTTCCTCTTCCAAGGCCCACCCACATCTCAGCTCAGTGTCTCACTGTCCACTTGCCCAGGCAGTCTGTGTGTTGGTTGGGGAGCCATCACGTGTGACTGCTGAAGGAGTCAGATGCACTGTGGGTAAAACAAAAACACAGAATTACTTGAGATTCATCTTTCTGAAACAAATTAAAATCAAACAAACAATATAGCTAATGTGCTCATCATCTCTGTATTTTCCCCCATCCCAGCAACTCGGGCGTTAAACACCAATAAATTGTAAAGCAACTCAGAGATAAATACGAATTGGTTTCTTCCTCAGCAGTAGACATTTATTTGACTCATACTTCCCTCCAGTTTTTCTATCAGACTCTCTCTTTCTTTCTTTAGCTACTGTTTTCAGTATTAAACAGGAATGCAGACAGTTTCAACAATTGGTGATGCCCTTTTCTTTTTCTTACCCTTCCCATCACAAAGAAGGTTGTTTAAAATTACTGTCATTTCTGGTAAAGCGGCCAAGAGAGCTGAGAAGCCTCAAAGGGTTTTCTGCTGAGCTCTATCATTATATAGCAAGCCAACTTTTCAGAAAGTCATTGCTGAATTCCTCAGTTTCTCTATGTAGAAATCATCTTCTGGATGTGGTGATAACATTTTCTGAAGGCATACAGACAGCATCCATGGTTCTGTAGTGTCCTAAATACTTTTGCTTCAAGTAACAGTTGTTTTGGCAGAAGTTTGGTTGCAGTGTTATTTCTTTTCCTTCCCACTGCTTGTGCTTGGATTCAGCCACTGTTTGGGCTTTTACTGTCATCAAGTTCCTGTGTTATTTTTGTTGGATCTTTAAGTTGACAATAAGAGAAAGGTAACTTGCACTTGCAGGGCTGCGTTTTCTGCCCTTCCTGGTCCTGACCATGGGCTTTGCTACGCTCTGGCACAGGTTGTGCTGAGCAAATTCAGAGCCAACAGCTGAGCCCTGTCCTCCCAGAGCTAAACTGCCTGTACTCCCCTCCTGTACTGAAGAGCGTTTACAATCTGGACACTTCGTATTTCCCAAACGTGTGCTTTAACCGCTCCATTCACGTATTTTGTGTGTGGGTTTGTTTGTCTTCCCTTTGCTTTGCAATTGCACGCTCCTCTCTCTGCTGACGGTTCCTGCGCCACGCCAGCGGTTCCTCGCACCAGCGCCACGCAGTGCAGCTCCGTCCCAGAGCCACGCTACGGCCGGCGGCTGGGCAGCGACTTTGCAGTGGGGGCTGTGGTGCGTTTCGAGTGCAGCGCCGGCTACGTACTGCAGGGATCCCGCAGCATCGAGTGCCTCACCATGCCTGGAGCGCTGGCTCAGTGGAACGTCTCTGTCCCCACCTGTGTGGGTAGGTGTCCTGGGCCCGGGGCTGAGCAAAAGGCAAAATGGGACAGCAGTTTGTGCGAGGAAAATAAGTGGCAGCTTTTGGGATGGTTAAAAGGAAACCAAGAAAGCTGTTTCTTATCTTGCACCGTACAAACAGGCCTGTTTGTCAACAAGAGCCTTAAATATTTGAGAAAGGACAAATGGATCCAGTTCTCAGTTGTGGAATCCAGGGTAGCATCTAGTGTAAATAGGATCTAAAAACGCTTTCTTCTTCTTCAGAGGAGAGCAGTCCTGAACAAGTTCACATGCTGAAACACTCTGTGCTGCCCTCTTGTCAGGACTGCTTGCAGCTGATGATAGAAGTTACCTGGGAGAGTTACTGAAAAGAGATTATTCCTACAAATCATGTCCTTAAATCATGATCCAATTCTGCTTTTGTTTTTTTTTTTGGTTTGGTTTGGTTTGGTTTTTTCCAATGAATAAATACTTTAAAGAGAATGTTCCTGTATAAAAGCCAAACCCTTTCATGTTCAAGCATTGCCTTGCTCATTCCAGTGCCATGTGGTGGAAATCTGACTGAGCGCAAAGGCACCATCCTCTCCCCTGGCTTCCCAGAGCCATATCTGAACAGCCTCAACTGTGTGTGGAAGATATCAGTCCCCGAGGGAGCAGGAATCCAGGTACTGAGTTAGCAGCATGATACAGAAAGGAGAAAACACAGCATCTAGTGCACATAGAGGCTGTGTGCTGGGAGGCTAAGATGGGTTGAATGTGTAATTCTCTGGAATCAGACACTCATTTACACTGCAGCTGCCATACAGTGGGTAATATTCCCATGGATTTTTGCCTCCTGGAGGCGCTCACCATGAGAAATACTTGGAACCACGTGGCTGTTTTGCTGCAACAAAATAATTGTGGTATTTGGGGTAAATACCTTTATATTCCTGGATTATGCAACCTTGACAGCATTGTAAGCTATACCAAGGAAGAGCAGCTTGCTCAGCATGCCAGTGCAGCTTTGTTCTGCCAGCAGAGTTACAGCAGTATGATTATACAATTAGAGCTTTGCTGCTCATTGTCTCCAGGTAAATGGGCCCTCCAGGTTTTGTGTGGTCCTTATCATTTCTCTGCAGAGAGTCCTGCCTGCTAGAGGATGGAGAGAATTAAGCCCAACATTAGAGACTAAAGTTTAGATTATGTTCCCATTCAGCACATGTGCACTTCACCCTGCAGAAGGTGGCTCACCACGCGTTACACTGGCATCAGTTGATGCAGAGAAGATGGATGCTTTGATAGGTTCATTCTTCTCATTAACAGAGGGTTCCTGTCTTCTTTTCACCTCTTCACAAGGGTTTTGTTCCCGAAGTGCTTTTATTTCTCTATCATGTGTTTGGCCAGAAGACTTGCAGGTGGATTCCTCCTCCTCTGCCATATTGTGCTTCTCTCACCAGTTATATTGCAGCATCAGCTCTGTGCTGTTAGATTACAGTTCTGCCTTTCTGCAGGAATAGTCTTCCGTGATGTCACCAGTGTAACTCAGAGCTGAACAATGGGCTGGGGAGCGTGGTGGCCAAGCCTGGAACACCAGCTTGTGCCCTTTGCCACGTCCAGCAAATTCCCATTTTCCCTCATCTGTTTTTGAAGCCATTTAACTTAGTGTTTTCAAAGGCCTCAACGCTTATTGTCAATTCCTTTTCTGTTCATCTGAATTTTTAGCCGTGCTCCAAACCCCTAAATGGCAGAGGGATCCATTTAGCTCAGCAAAACGTCTCAGCAGTTGAGGCAGTTTGCAAGTTGCTCAGGACTCCTGGGACCAGGAGGTGATAATTCGCTTTATTTTTAAAGTGATGTAAATAAATGTCTGTATTTTGCACTGCTGTGTTCTGAATGCAGACCCTTGCTGCCAGTTTCTCAGCGCATGGAGCTGTTTTTGTGTACATCTGCTGAGCTTAGAGGAAAGCAGCTATTACAGCAGGCTGCTAAAAGCATTTGTTTCTCACTTCTTTTGCTGTGCAAATGCAGCTATTGGATGTCAAAGTAGAAAATGTAATGTCAAAAGTGTTTTAAAGGGTTCTTCCCTCCTGCTACATACATTTTGCAAGAGAAGATGATGTTTGGGGATCTAACACAGAGTGCAGGCAAATAACTAAGAAAGAGTGCATCCTGCAGCTGAGTGTTGCCATGTCACACCTGAAGCTGAGTTTCCAGTTCTAGAGCGGTGTTCTAGGTCCAGTCCTAGTTCTCAGCAGCCCTGCAGTGTCCAACCCCAATCCCAGCTGCAGAGCACTGCATCTCCCTGCCCAGCTCTGCCCCTACGCATGGGCACGATGCTGGGTGACATCTTCCCTGACAGCAAACCAGTTCTGGTACTTCCAGTGGAAGTCCTTTGATGGGAGGAACCTGGCCTGCTGCGATCAGCTCGCCCTGCATGCACCACCCTGGTCACCCACTGCTGCATGCAACATGCTCTGGGTTATTAGATACTAATTTAAACATTGCTTTGCCCTCATTTTGTACAACAATTAAAGGTTAAACAGCTGTAAATCAGAGAAGGAGGTGAAATTAAAACTTCCTTAGCAGCGGCGAGTCACTAGTAGGATTTTTATGTAATCAGTGTATGAGCAAGCACTTCTGCCATGAATTATTCATTCCTGTAGCAAACCTTCCTGGGTGAATTAATTTATATACATGGCAGTAAATAGATGCAGATCCCTTGTGAATCCACATGTCAGACTTGAATTAGGCCCTTAAAAATGTTTATTCCGTTAAGTTGGGGACATGGGAGTGGATAAATAATTTAAAAAATGTAAGAGCAAACAAAATAAATGCACATTCTCAGTCCATGGCCTCTCAATAATATTAGTCACAACAGGAGTGTAATTATACAGGCTGGAAGGTATTGACGTGGTCAGTGCCATCACTGATGGCTCTGTAGGGGTCACTGCCATTTCTGCTAGATGAACTCTTCCTTTTTTTCTTCTTTTTTTAAAAGAAACTTTCCTGGAACTTTTTTTGTCTGCTTTATTATTCAGAATAAATCAATGAGAAAAAAAAGGTTAAAACGGCGGAAATCATGGGATTTGATTGTCTGTGTTTTGTGTTTACCAGAGCAAAAGGAAAGTAGGTGTTTGAAGCAGGTGTGTAAGTACAGAGGGAGAGGGAAGAGGAGAGCACAGGAGCGCGTGTGTGAGCAGGCTGCCTCGATTTCCAGTGTGTCGAAGCCTCTTCCAAGAGTTCTGCCCAGCAAATGTGCCCTGCTGAGCTCAGAGCTTAAGGGAGTCATTCCATTGAATTCAGCAGGGCTGCTGAGATCAGAAGCATCAGGCTTAGCAGGAAATCTCCATCCAAAGAGACCTCAAAGAATGGAGTCTCTCCAGTAAGCAGATGCATGAGGGTGGATGTGAACACGCATCTACCTGCTGGAGCTGCCAAGCTTTTCTCCCCTAACCCAGGAGTGGTACTGAGCAGCAGTGCCTCTGCCACGGGGAAACAGAGCATTGAAGAACCTCATTTTTAGATTGGTGGCCTAGAAAATAAGTTTGAGTGTCTGAAAATTTCATCTAGAGCATGCAGATTCAGGATGGCTGCTCCATGTAATCCTGGCTCTCTCTCAGGTTTGCTGTTGGACTCTTTCAGGCAATTCACCAAACCTGACCTACAGCACGGCTTATTTTTTTGTACTGGCCCACCGAATGCTTTGAACTCCCAGTACTTAGAAATAAAGGCAGAATTAATTTGAATGATAATTAAGGAAAACAAATCTACCGTGCAATTACATCTCTATCATTACTGAAGTACAGGAGCTGCTTTTCGGGGTAAATGCAGATTCATGAGATACCATGATGTTACTCATCTAAGGTTTGTATTGAAGTTCTGAGTCACAGAGTCAAGTGACTTGTACAAACCTTCAAACCCTGCAGTGCATGGCAGAGAAAGGTGGGAAATTTGAAAATGCAACTGGAGTGATGGGGTTAAAAGCTGGGAAGCAAGACAACTGCAGAGAGCTTCACTGGATTAAAAGATATTGTGATATAATGGAGGTTTCCTTCTTCTTGTAATAGTTTCTGGGTGGCTAGTGATTGCTTTCACATGAAAACATTGCAGAAGTCTTCAGGAATCTCTTTTTTTCCCCTCCCTTTCCATTATTACTTCAGATACAGGTGATCAGTTTTGTCACTGAGCAGAACTGGGATTCCCTAGAAGTGTTTGATGGAGGAGACAACACAGCCACCATGCTGGGGAGTTTCTCTGGTAAGTGCTCAGCATCGTGTTTGGTGAAATGCGTCGTGCAAGCTTCATTTCAATTAGCATCAGCTGCACTTCAGCACACACACGAAGTACAAACACGTGCTGGAAATCACCAGCACCTTCAAGCTCTTCCAGCAGCAGTGAAGAGAATGCTAGTGTGTGTACGTGTAGCTCTGAGTTTTATCTCTGTTACAAAAACTTGCCCTAAGCCCATCTTTATTATTTTAACCCTTGCTGGAAAGCATTCTATTGCAGATGAGCCTTTCCTCTTTCCTTTTGTTCTTTTTTATCCACCTCCCCGGTGTGCCCTGGCATTTTCTCTAAGCTGTGTTAACTCAGGATCGTTTCCACAGGCTGGGAGCTGTGCAGCACTGCTGGGTTGTGCAGGCTCATACCACTGCACAGGCAGGTTCACCTCCTGGCTGATTGCACCAAAATGGAGCGAGGGCTGCAAAACAACATTTATCCTGCCTTGTACTGGGGAACTGAGGTTTTTGGCAGAGCAGGGAGTAACAAGCAGCCCAAAAGCACTGTGAAGCTTTCAAATAGCAGAAGCACTTGCCAACCAATGGCCCTGATTCTTGATTGCTGAATGAGCGCAGGTTCAGAGGGCTTTGAGGCTGGGAGAGTCATGCGTAACGGCTGGCAGACTCTCCTCCCAGAGCTGCATTCTGGATAGAACTGCCTCGATCTGCTGCTGCAGCTTCCAGGGAACGAAGCAGGAGAAGGAATCCAGAGCTCCACTCACACTGCTTCCCTTTCAGCAGTTCTTTTCTCAGCGCTTTCAATCTGTCTGGTCTGTAAGTGGTAAAACTTCACATGATGGAATTCATCATTATACCTCGAAAAGGCCATTGCAGAGAGGCCTTGGGTATTTCTCAATTGGCCTCATTAGAACCTGATCAAAACCAACAGAGCTTGTTAAGTTAAAGGACTTTCTATTCTTAGCCTCTTCTGCAGCAAGTCTCTGAGGATATGAAGGAGGAAAAAAGAATCCTCTTCAGTATCTCTGTGCACCTCTTGTTTTCCCAGGAACTACAGTGCCTGCCTTGCTGAACAGCACTTCAAACCAGCTCTATCTGCATTTCTATTCGGATATCAGCGTCTCTGCTGCTGGCTTTCACCTGGAATACAAAAGTAAGAGCAGTGCAGCCTTGATCTCACAGTACCTCTGGGTAGTGGGGAAATGGCTGCAGAGCTGTTGCCTTGCAGAAGTGGAAGCTGCGTAGTGCGGGGAGGGGGCAGTGAGCTGTAAGGCCCACGTGTGCATGGTTCCTTTTCTCAAACTGCAGAGAGGTTGCGAGTGTAAGTGGAGAAGAGGATGTGTGGGGTCACAGAGTGGCTTGGCAGTGCTTTTTGGTTCCTCTGTTGTAGTACAGCAGGAGGTATGGAAGCCAAAGTATTAAAAATTCATGGGGAATTTGCCTGTTCAGTAAGGTGCTGTAATCTTAGCTTGGGAAGTGCCTAAATGGTGCTTGCCAGATAGTAGGAGGGACTGCCTGCTCTTTGCCATCCTTCCTAGGCATTCAGTATTTGTCATTGCAGGGGGCAGCATAGCAGGACTAGGCAGATCTTCATAGGATTGTTCAGGCTGGAGGGACCTCAGGAGGTAATCTCATCTAGCCTCCTGCTGAAAGCAAGGTCAGCTATGAGATAAAACTAGACTACTTGCATCTTTATGCAGTCTGTTCTGGAAAAATTCCAAGGATGGAGGCTGCACAAACATTCTGGGCAGCCTTTCATGGCAGGATCAGCTCTGCAGCCCCTGGCCATCCTGGAGCTCTTCCTGCTGAACTTATTCCACTTCTCTGTGGAAATGGGGGGGGGGAGCAAAACTCCCCCAGTATTTAAGGCACTGCCTAATGGGTGTTGAGTAGAGCTAACAGGTGTAGAATGGCAGCTCTCAGCTCTATTCAGTGCATCTAAATTGAATGTTCAGCAAGCAGGCTTGTGCATTTGCAGGGTACTAAAGATAGAGGTGTGGCAGGGCCAGGAGCATTCCTTGTGTACCTGCAACACTCAGAGGACTGGTTAGTGCATGGTGATGGGCTGGCCCTGTTTCTGCATTGGTAGCAGTGATGCTGAGCCTATGAGAGGTGTGCTGGGACTGCTGTTGTGTTCATGCAGACTTCCTTGGGGCAATGCAGACATAATTGTTTCTTGCTGGACACCAAGTCTGACAATTGCTTTTGATCACCAATTTTGTGTTCGTCTCTGAAGCAAACCAGTGTTCTGTTTATTTTGTCCAAAGTAGCAAATAGATTTGAAAGTGAGTTTCATTTTGTACAACATCCACAGAAATGGCAGAGCTGTTTGACTACAGGGACTGCCTGAGCTTTTAAGGGGCCAACTAGTAGTAAGCTTTCCAGTTTATTGTGTTTGCAGGTGGAAACCTTGCATATTAATGGCTTCAGCAAAATTACAGCAGCCAAGAAGATTTGAGAGAGGTGTGCACTAGAGAGCTCTCTGGAAGCTTGGGTGTTGTTACAGAAATCCTCCTGCTGCAACTCTGCTTCTGTCCCACTTCTGTTTCAACCAATAAATTTTGTGAGGATTGTGTTGTCGCACTGCAATAATCACTCAGGTTTTTGTGAGGCTTGGGATTGCCAGGTTTGTTTGGTTTCTTGGCTGAGGAAATTAATATGTGTTGATTTGCAGGGCAGATGGAAAGTAATGCAGTTTTTGCTTTGCTTGTACGACTGAAATTTCATGGTAAATAGGACTGAATGAAGCTCAGTGTCTACTGATCGGAATGGGAAGTTGCTTAGGGCTGTTTTCTCCATCTCTCTGAAGGTCAGGCAGCTCAGCCAGGGGTGGGCAGGGACTGAGAGCTTTCTTGCTGGAAAGCATGACTCAGATTTTTGAAGGAGAATCACCATCACCTCCTTCTTTTCTTCACCTGCTTTGGGCTCAGCCTGCAGCCAGGAGCTGGAGCAAAGCGCTGGCCTTGCAGAGGTGTGAGAGGTGATCTTGTGGCAGCAGCAGGATCGCCCTGATCGGAAGCATAGCTCGGGTGGAAATGGGATTGAATGACATTTCTGTGGGCTGCTCTGCGGGTGCTGTCAAAGTCTGGCCTCGCTTACTGCTTTCTGTATCGCCTGGAAAATTCATTGCGCAGATGAAAGCAGGGAGAGTCGGGTAAGAGAAGAAACTAAGCAGCTTTTTACCCAAATTGCATTCTGCAAACACATTATGTCCTTTATATTGCCAGCAAGGGGCAACACGGGTGATTCCCTCACACATCTTCCCCGGTGTTTCATCAAATGCTGCCTGGTCAGTGAAGGAATACACAACATACCATGAATACAGACTCTGATGAGGAGGGTTGGTGATGGGAGTTTTGATTCCTGAACCATTGAGAATGACTCAGCCTGCCCTGGGAATGGATGTGCTGATGCAGATGCAGCCCATCGGTCGAGCCATTAATGTTCAGTCAGAAATGGTTTTGGCCATGAATCACAAAATGATTAGTGATGCCTTCATTAAGAACAGTGTGTTCCAGTTAAAGTGGAGGCGATGGATGTGCGTACCTCTATGTCCCGGATCCCTCTGGGCTGTCTTCGAGGAAAATCCAAACACCACCAGCCTTTTTCATGCAGTGTCAGTGCTGGTCAGAAGCCCTTGGTGAAGGTGTGTGCTTTCCTCCCGCCTGCCCTTCCCTGTCCCACAGCACTCACCCCCCTTTGCCTTTCAGCTGTCGGTCTGTCCAGCTGCCCAGAGCCCCCAGTTCCTGGGAATGGCCTGAAGGTCGGGGAGCGCTACCTGGTGAACGACGTCGTCTCCTTCCAGTGTGAGCCAGGCTATGCACTGCAGGTAGAGGAATGGGGTTTTTTTGGCACAAAAAGGGACAACAGCAAACATTTGGGAGGGAGACCTCCAAATTCTGTCTCGTTTTTCTCTCTCTCAGGGGCACTCTCACATTTCCTGCATGCCGGGCACTGTGCGGCGCTGGAACTATCCTCCTCCGCTTTGCATTGGTAGGATTCCTCCTGCTCTTCTTCCCTAGCAGATATTTATCGTGCCCTTCTAAAAATCTGTGTAATCAGATGCTGATGAAATGGGGAGAAGTTTCTTGCCCAGACTGAGCCAGCTGCATTGTTACAGCAGGATGTCTTCAAGCCTTCTGTATTTCCTGACGCGCTCAGGTTCTCAGCCTGTTCTCCCATGTAAAGGTGCTTTAAAAGTGGCTGTATAAACCACAGCATGCTGCAGCTGATGGTTTTGCCCTCTTCATGGTGGGGCAGCACAGTGGCCAGGAGCACAGTACAGTAGGTTTTCTTTCAAGTGCATCCCTGTGGCTGAGGGCTGCTTGAGTGGCAGGGAGGACAGGAGTTCTGTGAAGGTGTGAGTCAGAGAAATGCAGCTTGTTCTGGAAGTGAGGTAAAGGCTGGAAAAAAATCTTTATTAGCTGCAAGGGAAAATTTCAGCGCTCATTCCTCCAGGGCAACCAGAATGCCTAATTTTAAATGCTTGAAATGTGGTTATGGTATAAAGCGTAAAAATACAAAAATGGTTTTGTCAATAAAAACTCATTCAAAAGGGAAAACCTGAAACTACTTTATACTGGAAGCAGATTGTCTTTATGGGTTGAGAGTTGTTTGTTTCTGTTGGCTCTTTTTTATGCGTTAAGGAAAGCTCTGCAGGCTGTGGTTCGGTTTTTTGTTTGTTTGTTTGTTTGGAAATGCATCTTGATGTCACCAAAACTGCTTCTTTTACTGCTCTTCTCCCAGTATCTCCAAGCTGCCCACCTGGTGCCTTGCTGTCCTCACTTCAGTGTCTACAGCTCCTCTGTGACCAGTAAGGGCCAGGCGTCCTGTTTGCCTGTAACAGCCATGGGCTGAGGCTGCTGAGTGCTCCCCAGGAAGGGAGGACCAGGCAATTAATTTCCACTGAGGCAGAAGTAAACGCTGAGGGAAGAGATGCAGAGGTGAAAGGAACTTGCTGGAGTTTCTGGATTATCTTCAAGCAGCATTTTGCTTTTAGCAAATCTAGATATTTAATATTCATATTGCACATTTTACAGCTTTGAGGGAGACGTTTATGCATTTAATAGCTTTAGTTAACAGTTATTTCAGGCTCCTGCTGTTTTAGCTTACATCATTTTGCTTTAAAGTAATTATAAGAGCTAACAGCTCTTTCATCTGATGATCTTCAGGCCAGCAGTAAGTGCAGAGACAGTTACAGCAGAACGTCTGAGCTAAAGGGCTCACACCCCTGGGAGCTGTTGTAGGAGAAACCAGAAGCCCTTCAGCTCAGCATCCGGGCAGGGGGTTCCAGCACGAAGGAGGATCCCAGTATTGCACCACGGATTGATGGCAAGCTGAGCAACTACAAATTCTGTGTTTTCTTCTGTCTTTTGATCAGCATCAGTCATGCTGTTCAGCTGGATTCTGCCTGGCAGGGCTGTGCCTGGTAGGCTCTGTCACAGTGTAAACCAGCACGGTTTAGTTCAGGATCTCTGCTTTAGGGCAGTCGTGGTTAAACGATACAAACACCTGTCCACCTGTCTGCTCCTATCTCTTAGCTTGCATCACACTTGACTGAAAAAGGTCATCCAGCTTCAGAGACACACAAACACATCTCCACAGCCGAGCACAGATCTGTATGAGTGACACAGTCCTTGGAGGGGCTGCTGGCAGCACTGGGGCTCCTTGTCCTTTGTGAGTCATGCACCCATGTGTCTAAATACTGCCAGAGCATGCTGGCTGCCAACCAGCTATGCAGGAACCCAGGCTGTGTCGTTCCCCTGCTCAGAGAACTCCTTCCCTCCCTAGCAGTGGACTGATTTTCTTTTTGTCTGCTTCATCCAGATGCTTGACTCCTAAATAATGTAGCAGTAGTACTACTAAAGAGCCATTAAAAGGAAGAAGAAACTTCTGGGGAATGCCTCATTAGTAGCAAGTGCACGCACAGAGATATTGGACAGAGGGAAGCTGTACTTCTGCCATCAGAATGTGTTAGGAGCACACCTGGGTGTATTCTGTTAGGTGGTTTTACTGTAACAAGGTAGAGGTCATCCAGATATGCCTGAGAAGATGATATCTGTGCTCACGTGATGCTTTTTGTAAACATATTTTGTGTGCTGTGTCATCTCTAGATCACTTCTTGGTAGGGAATTTGCTTCAGTCAGTGTGCAAACATGCTGCTCTATATTTATCAGTAATTGCCTCGAGAGTGACAAATATAGCAGTCAAGGTAGATCAGTAAACCAGATAAAGCAGAGGTAAATGGAGTCAAAATAAGATCATTCTTTTTCTTCACAGTAATTTCTGTGGTGGTTAAAAATTCAAACAAGTGCAGTGTGCATGATGTGCACTGTTATGGTGTCCATAGAGAGAGCAGGCCATCCATGTCTCTCCTTGCAGCTTAAATCTCTCCCACTGTGGTCACCAAAAGTGTATCTCTGGGTCGAGGCTTTTATCTTGAGGACAGGAGGAAGGCACCTGCTTTAGTAATGCAGCCATTCACTGCCTGGCCAATCTGTGCTAGTTCTGTGGCAGGCTTTCCTTTTTTCTCAAGTTTTTAATTTCTCTATTTCCAACATGGCTGATGGGCCATGGCCACTGTGCAGAGAGACCTGCGAGTGATCCTGACCGTGAACACCGTTGATTTTACAGCCCAGTGTGGAGGAACAGCAGAGGAGATGGAAGGAGTCCTCCTGAGCCCGGGGTTTCCAGGAAACTATCCCAGCAACCTGGACTGCACGTGGAGGATATTGCTGCCAGTGGGATTTGGTGAGTGGGCTTTGGTGTGAGCTGGCTACGTGCAGTTTGGCAAGAGAGAGAAGGCTGCGTAGCTGTGTAGCCTTCATAATTCCTTTGCTGTCAGGCACAGGAGCTCAAGCAGCCTGAAGCCACAGCATTTGTAGCCTGATCTGGGCTGAAACTAGCAGGACAGTCGCCCTTTTCCTCCAGTGCAGTAAATGTTTGCTTTTCCAATTATCCAGGCTATATTGGGCGGTGCCGATGTGCCAAGGCTTGTGCATAACTTTGAAGACAAGACTCTCTATTCTTCCTCCCTAGGTGCTCACATTCAATTCCTAAACTTCTCCACTGAGCCAAACCATGACTTCGTTGAGGTGCGCAATGGGCCGTACGACACCAGCAACGTCATCGGGCGCTTCAGCGGCACCGAAATCCCAGGCTCCCTCCTGTCCACATCTCATGAAACCACTGTGTACTTCCACAGCGACCATTCGCAGAACAAGCCAGGCTTCAAGCTGGAGTACCAAGGTAAGGAGGCCACTGAACAAGCAGCAGTGGGGCAACCCTGTCCCCAGGTGCCAGTGGGGAGGGTGTGGGAGAGAGGCTGCACGACACGGTTGCTCCTATTCTGTTGTGTTTGTTCCATGAGGACTTAATCCAAATGAGTGGAAAGGTGTTACATGAAGAGCATGCTCAATCCTCATAACTGGGATCTGTTCATCCCGACTTACGCCTTCCGGCAAATAACGAATGTTCCTAGAGTGCTTTGTAACAGTGAGCTGTCTTTGAATTAATTCCAGCCAGATTCACTTAGATCTTGGCTCTGTCGACCGGCGTGTGCAAGGAGCTGTGAGTTTGCTCTAAAATTTTGCAGCTGATTTTCAAATTGAAGTCCAGTTCGAGCACTCTGGAACGCATCCCTTCCATCCTCAGCTGCAGCTTAGCTTTGTGCTGAGGCAGGCTGGTGGAGGGGCCTGAGCTAATCAGGAAATAGCTAACTGAAGTGACAGTGGGATTGGGACTGGCTGTGAGACTTCAGCCTGTTGTAGGAGGACCTGAACTTTTGGTCCTGCTTGATCACAGCTCTGCCTTTCACAGGGTCTTTGCAAAATCCTTTGGACTTCCTTGTCCACCTGACTTTGGTAGATGGGAATGTGGGCAGAGGAGACCAGGGGCAAATCACGTGCTTCGTGCTGAAGAAAATTAGGACGGGCTTTGCTGTGCAGCAGCTGGGAGCCAAGTGATCCAAGACTGCCTGCGAGGGAGATCTGAGGAGTGGGAAAGATGGAGCGTGTGTCTCCAGCCGTGTGCTATAGCCAAGGACTGACAAAGGGCTGCCTCCCCAGAAATAGCAATAAAAGCCACTACTCATACTTAATTGAAAACATTAATTTTGTCTTGGCTGTCCTGTTCATGCACCATATAATTCATGCGCTACTGCACAATTTAGGAAGGAATGTGTTCTGTGAGGCATTCTGGGTAATCTCATGGAAATTGCTATGCAAATGAGCTCTAGCAAGGCTGACCAATAATTTATAATGCCAGGTGGAACATGCTAACCAATTGACTTACATTCATCATCAGGATTGTCCACGTTTTGCTGAAAAACAAGGCCAATTTCCCAATTAGAGGTGAAGCGTGGGGTGACCTGTGAACGCAGGGCCTGAGAAACCAGAGGAGCAGAGTGGGTCCCAGTGCTCACATCTGAGGTTACCTCAAGGCTGCCCAGGATTGTCCCTTGTCCTCCATGCTGATGTGTGCATGGTTCATTAAAGTTTTATCTCTTTCAATTAAGTCGTTGTGTGAGGGGGAAGCAGCTAAGCAGCGTGGTGAGTGTCCAGTTCCTGCTTTTATGAGAAAATTACAAGCGTGAAGCATTCCTCCATTTATTGATTTATTTCTATTTCAGCATACGAGCTGCAGGAATGCCCTGACCCTGAGCCTTTTGCCAACGGTGTTGTACGAGGAGCTGGTTACAACGTTGGCCAGTCCATCTCTTTTGAGTGCCTGCCTGGGTACCAGCTGATCGGTCACCCCGTCCTGACATGTCAGCATGGAACCAACAGGAACTGGGATCACCCATTGCCCAGGTGTGAAGGTATGGCTTTGGGATCACCCTCTTACTAAAGAACTCAGGGCCAAACCAAAAATCAAAGATTTCACACAGGAATGCACACACTTCTTTGGGGAGCACAGAAACTGTACGCAGTTGCTGTTCTGCCCTTAGCAGTCTCTGAAAAAGACTCTGGCAGCTCTGGGGACACTCAGTGTGAGAAGATTGGGTCCCTGTCCAGTCTCTTTAGCTTGGCAATGATGACATCTCAAAAACGATCCAACAGTTCTTCACTAATCTTGCACACGTGTGCCAGGTGGACCCTGCATTCCGAAGGAGCAGATCTATGGTCCAGGCTTCAAAGCTCCATCTTCTCAATTCAGATCCAGCGGAGCTCTTTCACTCTTTTATCCTTTGCACTGGTAGGCTGAGTTTTGTGAGGTTTCCTTTCGAAGGGTTTCACACAAACCCTTAAGAAATTCAAGGCTGCTCATTGAAGATTTCCGCTGCGCTAGGCAGTGCACTGACCTTTATCCCAGCCTCCCTGCTGCAATTGGTCTGTGCTGGGGAAAGAGAGGGAGGGCTGATGCTTTCTCTCTTTTAAGTCCTAAGTCCTTGAACTCCAAGAACAAAAAGCATAAAAAACGGGATCCTAGCTGTGCTGCCTGTGACTCCAGCAATGCAGAGGTGTGTTGAAAACTGTTTGGCTGCTGTGTGCTGTTGGGAGGGCTGGTGAATAATGGTAGCAGGATGAGGCCCTTTCCTTCAGGCATCAGCTCTGCCAGCTGCAACCATCCAGGCCTTAGATCTTTACTGTGTTTTTAAGTAGCTTTCCTGTTCTGCAGCACTTGTGGTAGGACAAGGAGGTGAGAGGATAGGTGTATTTTGGTCCATTTGCTTTTTTCCCTGCGCAAGCACATCTGCTGGGCTGTTAGTGCTGTTAAAGTCAATGCAGAGTGTTCCATTTCTGGCTGTTTCCTTAAATGCAGCTGAGCTGGATGGTCCATTTTTGCATACCAGCAAGCAGCAGTGACGCACTGCCTTAGGCTAACCACCTCACCTTCCCCACACAGGTCACAGCTGAACACCTGTTTAATTAAAAGAGAAGTTGTAGTCCAGACTAAAGGCACAGAGGCTGAGTTTTCCAGCAGCACTCCTAGAAGCTCTTCTGCTGATCAGCAGGCTGCCTGTTTTGCAGGGCAGAAAGGATCTTGGCCCCTCGGGTTCCTTGGGTGTTTGTTTAGAGAAGTAAATAAATGTACAGGTTTATATAATTACTCAAGGTTTTCTCAGCTTGACAAACCACAGGAGAAAGCAGAGCAGAGCCAGGCAGTAAATATTTGGAGCCTGACTTTAACTTCATCTTTGGCACATCAGATCATATCCAGAGTGGTACGTATCTGTGGGGCTACTCCCCTATGAACAGGAGAGTGTGGTGCCATGTTTTAGGACAGCGCTGAGCCTGACGTAATAAGTTGTGCTGGGAGGAAGAATGTGTGAACCTAAGCCAAGGACTGGGTTAACACAACTGTGTGGCTTCTGAAAGGGAGCTGGCTCAGGCAGGGGACTATCAGAATCTACCCTGTGAGAGGTCCAGAAGCTGATTCTTGTGCATGGGACTCTTGGACCCAGGGGCTTGCTGTGGCCCTGCTGCACTTCAGCAGGATGTCATTTTTCTGTCTCTCTTCTTCGCTGCCCTGGCTGCTTCTAATTACATCTCTGTAGCTTCCAGGTTCATTTAGGCCTGGAAGATACCTGGTGCAATAGAACTGTCGTCTTGATTAATGAAGTGGATGCTGCTGTTGTACAAATAAATCATCATTTCCCCCCTGCTCAGATGCGATCTGTGGAAAGCCAGCTGCTCGATGGTTCTGGTCCAAGCCAAGCTGTATGAGCAAGTGCATAGATTTGCCCACTGGTGTGATCTGGTCAGGAGCTGTGTTTTCTATGCATGGGTGCAAACAGCTGGTGGACCCCAAGGGCTCTTACTTGGCTGTAAGGAGTTGATTTGTGCACCTGGCCATCACATCTGTACAAAGCAGTCTGACAGTCTCCTTTCAGCTCCAGAGCTGAAACAAATTTATTGCAATGGAATTGAGTTGAAAAGGTTAGAGGTAGTTGTGACAGGCGTAAACTATTCATGGTGAGGTAGGCTAAGGTTTTGGGGCTGGATCCACCTGTGTGCAGAATTGCTTTTATTCCCCCCCAAAAAAAAAAGAAATAAAAATGGGAAAGAGAAGATATTAGAAAGTCATTGTTTTGGGGGATGTTTCTTCACTAGGTCTGTATTTGTTTGGTTCTGCAGTGCCTTGTGGGGGCAATGTCACCACCCAAAATGGGACAGTTTACTCTCCTGGCTTTCCCAACCAGTACCCCAATTCCCAGGACTGCACGTGGCTCCTTACAGTGCCTGTGGGCTATGGGATCCATCTCAACTTCACTCTGCTGCAAACAGAGCCCTACAACGATTTCATCACCATTTGGTGAGTACAGCAAAGGTGTGAGGACTGAGCAGAGCTGCTGCTCCGGCTGCGTTTCAGCAAGATGCTCTTGCAAAGGCAGAGTGCTCCCGTTGCTGCAGGGTGTGCTGTATTTAAGAGCAGGAGGAGGCATCCTCTGGGGACAGTGGGATTTTGGACAGCATTTTTTAAGACTTAATAGGTCTTTAATTCCATTAATTGCTGTGATCATCGGCTGTTAAAGTGGGGCACATCAAACCTGCGTGGTTCTGGGGGGAGTTCTGTGTGTGTGTGTGGTGTAGGAGGGTGGTTGTTGCCTGGGGTTGAAGGTGTGTAATAGTGCCTTTTTCTTGCATTCTCACCTACAATTTTAGGGATGGTCCTCAGCAAACTGCCCCGCAGCTTGGAGTATTCACTGGCAACTCTGCTAAGAAGTCAGCCCAAAGCTCTTCCAATCAGGTCCTGGTGAAATTCCACAGTGATGCTGCAAACGGAGGGATTTTTGCCATTTACTTCTATGGTCTGTATTGCTTCCTGCACGATGCATGCACTGTACCTGCCTTGGGATGCAGAGGGGCGTGGGTCAGCTGTGGCTTCCCGTGGGGAGACGATACATGGAAGAAATGGGCTTTTACCTGAAATCTTGTGCGATGGGGTGAAGTTCTCACAAGTTTGAGATTGAAGGTCTCTTGTGTGATCAGGTGCTGGCAAGCGGTCGCGCCGTCTGGGCAGATGCAGAAATCCATTTGTAACACTGTGATAACTCAGGCACAGCCAAGAGCCCACGCACTAACAGCCACGCCATCCTGTGCCCCTCTCAAGGTGATGCTGTAAATACTGTCCTCCCCGTGGCAGATCCCATTATGGATAGCTCCACTCTGTTTACTTAAAGCTCTCCCTCTCTGCAGTTCTGGCTGGACACGGTATTGTCTTTCCAATGCCATGCTGAACCAATTGGGTCATCAGCTGTGTTCTGACGGAGAGGTGACTTCGTTTCCACGGGGAGGAAAATGATTCTTGTAAATCTCTGAATTATTTGGGGATTCTTTGGTGTGAGTGCAGCTCACACCAGAGAGATGTGTTGGGTATTACATCAAAATGAGAACATCTGCTTTCCGCCTCTGAAAGAGGACCCAATTTTAAATTGGATTAGTTGCTACGGCAGTACTGGGTTTTGCTGGGTGCAAATGGAGACCTCCCCTTGCTCTGGTAATTTGCTTGCAGCAACTTCAGCAAAGTTTAACATGAGTTACACAATGAATCTGTGCAGAATGTTTCTGCTTACGCTCGGTTCCAAAAGGCAAGAATTATACAGATTGGCTGAATTCAAAGAGTGCTTGCCAGGCTTCGGAGGGAATTGGTTTTCTGCTGCAAAACACTGCAAGATTTATATTATCAGACCATGGTGCATATGTAGGAGTTATGCAAAAAAACAGTTTGGTGCAGAAATGAGCAGTATGTGAACGCTGCTGCAGCTGAGCCAATGCTTCCTTGTGTCACACGAATCAGTTACTGTCTTTGCTGTGCTCAGAGCCCATCAGCATGTGCTGCTGCCCTCCATCCTTGACAGCCCTTCATACTGAGGTTTCTTTAGCTCGTGGTTTCTCTGAGGTCTGAAGCCACCCTGGGCTGTCCAGGCAGGAGGTCTGGAGTGGTGCTGGAAGGAGCAGCGTCAGCCAGCAGCCGTTTGGAGCCCATTTTCCAGATGGGCTCTCTTGGCCTTTTATTAAAGCACAGCTCACTGGTTTATTGGTCCCTTTATACATGAGGCTTTAATATAAAGCCTAACCGGAGAGATTCGCTGATTGAGGTGCTTGCCTGCAGGGTGAGATTCCTCTCATTCTGCGTGTGGAGCCTCGTGGCACTGGGGAGATGGAGAGAAGGGAGAAATGTTCATTCTGGGATTGCAGAGCACAGTCACTTGCAGTGCTGGCATTGCTCTTTGGGGTGTAACTGCAGGAAATGGAATTTCCTCGGGATCTGTAGCAATGTGTATTTTCATTTCTTCAGCTTCACGTTGGCAGATCTGGGACATAGACGCCCCCCTTCAGCTTTAAATTGTCTTTTCCCTTGCAGAGCAGATCAGCAGCACCCTTCTCAGAGAACCATTGCTCTTTCAAATGCCTGCAAAGAAACATTTCCTCAGGGTGGAGGAGAGGAAACAAAAGAATGATTTAGAGAGCTGGAAGATTGAATAGCAGCCCTTGAAAAATGATGATGTGGCACCTATTATTAAATGGGTTAGCTCAGGTGCCAGCACGAACTGAAGTGTGAGTGTGACGGGGGGTTTATGGCACTGTAACTCAGAGGGTCCCACTGTGGTTTCAAGGACAGGACTCTGTTTTGTCCTGGTGAGAACAAATGGATGTGCTGTTGAAAGGAGCTTTGCTAGTGCTGTATCACCCATATGCTGAAGCCTTCTTAATCGCACCTCCTTATTGAAATATGGCCCATTAAGGAGAGGAGATTAATGCTGTAAATGTGGGTTATCTTTCCACTTCAATAGATGCTGTCAAGTGCTTTTTAAATCGCATTTAATTTAAATTTTTGTTGCGGATTCCCCCTTCCCCCGCTGTCAAACAGCTGTTTAAAAGATTGCAAACAAGCGTTGTCCCTCCGGCTCGTGGCTGTGTAGCACAAGGGCTCTCCCCCGCTGCCCCCTCCGCTGCCTCTCCCCTCCTGCACACCCAGGGAGGTGATGATGATGATGCTGATGGCACCACACAGTCCCAGGGATCAGTGAGCTGTAGCTGAGCCCCATTCCTGGATGCAGTGCAGCCATGGAATGCAGAGTGCTCCGTGCCTGCAATGCTGACCTTCCAGCATTATTGTTCTGCAGCACCTTAGGGGGTAGGGAAATTGGGGTGAGAGGATGGGAAATCTGCTTCTTTACATGTGTATTTAAGCATTATCGTAAGCCTCATTAAGGTTGCTGCCAGCTTTGCTGTGGTGTGAAGAGTTTGACATAGTGGAGTTGGTAAGAATTAATATTCAGTGGCAGCTTGAGCTCCAGTATCTTAAATTAAAGGGCTGATATAAATTTCAGAGGAAGTTATGCTTGTCCAGGGTCAGGTGCAGGGGGAGCAAAGATGCACAGAAGTGCTGAGCAAATAGCAGAAAATGTCTTTCATTAATATTCATTTAGTTCCCAGTACCATTTTTTTTTTTTCAATTTAGCCACGCTCGCAGCTCCTGTGTGTTTATTTTCGTAAGCAGAGCAGTTCTCAAGCCTCATGCACCCCTCTCCTTGTAAGCAGTACGTTTGCTTTGTTCCATGTTTGCTCATCTTTAATTTTTGATAGCAAATGTGCTCTTTGCAGTGTGTTTGGTCGGGTGCTCCTCGACTGGAGCCCTTCCCACGTAGCCACCTAACTGCACAGCGTCTGCATGGCTCTGCCTGGTGTGAGATGTGAGCCTGGCAGCCTTGCCGAGCTGCTCTGTGACCTGAGCTACACACAGAGTTTGCAGCTGAAAACGTTTGCACTCCTGGAGTTATCTGCAGAAGAAATTAATGAATAATTCCGGGTTAAAAATAAGTCGTAGAGGTTTTTGATCTCTGTTCAGGGTCAAGTTGAGAGTCTCTGAATAATTATTGTAATTTACTTGGTGCTGGAGCAGTCTGAGAGTTCTCCTCTTCTGTGCTGACCTAACCCCAGTGAGGGCCCTTCTCGTGTATCCCAGAGGACAGCAACATTGCCTTATGGCAGCACCCAGCAGTTACCATTCAGTGCTCATCCAAACAGTCCAATGGAGCCCAGGCACCTCTGGATCCTCAGACTGATGAAAATCTGTTTCCTATTAGATGCAAAAAATAAAATAAAATAAAATAAGCTGTTCTGGGAACGCAGGTAACTGGAGCCATCTCTGCAGTGTTTGGAGAGGAAAGGGCTGGTTGCATTTCTGCCCTTCTGCTGGTGAGGGGAGGATTTGCTCCAATGTCTGTTGTGCTGTTCTGAGACAGCCATGGCTGCTTCCATCCCCAGCTTAACATTTGCTGCTCTTCCTTTGCTGTCTTTTCAGCCTACCAGCTCTTCAGGTGTCAGCCTCCAACCATGGTTCCCAACGCAGAAATCATCACTGAGAATGAGGAGTTTAACATAGGTAGGCTCACGGTCCCTGTGCCCTCCTTCCCTTGCTGTCCTCAGCTGCTGGCAGTGCCCACAGGAGGACACATGTTGTCCATCCCAAATCCCGGGCTCCAAGAGACCCCTTTGCACGTGTAGTTCTGTGACACTGCCTGATGTGTGGCCCTGCTCAACAGCCACCATAAACAAGCTCCCCACACTTCATAGATTCATAGAATTGCTCAGGTTGGAGCAGACCTCCAAGATCACCAAGTCCAACCTCAACCCAACCATACTACCCTTACTCTAACAACCCACCACTAAACCATATTCCTGGCCCTCTTTTCAGGGCACAATTCATCCTTCTCCTCGGTCAGGATGTTTTCTGTTTCTTCCTGCAGGTGACATTGTGAGGTACAGATGCCTTCCTGGCTTTACACTGATTGGAAATGAAATCCTGACCTGCAAACTGGGCACTCACCTGCAGTTTGAAGGCCCTCCACCCACCTGTGAAGGTACAGCCTGGGGTCCCACTGGCACCCAAAGCTTTCCTGCCCAGGGATGGCTGCCATGGGCTCAGGGCTTGCTAAGGGACGTAGCAAGCGGGGTGGCAGCTGGAAGAGGTTTCCTTGCAAATGCTGCAGCAGAGAGGTCAATTTTCTGGCTTCTGGGGTCCTGATGCTGGAAAATGATGGGGCAGGGGTGCTGCCCTGCCTGCCTCGTGGCACTGGACCATGCACCTCCACTGGGCTCAGCTGGCAGCAGCTTAGTAATGATGAGGGATGTGCCGGGTGACTCACTGCAGCAGCTCCCTGATAAATGATAGGGAACTTCCTCTGCTTCCTGCTGGGGGATCTGTGGGCTCTCAGCACCATATGGAAGGGCTCCGCTTCTTTTTGGTGCTGCCAAATTACCCCCCACAGCCTGAAGGCAGGAAAGCACTTTGAGCTCGGACTTGCTGAAGTGGGACTGACTGAAGCCGTGCTGATGGAGCTTTGCCACGCTTTGTGTCTGGCTGCCTCCGTGAAGTCATTAAAGCAGTCACCCAAACGTCCTTACCCGGGGTGGGGGGAGGAATTGTGCCTGACAGTTTGCCAGTGAGACGTGAGCAGCCGAAGCGGGGCAGAGCAGGCTGCAGCCCAGCCCTCCTGCTGCGAGGAGCAGCCTCTGCTGGTGCTGCAGAATGTCTGACGTGGGAGAGAAACGAGTGCTTGGGGCACACTGCATTGTGCACCTTGCTGCTGCTCAGGAGGGATCCCAGGGATGTTTCCGTGCTACCATGTTACCTTATTTATCCTCTGGGTTCCTGCTGCTACTTCTGTTTGCTCCAACTGTGATTATTTCATCTCCTTCATTCCCTCCTATCTGAACATTTTTACCATATAATGGGATATTTTTTCTGTAGCTTTATTCTCTCTGAAATAGCGTGACTGAAGGAGAGAAAGAGAGGTCATTCAATTATTTGCTGATGGTTGTTAGCCCGGGGGTAAAGGGACTCCTTAAATTACATCTGGCCACCAATTTACAGAGGTCAAAAAATCACTGATAGGATTAAGGATTTGGAAAGAATACAGTGTTCTTTCTGGATAGTTCTGGCTGTTTTCTATTAATACAAGTGCAATGTTTGCACTGAGTTTTAGAGACAATTATGGATAAAGTAAGATCCCTTTCTTTTTATGCTTTCTGCTCACTTTGTGTGTTAGCCTCCTCTCCTGGGGTGCAGTTGCCAGCCTTTTCATTTAGGGCTTTCAGCTGCATTGCTATGTCCAGAATTCCTCTGACTGGGGGCTCCAGTGGTGAGAGAAATGAAGTAGAGTGCTTGTGTCCTTGCTGACAACTCAATGAGTGCCTTGGGATAAGTCCATCGTTCCCCACTTTATTCTGCCCCAAGTTTCCAGGGGCTTCCAAGAGAACATTTTGCAATTTGAGGACAGTCGTTTGGTTGCAGTGCCATTCATTCTGAAAAGCATGTGAAATGGTGCAGAGGCTGTTGAACTGTTTTGCATTCCTGATTTTTGCCCCTTCCTTTCAATTTGGTGTTCATTTTCTGCGGTCTCTCCTCGTTCCCTGCAGTGCCCTGCCCCATGAACGCGGTGATGACGGACTCCACCGGTGTGATCCTCAGCCAGAGCTTCCTGGGAAGCTACCCTCACTTCCAGACCTGTTCTTGGGTGGTCAAGGTGGAGCCTGGCTACAACATCTCCCTTACCATCGAGTACTTCCTCAGTGAGAAGCAATATGATGAGTTTGAGATCTTTGATGGTAAGAGACTCACCAGTTTGACTTGCATGGCATCTGAGGGGAAAGGGAAGAGGTAGCAGAGCTGTTAGCTGTGAATGCCATCCTTAAAGCCTGTGCAGACCAGGTATTGTATAGGCCTGGACAAACTGCCAAGGAATGTATCAGCACTCCTAAAGACACAGCTGTGCAGCCAAATGCAGAATGCAGGTGCTCTGCTGAAGCCCTTGTGTTCACCTGGAGCAGAAGCCAGGTCTTGCTACAGCCACCAGGGCTTTCTTTGCTGTTGGTTTTCTGGGAGCCAGGTGTATTCGTTGGAGCTCACGCTCACAAAACAAGCACTGAGCACGAGCTCATCGTGAAATGGATGCTCACACGGTGCCATTCCAAAGCACACCTGTTTCTTCTTGCAGAAAGGCACTCTGGCACATAGGGCCCATGAGTGATACTTTCTGTGTGCCAGCCCTGGCTGTTACACGCTCCTCCTTCCTTCCAGGTCCCTCTGGCCACAGCCCACTGCTCTTGTCGCTCAGTGGGAACTACTCTGCCCCTCTGACTGTTACCAGCAGCGGGAACAAAGTCTATCTCCGTTGGTCCTCTGATCATGCCTACAACAGGAAAGGCTTCAAAATCCGCTACTCCGGTGAGTGCCTGGCAGGGGCTGCATGGCTCTGCCAACAGCCTGGTCATCCCTTCAGCTACAGATCTCCACAAAACTGCTGCAGAGGGGCAGAGGCCATCTGTGACCACAGAAAGGTGCCAAAGCTTGCGGGAAGGCACACGAATTCTTGTTCTGAGGCTGGTGAGGCTTGGGAAAGCAGCTCCACCACCAGAAAAACCCAGCGGCTCTGTCTGGGCTTCCTACTCTTAGCAGTCAGAACCAGAATGTGTAACCACAGACAGCTTGGTTTTGGATGAATGAAACCCACCCGCTGCAGTTCAGTCAGATTCCTGTTACAAAATTATTGTGTCTCTGTAAAGATGAGACCATTTTGAGATGTTTGAAAAGTAACATCACGAAACGTAACTTGTGCTAAGAGCTTCCTGCTGCGTGGGGACACTCAGGTGTCACTTACTGAGTTACAGACTTGTAGAAAATGGTATCAAAAGCCTCGTGCCCTGCTCAGGCATTGTGCACTTTTCTTACAGGAGCAGAACCAGGGATTCCTGGTTGCTCATTCAGCACAAAACTGCTGCTGCCTGTCGAGCGCTTGCTGAGAATTCCTTAAAGTGAATTACTATTTTTTGGAACTTAGCAAATCTTAATTAATGGAAGTTATAAAACTGGGTTGAGAACTTGCCAGCGTGTCATAAATAAGTTATGACTTTACTCAGTAAATGAATTAAGTAATATTTAATTATCAGAAATTACTTTTTATTTCTAGAGCTGAGCGAAATGCAGATAGTAGCTCTGCACTCTTTCCCCCTTTGCCTTTGTCTTTATCTGTCCCTGGTTCTGCTTCTTGTACAGCCTCAGGTTATGGTAAGCAGCCGAAGCCAGGACAGCCCAAGAACAGGAAAGGAATTTGTCGCGCTGCAGCCCGCGCACTGATTTCTGTACCTCCCTCTCCCCTTCTCGCAGCTCCTTACTGCAGCCTCCCGCAGCCCCCAGCCCATGGACTGATCCTCAGCCAGACGGGGCTGCAGCCCGGCTCCACGGTTCGCTTTGGCTGCGACAGCGGCTACCGGCTGGTGGGACACAGCACTGCCACCTGCAGCCAGCACCCACAGGGCTACTTCCAGTGGAACGAAGCGACCCCGCTGTGCCAAGGTGAGAGCGAGAGGCTGCGTCCATCCGAGGAGCTGGCAGTCGTGGGAAGGGCTGAGTAAAATGGGTACAAATGAAAGGCTGCTGTAGTTCCCCTGGTTCCCCGCTGAGGCTTTGAGCTGCGTGGAGGCAGTGAGAGGTGATCCTCATGTGCGAGTCCTTGGGAGCAGATGAGCAAGGAAGGAAGGGAGTTAGCTGCTGAGGAGCAGGGGGTCATTCGTTGTCTGCACTGGGGCAAGCAAGAGAAAGTCCATCTGTGCAGAACCTTCAGCGTTTGAATTCTCAGTAAAGGCACAGCCAAGCTTCAGTTAAGGACAGGAGGAGAATGTGGAAAGGAGGGAAGTAGTGTGAGTCCTGCTGGGATTTGGTGCTTGGGATTTCCTTTAGTGTTTCTGGAAATCCCCTCTCAGCTCTGTGTGTGTCCGTGGGGGATGGGATTCAGATGGTGCCCAGTTTCTGTTGGCTTCATGTGAGATTCAGGCATGCCATTGTTCTTTCCACATCACCTCCTAATTAGCCGTAATCGTTATGACATGTCATACTTAACACATGGCTCCTTCCAGGCGTGGGAGAGAGGGCAGGGCAGGGCAGCGTGCCTGGAGGTTTGCATTTGCACTGTTTCCTCTCTTCATGCACACTTTCTGATTGCACCTTCTTCAGAATCCACCAGTCATCCCTGTGTTGATAAGGTGACCGTCTTTATTCAGATGAAACCTTTCAGTGTCTTTGAACATTCATCCAAATTCCAAGGGAACTGAACACAGGGGATTAATATTGCATTGACTTCCCTGGAAACCAGCCAGAGAATGGAGACAGCATAGGCAAAATCCCATTGCACTGTCTGCATCATCACCCAGCCCGAGCCTTAAGGAAAAGCAGGATTATTTAGCATGAGGGGTTCCAAAGAGCCTTGAAAATTCCCTTCTGCTTAGGAATATGGTTTCGTGGGCATGATGGCGATGGGTCAGTGGTTGGATTTGATGATCATAGTGGTCTTTTCCAACCTTTCTGATTCTATGAATCGCTCAGTCCCTTCTGGAGGCACACAGCTTGTGTGCAGTCCTGCCTCATAAGGGATGCTCTGCAACGGGGGTGCTTGATGGAGCCCTCTCAAGGCTGTATTTGTGTAAAGGTGGTTGGAAAACAGTGAACCAATCCTCTGTCACCAAAACACGGCGCCGTTGGCGGGGGAGAGCTGGGGAAATGGGCACAGGCTCTGGTGATGATTTAACTGCAGCAGTAGCTGGGCTGGGGCTGCTGAGCGGCACCACGAGCCAGGCATGCACAGGGCTGTCATGGCAACTGTGCCTGCAAACCCTGAGCCCAGCACAAGGAATCTCTCTGATGCAGCGGCTCCTTTTCTTAAGGAAAATCACACAATGAAGAACAGTGGTAATGCTGCCGAGCACTCGCTGTCCTGGTGTGCTGGAGTGCCACCTGAGCCTCGTTCAGTTCCGAAGCCTGTGTTTACCTCTGGGAGCTGCACGGGGGGTGGATTTCAGACACAGAGACAGAAGAGGATGGACAGAGAGAGGATGTGAGATGTTGGGAGCATGTTGCATAGAGGGGTGGGAGCAGAACGCTCCTCGGAGCTCACGCAGGTTCTCTCTGTAACCCCATTGGGAAAGTCACCTCCTTTCTCTGCTCACACATGTTCCCATCAGGGATCTCAACAACATCCCATGGGTACCGAATGCCCTGAGCTGGGAATGGGAGGTGGGCGAGCAGAAGCAAACAGAGCCATAGGAGAATTCATGGCAGTGCAGCTCCCCCTGGCTCCCAGCAGCTGAGAGTGGGGTTGGCACAGCTCTCCATGCTCAGGTCAGCTGCAGAAAATCCAGCACTTCTTTTTTTGCATTGCTCCCAAAGCCAACTGGCAACCTTTTGTTTTGGGCTCTGCTCAATTTCTCATCCTTTCCGGTGGCCAGAACAAAATGGCAGAGATTTGGGAACTCGATCTGCAGCACAGCATAAATTGCTCACACAGTCAGCTGTGTCAGGAGGAGGAGAACCGGGGTCCCCGTAAACACGTGGTCTAGTTAACAAATAACATTTCCCATAGCTTCCTCCTGCCAGCACATAATCCTCTTCCCCTTCCCCGTCCCCTCTGAATAATCTTTACTACATGCTCTGTCCTCACTGACATTTGTGGAAGCAGCAGAGAGTATTCTACAGGGAACAATCTTGCGTTGGCACAATGGAGGAGAGCACAAGATGATCTAATATGCCTTTTCTGTCTCTGCTGTCTATTTTTAAGCTGCTTTGTTTTTGGATTCCCAGCTGCAGATTTGCTTTCATAGCCTCTGTCCCTTTTCCTAGCACATTTTCTTCCTGCATACTGAGCTTTTGTACCTCTGAACCCCATAAGCGCTCCTTTTTCCCCGGATCTCACTCTCAGTGGGTCTCTGCTGGCCAAATGTTGATTGTGCTTTCCCCTGGAACAGCTTCTGCCTTTAATCTCTGGTTTTTGTAGATTTCAATGTCCAGAATGTGAGCTTCAGAAACGCTCTTTGGAGCAGGATTATCGCCACCCCAGAACCAAAGCTGGACAGTGTCAGTAATGAGTTCCCCATCGCTCCTTCTGCTCAAAGATGGCAGGTTGCAGAGAAGGATGGGACTGCCATCAGGTGCAGCACAGTTTGCAGTCCTAATTAGCTCTTCCTGACCAGCACATCTTCATGTTGTAGCCTGACCATCTGCAGGAGGAGAGAGTTACTTTTTTTGTTATTTCTGATGGCCTAATGAACATTTTGGTTAACTGTCTCTGGCCCAGAAGTTCCGTATTATTGCTAACTAACTACTAGCAGTGCTGCTGCCTTTGGGATCTCTCTCTCCAGCCCCTGGGAGCAGCAGAGAATTGAGCCAGAGAGAGGAGGAAGCTTTGCAGGGGACAATGGCAAGGGAAGGGCTCAGCTTTCTTCCATCCTCTTGGATAGGATGCAGCATCAAAAGGCATAGCAAGAGAACTGCAGGGTGGAAGTGGAAGGGTGGGACTTCCCAGGCCTCCTCTTCTTTTGCCTTCGAATGAAATTGGTATTCAGCGTGGCTGCTTGTCTAGACACCCAGCCTTGTGAAGAGATTCGCTGAGCTCCTTAGCTCGATGAAGTGACATACGTGTGATTATCATTTCAACCAGGGATATGCCTGATCATGCTAATACCAGCCTGCTGAATTACTCACACCTATTAGCAACACCAGTGTCTGTGAGGTGCTGTGTAATTGTGCTCCAGGCTGGGGCTCTGACCGACTCGTGGAGTAGTGGTGGGATAAAAACGTTCTGGACCTTGAGTGGTGGAGAGCTCCAGTGTTGTGCTGATGCTATACATGGGAATGTTGGTTTCTCCTTTCAGTGTTCAGTGGGGTCCACATCACCAGGAGGTCACTTTTCTAAGGTTGATGATTTCCTAGCTCCTGTTTATTTGCAGGGGGAATAATAGGAAGGTCAGCACAGGGCTCAGGAGACATAGGCTCAGCTTCCAGTTCATGCATTTGCTGGATGGATGCAGCTCAGGTTTGATTTCTCAGCTCTTATCAACACTGGGAGAGTCAGATTTGAATGACAGATTCCCAGTGCTGCTTTTCTCAGCATTAGGGAAGAGGGCAGCAGGGTTTGCAGCAACTTGTGAAACTCTTGCAGCATAAGTGAGTGCGATTCCGGCCTGTCTGTGTCTGGCTGGTGCTTGCATTGCTGGGACCTGCCTGGCCCAATCCTGCCCAGCTCCTCCCAAGTGCTGCTTTCCTGCACGGCCATTTGGCACTGTGCCTCTTTGTCAGTTTTCCTCCTGAATTTCCCCCTCCACCTTCTCAGCCACGATGCTAAATTTATCCCTCCTTCTGGCACTACATAATTATAGAATTTGCTGCCTACTGCAATCCAGAAGTGCAGTTAGAAAAGGGTTTTGGGTTGCTGCTGCTGTGGGATGTAAATACAAACCATTACTGCTATCTAATCCTTTATCTGTGTGTGGAAACTTTCGAATACTGTGTTGATGCATTTTGTGTTATGGATATTATAGAGCATGAGCCAGTCTCTTCCAGCAGATGCTGGTACTGAGCGCTGGCTTTGCTGTTACCTCACCCTTAGAAAAGAGCTGAAAATCTGATCCTCTGTGGAAGTGGGCATTCAGTGCAGCTTTGGGATTCAACGGAGTGCTGGAGCTTTCACAAACAGGAGAGCTTGAGATCAGGCTTTCGGCTCACTTACAGATATCTGTGATAACACTGGGAGCTGCCTGATTGCTCAGCTGGGTTCTGCTCTCCTCCTTCCCAGCTCTCTCCTGCGGAGTTCCCAGAGCCCCAAAGAACGGCGTCGTCTTTGGCAAGGAATACACGGTGGGGACAAAAGCTGTGTACCACTGTGACCAAGGCTTCCAGCTGGCTCCTGGTGAGCCACCCAGCACCGAGTGCCTGCAGGAAGGGCAGTGGAGCAACGGCAACCAACCCCCACCCTGCGTGGGTGAGTACCATGAGCACCATCAGCCTGCTCCAGCAGGGGCAGCTCTGCCTCTCAGGTACAACATTAGTACACAAGGATCCTCAGCCTGTGTAACTTGTGCCCCCGGGGCTTCATTTTCCCACCTGTGAAATAGAGATGTTGATGCTACCCCCTGTTTAAAAAACCATCCTGAAATACCCCAAAGCACCCTTTAAACAGCTTTGTCTCATTTCTTTCCCTGGCTTCCAGCTGTCACCTGTCCCGATATCAGCAGCATTGCTGTGGAGCACGGCCGGTGGCGCCTGACCTACGAGATCCAGTACCACTACAACGCCCAGCTGATGCTCATCTGTGACCCTGGCTACTACTACACAGGGCAGCGGGTCATCAGGTGCCAGGCCAACGGGAAGTGGAGCATCGGCGAGCCCATGCCAACCTGCAAAAGTAAGAACAGAGCTCAGCCGTGCCAGGCGCCGGTCAGCTGCACCGGGCATCTCACGAGGATCACGCTTTCTGATGGCCATGGGACAGGGGTGCGAGCTCTGCTGTTAGTGTGCAAACACAGCCCTGGGTGCTCTTGGCAGCACCTGAGGGGGTAGCTGCAGAACTGTGCTGCTAAAGGAGAGTTTGGGAGCAGGGAGAGGTCATCTGTTGGTCTGATTCTCGGTTTAATTCAAACACTTTTCCAAGAACTCAAGCACATTAGCTCATCTGTCGCTGTCGGGTCCCAGCAGCTTAGCTGTCACCAGTGCCAGATGCTCTAAAGTTTGCTTTTAAGAAAGAAAATAAAAAATTCTGATTCAAAAGCTAACCTCTTCCAATTTGATGCAAATGCCAAGTTTATGAGGGTAACAGAGTCACCTGTAAATCAAAAGCATTCCTGGCATACAAGCAGCTCTCAGTCGTTCTGACACGACTTCAGTGCTTTGGACCTCCTCTTTTGTCAAAGGTGGAGTTTTTCTTCTTCTAAGTGCAGATAGAGGCAGCAAGATTTCTCCTTCAGAATGGCAGCTCTCCTTTCCCTCCTGGCTCTCTTTGTTTCTGGAGATGCGACTGCCAGCTTCAGTGACAGATGTAGTTTTACCCCCGCTAGCTCTTCAGCCAGATCCAGGAGCGTGAGCCTGACCCCATTTTATTTCTCCTGTGTTATTGCCACATAAATTCCAATGACAGGAACTTGGCAGTGCACTAAGGTCAGAGGAACCCAGCGTGAGGCTCTGTTTTCTTGCTGAGTGTGAAAGCTCCCAGAGGATTTGCAGATCTTTAAGGCAGGTGAAATAAAGAGCTGAACTTTGTGTCTGGAGCTGCATCTCCAAGGGCTCCCAGCTCAGCTCCAGCTGCGCCAGAGGAGGCGGCTCCCGGGTTCTCATCTGGGTGTCCTTTCTGGGTCAGGTCTGGAGACTGCAGCCCTATCCTGGAAGTCGCTGCCAGGAGCACAGAGGTCTCCAAGCTCTGGTTTGAAATCCCACATTAATCTTACGCCATTTTGTGGGTTTTTTGAAAGTCATTGCTTCCCAGCTGCATCTGGAGGTGGCTTAATAATGGAAACATCTCTGTATGAAGAACTTCCTTTGTGAAAAAGGCTGGCTTCTTCCCAGCCAGTCTCACCTTTCCTGCTCGACTCATGTCTTGAAGCATGAACATTAGCAGTGCTCATGTGTCAGCTCACACAACGTGACCAAACCGTTGTTGTTCCGCATGTAACTGTTTAATACTCATTTCTGCCTTCAGTAATGGCTTGTGATGATGAGAGTCGCATTTCTGTTAAACAAAATGAAGTACAGATATAAATTTCCTCTTACTGTGCTCTGGGATCCTTTTCAGTTATCTCCTGTGGAGACCTGCCCACGCCTCCCAATGGGAACAAGATCGGCACGCTGACCAGCTATGGGGCCACTGCCATCTTCTCCTGCAACACTGGCTACACCCTGGTGGGCTCCCGTGTGCGCGAGTGCATGGCCAACGGGCTGTGGAGCGGGGCTGACGTGAGGTGCCTGGGTACGTGGTGGTGCTGAGGGAGCCCTGATGGCGTGTCGGGAGGGAGCAGGGGTTTAAAGGCTGCTTGGAGAAAGAGCCCGAGCGAGGACCGAGCGCATTGGGGTTGTCAGTAGATGTAAGAAGGAAGCGGGCTTTGATTCCGTACCGCTTCGCAGCTGTGAGATGTTTTGAGATGGGAGAGGAGAGCTTTATTAAAAATGATCTGTTGTTTTTGCTGCCGCTCCGGTTTGATTCATGACTGCAGATCCACCCAGACAGGTCGGCGTGCTCCGGCTCTGGGCGGGAGCTCTGACTGCTTCCCCTGTGTCCCTCCTGCAGCCGGGCACTGCGGCGTTCCCAGCCCCATCGTCAACGGGCAGATCAACGGTGAGAACTACAACTACCGTGGCAGTGTGGTGTATCAGTGCCAGCCCGGCTTCCGTCTGATCGGGATGTCCGTGCGCATCTGCCAGCAGGACCACCGCTGGTCCGGGAAGACGCCTGTCTGTGTGCGTAAGTATGTTGTCAGGTGTTTTAGCCCTGGCTGTGGTCAGAGGATGAGAAAACACGCAGAGGCTGTTGTTGAGTTGACAGCAATGAAGAGCTGGAGCGGAGGGACCTGCTTTCACTGTCAGTCCTGGCTTTTCAGTGGTGGCCCTTCTAGAGATCATCTGGTCCAACCCTTCTTCCAAAGCAGGCTCCCTCAGCTGAGAAACAGTGGTCCCCCATACCGTTGCTCCTCTGGGAGGAGAGTTCAGCTTTGTTTCAGAAATGCTCCTCATTCAGAGTGCTGTCAGGCTGACAGCACCAGCTGAGTGCCTCCGCGCAGAGCAGTCCTTCCCGTTCAGCCCGTGTTGATGGCAGCTCTGCAGTCCATAGCAGTGCTCTCCATAACAGAACAGCCATCTCTGGCACTGATACCGTGTGCTCAGAGGCCAGATATGGAGATGACATTGGGAGATCAGGAGAAACACAGACAGGTTTCCAAAAGGACCAATGCTTGGAAGTGAGCCTGGTATTTCTCCAGGCAGTCCAAAGATGAAGTTGGTTCCAGCTGTCCTGCTGGGAACAAATCTGGAGCGGCAGGTCCTGTAGGCAGCCACCCTTGGTTTGGGAAGGAGCAACCTGCGGGCTTTCAGGTTGCTTTGCTTATTTTTCTGCTTCCCAAATCATTTCAAAGCCGGGCTGTTCAAGATTGCTTTGCGTGCACACAGCGAGTGCACAGTGCATGAACATCTCTGGGGTTTGCACAGGACAGAGCTGAGGAACAGCAGCAGTGGTGACACGGCAGTTCTGACTGCTTTGCTTCTCCATTCTACTGTATAAATTCCACTTTATCTTGGGGTTTTTCACACACATTTCCAGTAGATGAGCACAGGTGAAGGGGTGCTTTCTGAGGAGGGTTCATCGGGGTGTGGGGAGGTTGGAGGCAGACATGGCACCCACCAAGCACACTGCTGCTCTCACCTTCCTTATGAGACCCATGCTCTGTGCCAGAGAAGGTCAGCTTCTCTCTTCCTCTGATGCACATTCATGAGTCACCTTGCACAACCTTCTCATTTATCTTTCCAGTAAATAAGCTAATTAAGGAAGTCTCTAGAGCTCTGGTTGTTAATAAGTGTAAGCATCTTCTTATCGCTGGACAGTGCAATCCATTTCATATCACGATTCTCCAGGTGTTTACTTCCCACCTCTGATGTCTGGGTTAGGGCTTTGTGTGCTGAGGCACAATAGTACCAGCAAGATACGAGGTAAGGACGACCTGCAAATCAATGAATATGCAGATGCCAGCCTAAAAGTAAGAAACAGACTCAAGCTGTAAAGTCTGCCCAAGGCTCCTAACACTGGAGGTGTTCGTGTCTAGGATTCCTCCTGGGGCTTTCAGGGTAAGAACTATTGGGAAGGCCTCTGGTTCTTTAGGCAGGCGTGAATTCAGCTGAGGATGCTCAGCTGAAAAAGTTGAAATTCACTTTTGCCTGCCAAGTACACACACAGTAACCTTGGACCAGGAAATCACACTGATAGAGGTCCTCCTGCTGTCAGGCAGATTTATGGAAACGGAGGATTTTTTAAGCATCCATTTTCTTGCATCGTCTTGTTTCTTTCAGGAGGGACCAAACCCTTCAGAACAAAGCTTGTCTGCGTCTGTCTTCTGGTACTGATCCATCCCTCACTGCTGGGCTCATTTGCACGCAGTTCCTTTGTTCAGTGCTGCTTTGTGCTGCCTTCCCACTCCGGCACCTGAAAGCCCAGCAAGCTTTTGTGCAGAGCCCTGCAAAGGCATCCCAGACAGAAACTTGCCTTGAAGTTATTAGACTACATTAAGCCTTATGGATAACATAAATTTAATGTCATTAAAGCAGACCACTCTTGAGCTCTGAAATGAGATGGATTGAGGCTTTATCACCTTCAGAATAAGCTCAGGGTACTTCGTGTTACCACATTATCATTTCCTACTGTCCTGATATTTTCTCTTTAAACTTGCTGCAGTTGCTTGCTCTATGTGAACTGGTCTTTTTGATCCATGCCAACTGGAGGGAGCCTTTTTTTTTTTTTTTTTCTGGGAAAGAATCCATCAGCTATTTCAAAACGTGCATAATTGTATTCAGAAGTCCCTCAGAGAATCTGACATCTGCTTCCTGTAGCACTGAAATGCTGTCTTGCTTCATATTTTTTAAACCTGTACCTGTCACCAGCTTGCATAAGGAATAAATTCCTATCCCTGTGGTACAGTCCAGCCCTGGCAGTCAGATGTGTTATGGATCTTTTGTGGGAATTTCATCTTCCGCTGTAGCTTCTGGCTTTGGCAGCCATACAGCTGAGTGCTGGACTTCTACTGCTGGGCCATTACCCAGTTACAGCATGACAATAATCAATATCATTTCATCCTCAGCTGTCAGAAGATGTCACATTCCTTGAGCAACCAAAAAGCTCTGTATGGAGCATCCTGACATTTCCTTTGCACGGTGGGGTTTGCTGCTGTGCCCAAAGCAAAGGTCTCCCAGGTTGCTCCCTCCCTCCCAGCCCCACCTCTGCCAGCAGAGCGGCCCAGGTGGAAGTGCTTTGAACTCCAGCATTGCAGGTGCTGGATGCTGCTGGGCTCCTGCTGCTCTGCTCTCTGTGCCTTCCCCACCTGACGCTTCCCCTGGGATGTGCTGGAGCAGCTCAGGGCTGCCCTGGGCTTGCATCAGCCACAGGAAAAAAGAACTACACAAAAATCCTCATTACAAGGATTTAGTTACAGAGGTTTTCCCCTGAAGTTTCTCAGACTGAAGCAGGAAGATTTAAGCTTTTTAGGCCGTATGCTCGAAACCTGATTTTTCTTCTCTTTTTACTATCCCTCCAGGTGTAACTTTATACTGCAGTGAGCATCTGACTTACACCAGGCAGGGGGAGGAAAACATCAGGTTTCATGGCTGCGTTTGCGATGCCCAGGGTAATGCAAGGCAATAGATTAATAGCAGTAGCTGGGATTTTTGAAGAGGAGCTCTGGGGATTTATGGTATAAGTCAGTAAGATGCTGCCACTCTGCTGCTTAGAGAGTGGTTCAGAGAATTTCCTACGCCAGTGAAATGAATAAAGTTACCGTATCCTCAACTTGATTCAGTATTGCAGCAGAGCTGGCCACAGATCTTTGAGGTCCATGTGAGTTTCAGAGTTGATGTGGGTTTTTCCACGCTCTCTTTGCTTGAGATTTTTATGTTTTCCACCACCAGGTAATTCAAAAGAGGTAACATCTCCCATTTCTAATCGTAGCCATCACTTGCGGCCACCCTGGCAACCCTGCCAACGGCCTGACCCAGGGCGCTCAGTTCAACCTGAACGACGTGGCCAAGTTTGTGTGCAACACTGGGTACCGCCTGGAAGGAGCAGCGCAGTCGCAGTGCTTGGCCAACGGGCAGTGGAGCAGCACCCTGCCTGCCTGCCGTGGTAAGTCTGCTCTGCCCAGGAGTGCTGGGCTGCCTCCCGTCCTCACTGACTGCTCTGCCTTCCCAAAATCCAGCTTGAAGCTGGCCTAAGCTTGTGTAAAACACCTCACGGTTGCTTAGGAAGTGATGTTGGAACTCTGAGGGCCTGCTTAGATGTTACAAATTCAGTTTTCCCTTGGGTTTCTCTTAATGGTCTCTGCCCAGCCCTGTATCCTCCAAGACATGCAATTATTTGCTTTAAGTGGGGAGTACAAAAGAGAATATCAGGGTAGACCATTAGCAGAGGTCATCCTGATAACCCTAGACCAGTTTACTCAAAGCAAACATTCTGCTCTTTGCTGCCGAGCCCTTTCTCCTTACATGCTGCCCTACTTCCAGTGATATTAGCACCAAGTTTGCTTCACATTCCCTTCCCTCCCTTCACTCTCAGTCTTTATTCCGTTAATTCAGTATCTGTTGATGCTGTCACAGTGTGGGTCAAGAAATCAGCCTTAGCTGGGTGTGAAAGTCCTGATCTGGGGCTGGACAGTGAGGCTGTGCTGCTGAGCACCATGTGCCAGGCTGTGAGCCTGCAGCATTGCCTTCACTCTCTTTTTTTTTAATAAAGATTTCTTTTTTTTTATTTCTGCTCCCAAAGAATCTGAAAAAAAGAAACGAAACGAAACCCGCCCCCAACTGTGGAATTTGTTCTTGTGCTTTCTTCCCCTTTTCCTGCTCATTTCTTGAAGAACCCTTTGTTCTTTGTTACACCCTTTGTTTTGTACTTTTCGTTGTTGTTGTTGTTGTTTGTTTGCAGTTGTAAACTGTACCGACCCCGGGCACCTGGAAAACAGCATCCGTCAAGTGCAGCCGAGCGGTCCTCACAGATTCAGCTTTGGAACAACTGTCTCCTATCAGTGCAGCCATGGATATTACTTACTGGGTACACACGTCCTTACCTGTCAGGGGGATGGCACTTGGGACCGTGCCCTCCCACAGTGTCTTTGTAAGTTCTTCAGATTAATACCATTCACTCAGGGCTTCCAGCCCTGCTCCGCAAACCTGCCGCGCGTTTTCATTCCACGCGGCTCTCCTGGTGCTCACTTGGCTGAAATCTCTTGTAAAAAGTCTGAACCCAGGGCCCTTTCTAATCCATGGGAATGTTCCTGGCCTCCGGTTCTGCCCACAGGAGGGAAAGAAGAGGTTTGAGGAGAGAAATCTCTTCAGACAGAGGTTGTTTCCCTCTGCAGGGGAGGCAGCTCACACTGGTTCCGTGCGGCTCCAGCAGAAATACTGTGGGTAGAGAAGAGAAGCATCATTTCTGAAACACAGACCTTCATAGGGAACAGCATCAATTAGCCTGACCAAGGACAGAGTGTATTTAGCACCAGCGGGGCATGGCTGAGCTTCCCTCCACCCACTCATCCCCATGGCTTCAAGGGAAGGGAAATGGCATTGTGGTGAAACACACCAGGACTTTGTTCTGCTGCAAAGCAGGTGGTAAAGAGGATCTGTTTCTTGACTCTTCCTTTACAGTTTTTGGCCTTTCTTAAAGTGTCCTGGCCCTGTGTGCCACTGCGGTTTGCAGAGCAAACTGGGAGGTTCAGTGCAGTGACTTTGGCTTAAGGGATATTTCCAATAGTGTAGAGGACTTCACGTGTAGGAAGACACAAAATGCTCATGTGGCTCACATGCTGCAGTAGTAATGCCTCAGCCAGGAGCTCCCCGGGCACTGAATGGAGTTAATTCAATTCAGTCAGTGGGATTGCCCCCAGCACAGCGTGCTGGCTTCATAGCACAGGCTCTGCTCTGCCCCCATGTTAGCAGCCGGGGGGTTTGGCCCCAGGAGCAGTGCAGCTGACACCCAGGAGCCCAGGGCAGAGCATGGGGAGCTTTCCTGGGATGTGAAAGCCATGGGGTTGGTATTGCAAGCAGGCAAAAAAAAACCAACAGCCAGAACAGAGACATGGGGCTGTGCTGGTGTTTCCTTTTTAGAGACTAAAGCAACTGTGATCTCCTGTCACCCAGCATAATAAATCACTAAAGCAGTCAGAAACGGAGCTTCTTAAGTTTGAGTCAGCTGAGCTGTTCCAAACCCATCACCAATTCTTTCCTCTTGTTCTATCCTCTGACACCGAGTTACAAGCAGGAAAGTTTGGCACGTTTTCCTTTGCTTTTGTTAGCAGCATGCCACCTTCTCGTGTTTACAGCACCCTGCACAGGCCGTGGGGAGCTGACAAGTGATAACCACGTGTTAACACAGCTGCAGGGGCTCCAGGCGAGCAGTTGCCTTTACAAACCATGAGTCTGCTTCCTTGGGCTGCTCAGCCCACAGCTGCTCAGCTGAGTAAAAGGGATCTCCTTCCCTAAAATGCTGAACATCCATTGATTTGGAGGAGACTTGGGGGCGCTTTGGAAACCCAGGTCAGTCCTACAACTGATACCTGGAATCTGCAGGCGTAAAAGCTTGGAGAGATTTTTGCACATCTGTGTTCTCTGTGAGTCCAAGTCAGGATGCGCTCAGTGCTGAAACCTGGATTCCTTCCAAGTGTTTACAGCTGGGAACCCAAAATTAGTGGGGACTTTCTAAAACAGAAGCCAAGAAGCTTGATGCTGGAGAGGCTTGTGCTGAGAGTCTTGTCTCATGCCTGGTTTGGGGGGGGGGGGGAATAAAGCAGAGCTGATCTCCTTTGAGGAGTGGGAGAGAAGTCCAGGAAGGAAAGCAGATGGGAGCTGAGCCCAGCGCATCAGAAGGAGCAGTCTGCCTGCTGTGTACATAAATCCCCTAAAAACCTCAATACTGCCACAGGTTTTAAGCTTAGCTGAGTCTGCCAGAGTGTCTGTTATTAAATTGTTAGTTACAGTGCGAGTTTAAGTATTAGCTATCAAACCCATTTCTTTGCAAAGCGTCCTTGGTTTTAGTCACAGCTCTGCACCAATATATTTCAACGCCCACATGCCCAAACAGAAGCGTGCTCTCCTTTTATTGAGGCATACATCATGTTTTCTACCTAATGCCAGTATTTGTATTTTTAGACTCTAGCAGAGGGAGAGAACATATCCGTTACGGATGCTTTCCTTCAGCAGCCGAGCGACGCGTGGTCTTTAGGCTGAGAATGCTCATCCAGACCTGTCTAATAGCCCCTAGATCTGTCGGTATATTTGTCAACACCCTCGCTGTCTCCACTTTGATTGCCAAGCTAAAGTAAACCTATTAATTATTGTTAGCGGTGCTTCTTTACTGGTGATGGCTGAGCGAGCAGCGCTCGGAATCCGCCAGGATAATTTGCTCAGGTGTGACACAGCATCGATTACAGCTCTGTGCTGCCGGGACGGGGCGGGGGGTGAGGATGTGCATGGAATGGTTTGAGGTTAAGGAGGGTTCTCTGAGGAATGCGCAGATGCCTGTGGGTGTTGGGGCAAGGCAGCGATGCGCAGACCCTCAGCGGGGTCTGTGCCTCATGTGCCCTCAAAGGAGGCGATGCAGGGTCTGCTCTCGGTGTGAGCCCATCCCTGGCGCTGGGCGCTGCTGTTTGCTGGGCATCTCTGGGGCGGCTGCGTCGGTGTGAGCTGCCAGAGTGCCAGCAGGCAACCAACCGCAGCCAGGCGGTTCCCTGGTGGCTGAGGCTGTTGCATCTGTCTCTTGCAGTGGTCTCTTGTGGGCACCCGGGCTCCCCACCCCACGCTCAGATCTCGGGTGACAAATACACCGTCGGCTCCGTGGTTCGCTACAGCTGCCTGGGGAAGCGGGCTCTGGTCGGCAACTCCACGCGCATGTGCCAGTTGGACGGGCGCTGGAGCGGCTCCCTGCCACACTGCTCAGGTGAGCTGGGCCTGGGGACGGGCTGCAGCCCGAGAGGGGACAGCAGGACAGCTCTGCTGAGCTACAGGAACGCGAGCGCTGCCGGATGTCGGGATGCTGAAAATCATTGTCTTTGCTATCGAGTCCCCTGCAACTTGGATGATAAGCACTGGCAGAGTGTAAAGCACTCAGCTTGCAAGAGGAGGAATAAATCACTGCAGCAAATGTTTGTGGCAGGAGGTGTACTGCAGCCTGCTGCTTTGCAGTTTTCTCTGTACAGGGTGAACGTGTCTTGTGAAAAATTGGGTCCTTGCATCCAACTGCAGTATCTGATCCTCTTTCTCGTGTGTTCCAGTAAAAGAGCATGTGTGGCCCCTTTCCAGGGCCTGGCATCTGCTGTTGAGGCACCACAAGTTGTCCCAGCTCTCAGCACATCAGCTGGGAACAGTTTGGCATCAGGACTCCATCTCTGCTTCCGTGCCAGTGAGAAAGGGTCTTGCACTGAAAACGTCCTGATGAGCCAAAATGTCCCTAAGGAGACAAATCAGACCAGTGGGCGATACAAAGGGATGTGCTGCCAAGCCTTCTTGAGATCAGGGCACTGGGATCCCAGCTGATGGCCTCCAGTGGGAGGAAAGATGCTGAATAACTGGAGGATGCTGTGCAGAGCCCTCTCCGTGCCATCCGGTCAGTCGTTCCGTGGAGAGCACAGTTGCAGATGAAATGAGAACTTAGCTGGAGCAAAGCAGTTGGGACAAGTGTTAATTTTTAATTATGCCACTTAGACTTAGCAGCTGTACTTGACCAAGTTTAACCTCTGCTTTGGAAAGCGAAAAGAAATCAGGCAGAGCCGTCCTCCTATTCAGAAGCTGTGTCTGCAGAGTTCTTGATCTGTAGCTGCTCTGAAGGGTTTTCTGCTCTAGTTCATGCTTCTTCCCCCTGTGGTTTTCACTGTCTCTCCCATGATCTTTTTGGGTGGATGTTTGGAATGTTCAGCATCGCTCTGATGAGTTTCTGCTGACATCTGTTGTGTGTGATTTTTCTTAAGGACATCACAGCAGCAGTGTTAGAGCAGTGCTGATGGGTCCTGGTGGGTGCTCCCTGCACTGGGGCCCCATGAACACCCTCAGAACCAGGGTTGGGGATTTCTCCCCAGCAGCCAAGACAGGGCCCCTCTTATTACTCCAAACTTGGGTGGTACAGTGACCAAAGCAATGAGTAATTAAACCATTGTCACGTTCCTTTAACTGTAGACCACAAATCTGGCCTGGTGCTTCATTTCGCTGTGCCCTCCCAGTCCGTGCCCTTGCTGGAAGCTGGGACAGGAGAGCAGAGGCTCATGGCTCTGGCTTTTCCCCAGGGGAGGTTCTCCAGGGCCCTTTCCCAGCCCAGCGTGGAAGCTGAGAGCAGAATAAGTCCTGAATGTCTCCTGCCCAAGGTTCTCTGGTGTGCAGATCTCTCCAGTGTGATGACAGCTTCTGCAAGGTGAAACAAAGGATTTTGGTCCAAGTCAGCGTGAAGGAAAATGCTGAGCCTGGAGCATTTCCCCCTTCTCTCTAAAAGCCAGTGTTTTTCCCCAGATGATGAATACGTTCATTATATTTTACATTACATGTTACACTGCAAAGGTTGTACCTGCAGCAAATGGGAGCAGGGCCGGGAAGTGGGACCTTCCTTGCGAGCTGCTGGAGTGAAATTGTCCTTTCTGGCTTGGGGCTCACTGTGTTTACACAGATCATTAGCAGAGAAAGCCAAGAGCAGGCGTACGCGGTGCGAGCCCAAACCAGCCAGCGAGGAGGAAGTGGGCATTTATCCAGCCTGCTCCAGCAGCTCCCCGCGAGGCATCCGCTCCAGCTGCTCCCTCCTCCCATCCCCAGACGCAGAGCCAGCAGCACAAAGTGTTCACAACTTGTACCAGCGGATGGTTCTCAGCTGGATCCCTCTCGCCTCTGCGCTCCAAACCCAACAGCTTCTTGTTTTGCAAATACAATGGGGCTCGCTGAGGTGGCCTGGAGCATGTTGTAATTTCTGCTTGGAGGGAAACCATCCACATGACTGATGCTGGCAACCAAGCTGCTGTCTGCTGGAGCAGCTGCCACGGAAAGCAGCTCCAGCTGGTAGGACTCCATCTTGAGATGCAGGAGTTTTTGCAGGCCAGATTTTGCAACCTGCTTGCAAACAGCGGGCTCCCAAATTTGGGGGACTTGTCACATGGAGTTAAATTGAGTCAGCCACACGATCCCAATCTCAGTGTTGGTGCTCTCAAAGTGCAGGTGGGTGAGAAGAGCCGTGCCCTGAGCTTTGCTTGCTCTGATGGTGTCATGCTCTCTTCTTAACAGGAGGCAGCCAGGGGGTGTGTGGCGACCCGGGGATCCCATCGCACGGCATCGGGCTGGGAGATGAGTTTGGTGTGGACAGCGTGGTGCGGTTCAGCTGTGAGCCTGGCTACACTCTGAGGGGCTCATCTGAGAGGACGTGCCAGGCCAACGGCTCCTGGAGCGGCGTGCAGCCCGAGTGTGAAGGTACTGCTCAGCACTGGTCCCAGCCGAGCTGCTGACCGTGAAACACATCGAGGCCAGGCTGGATGTGGCTCTGGGCAGCCTGGTCTGCTGGTTGGCGACCCTGCACACAGCGGGGGGTTGGAACTGGATGAGCACTGTGCTCCTGTGCAACCCAGGCTGTTCTGTGAGTCTCTGACTCCGTGTCTGTCCATGTCTTGAGGCAGCCTCTTCACCTCCCAAACATCCGCAGGGCACGCTGCGTTTAGCACCACTAAGCAGTTAATAGATGCTTTATCAAAGAAACACATCAGAGTGAGTGATGTGAACAGCCTCAAGCCTGTGTCAAAGCTGGAACTGGCACGTGCAAGAGTCATTTGCATTGAGCAGAAATGCAGAGTGCAAATTATGAACCAGTAAGCAGATTTTTGTATCAAAGAAAACCCAAACCTCTTATTTTTCTATTTGAAGGAATCAAGTAAGGCTCCATCATCCAGTGTGATAAACCCCCAGCCAGGTTCTCTGAGCTGTGCTGCTTACTGCTGCTGTATTATGAAAGTGTTTAAAAATCAAATGGGGAAAGAACAAAAGCCAAAAGGAAGCAGGATACCAAATGAGAGGAGACCTGGGCAAGTGCTTCTCTCCTGCTGATTTGAAAGCCAGAAGCCCAGAGAGATCTTGTAAATGAATTGGAAATTTATTCCAAATTGATGGAGCTCTTGATTGAAAAGACACTGAATCATGTTATTAATACGCTCAGGTCTTGGTGGTTGGGGGTTTTTTTCCCATTCTGTTTTTTTTTCTTTCAGTAGGAAGGTTCTTTTCATTAATCTCAGCATAAATAACCCATCAGGTTCCGGAGGCACCAAAATACGGATCCCTGGCGGATTCTTTTTTTGTACTTTATGAATAATAATAACATTATGCCCATAATGTACTCATTTAATGTTAAGTGCTGACTGGCCAATATAGGAAAGCAGTTTGCAGCGATGAGCAGCAAGCTGTGTCTCTGCCATTTGCATTCACAGCAAGTTGCAGGCGCTGCGAGGTGCTCTTATGGCTGCACTTCTGAGTGGTGCATTCAACTTTCTGGAGCGGGTGTTCATAGGAGAGGGGTTAATGTGGGGATTGAATTCAGGGTGAAGGAGAGTGCTCTGAGAGCACAGAGCTGCTCGGGGGGAGTGGAGGAGCCCCAGCTCAGCACTCGGTGCCTCCGTAGGGCATCAGCCATCCAACGGAGCGGCTCTCAGCCATTGCGGTTGAGCGAAGTTGGAGCTGATGGGGCTCTGCAGGCCACTGGCACACAACTGCCAGCGTGCAAACTGCTCTGATCAGCTGCAAAGTGAGCATGGGGGCTCGGTCTGCTCGGCTGCAGGTGGATGTGTAAGTGCAGAGGGGTGCAGAGGACACCGTGCAAATCCTGCGGTGTGGATGGAAGGGGAGAGCAGCTCCAGGCTGAGCGGAGGGCGACCTCAGACCCAGCAGTAAATTCACCTGCTGGAATATTTCTGTGAAAAGCAGAGGAGTTTGGAAACAGGAGGGAACCACAGCTGGTTTTTCCAAAATGCACAAATGGTGCGCAATTAAATTGATTGGAGGGACACATCGTGGGACTCCGCTTCAGTCCGTTGTACGCAGCTCTGGTTTTGTTGTGCCCACTCAGAGCAGCTCCCTTTGCTTCCTAAAAATCACAGATTTCAGGCCTCATTTACCATTGATTTGCAGCACGTTTTGAAGATGGAAATTGCATTGTAGTTTTTCCTTCTTTCTCCTCCTTCCTGCTGCCCAATTGGTGCTCCCAGGGGCAGTGCAGGAGGGGCCCATTGCTTGTGCTCTCCTCTGCACTCCCTCCTCCTCTCAGCATAGCAGAATATTTGTTTTCATAATGTTTATTGTTTCACCAGATGAATTAAAGCTGCATCCAAACTGAGACGCAGCCCTGGCTGCTCTTCCTCAATTGCAGAAGACAGAAATGTGTTCATTTAAAGCGGTAATGGAGGGAAGGAGCTGAGTTTTGTCTCATCCCAATCTGACTGCTGAGGACATGGGAGGTGGCAGGGCTGGGATTTGGGCTCAGGCTGCTTTTTTCTTTCTGCGTAGTTAGGTGAAATGTGGGTTACTGGTTAAATTAAACAGCATGGAAATTACCAGCCCTGGAGGGAAGGCTGTGAGGCCCTGCAGGCTGTGCCTGATGTGTCAGACATCATTAGGAGAGCCTCTCAGCCAGGTGCTCCGATGGCAGCAAAGTCCAGAAGAAGGATCAGTGTGATGAAGGTGAGGTCACTGGGGGACACACAGAGGACACAGTATTCACATGCCACCTCAGTGGAGCAGTCAGACATGCACCGTGCTCTGTGATAGCAGCTCCCAGCCTGCAATCTTTCCTCCTGCATGATCTGAGGAGCAGGATGCTGCTCCTTGCAGGTGCCCTCCTCCTTAGCATCAGAACCATCAGTGCCGTGTGGGGCTGGGAGTGTTCAGCTCCATACCAGGTAACAGCACTTCAACTTGCCCTCTGTGGGCGCTGGTTTGGTTAAAGGATAGAGCACAGCCCTGCTAAAAGATGTGTGGATGGGAATCACATTAATTACTGCTGATCTCTGGAGCATCCCTGAGCTTTGCAGGGTTTCATAGCAGAGGTCGCTTTGCAGTGCAGGAGAAGGTTTGTGTGAGCAGCTCTGGCTGTCAGCAGAACACCAAAGTCACACTGCCCAGCATGGTGCTCCCAGAGCTGGGCAAGCTGCTGGGTTCTCAGAAGGGCTCAGGAACACTTCAGGTGTTCGGTTCCCTCTGTGCCACTTCCTGTTAGAGATGCTTGGAACTCGAGTTCTCATCCTTCTGCTTGGCCTGAAGCTGTTGGGAAAATCCCACTCTCTGGGCAGGCATTGGAGGTGTGCACGTTCTGGTGGGGATGGAGACCTCCTGGAATGCAGCCCAGCCCTCCCCTGCTGCAGGATGGTCTTTGGGTCGTGGTCACAGCTCTGGCTGCAGGCACACACATCTCCCCAGCAGCTCCAAGCGCTCTTTGGTCAGCAGGCAGCAGTTGCTTTGCTGCTGGTGATGCTCTCTCTGGTGTTCCTTGTGGCACAGGGTGCTCTCTGCATCTCCAGCAGAGATGTCCATTGCATTCAGCGAGCCATCCAAGGGGTTTGCACAGAAAGGACCTCCTGAAAATAACTGCAGGAACCAAATTTATTTTTGATAAAGGAGCAAACTGAGAAACCTCGTGGTGGGGATTCTGCAATAATCATGTGCTGAAATATTTCACTTGCTAAGAAGCAGCAACTCCAAGAAATCCCCATTTGATGCAGCTGATTTTCAGGTTATTTTCTTGAATTTTGACTTAGTTTAAAGATGATTGGGTTTGAAATGCTTCAGGAGATGCGAGTGGATATGACTGTGGGACTTCCAGGGTCTTTAGGATTTATACTCAGAAAACAGTTCCCAAACCAGTTTCTTTTTGGGGTCTCATTCATTTTTCATCTCCCACTGAAGCCAAAGGGAATTACTTGCCCACTTTCTGCTCACTTGAGTGATTCGATCCTATATATATTTAATCTGTGATTTTAAATCTTTAAGCCTCTTCATCCTTATGCTTACAGCTTCTTTTGCATCTGGACCACAGGTGGAGGGAGGGAGCGAGGAGTTCCCTTCAAAGCCCTGGGATCCCATGGCCTGAGCCTTTCCTCAATACCTGTGATTTTCTTTTATGTTCTGCAACTTCAGTGTAAATGAGGGCTGATACAATTATTGCAGGCACTTATTTTGCCACGACCGTACTTTGTGCACCGCTGTCCACTCTGAAGCCCTTTTATTGCTGTGGTGCCTCAGACATAAAACTTGGGTTCTGGCAGACCTCTAATTGCATCCCACAGCCTTCTCTCTCCCCGGAGGGCACAGTGGGAGGGCAGTGCAGCAGCAGTGCTCAGTGCAGGGCAGCAGCTCCTGGCTGTCATTCCTTTGAGGGCTGCAAAGCCATGGGCTCCCGAGGGGCAGCCACCCCCCCAGGGTGTGCTGCAGGGCAGAGCTGTGGGACCAGCTGGGAATGAGTGGTTTGGTCCAGTGGCTTTGCAGCTAATCTCACTTCTGTGGCAAGCAGTCGATTGATTGCAGGATGGAAGCTTTATTGATTTGGTTTTTCATTCATTCAGTCTCGTAGTAACTCTGCTGTTTTGCTTTCCAGTTATCTCCTGTGGGAACCCAGGCACCCCCAGCAACGCCAGGGTTCTGTTTAATGACGGCTTGGTTTTCTCCAGCTCCATCATATACCAGTGCAGGGAGGGCTATTACTCCACTGGTGTGCTGAGCAGGCACTGCACAGTGAATGGGACGTGGACAGGCACCAGCCCAGAGTGCACAGGTGAGCACTGGGATGGGCCCCTGGGTGCCACACTGGGGAATGCTGGCACTGAGTGCTCACAGAAACTCAGCTGAGCTGCCTGGTACCAGCTGTCCCTCCGCCTGCAGCCCCTGTGAGTGCCTAATGGAAAACTCTTGCTGTGGGTTTGTATTTTCCAGCTGGCTGAAGGGAGCTCTCTAAGTTTTCTCCACTTGGTGCAGCCCAGCTTTGCAATTAGGGGGCCGCATCCTGCTCTGAAAAGTGTTTGGGACCATGAGATGAGGGATGGTGAGGCCAGAAATGCTTCTTTCTCTTCTTTTGGCAGTGATCAACTGTGGTGACCCAGGTGTGCCAGCCAACGGCATCAGGCTGGGCAGTGATTTTACCTACAACAAAACAGTGGTGTTCCAGTGCATGCCTGGGTACATGATGGAGTCGGACAGAGCGTCCTCTCTGATGTGCACAAAAGACCGAACCTGGAACGGCACCAAACCTGCCTGCAAGGGTAAGGCTGCTTGGTGGTGTAAATGGTGGAGGATGTAAGTTGTACATGCCACGAAGGTTCTGGAGGTCTTTTCAATCCTTAATGGTTCTGTAGTGCCATGAGCTGCAGCGCAGTGCCTGAGCACGCCTGGCAGTTTGTCGGTCCTGGCGTTCAGTCTTTCTGCCATGTTTACAGCACTTACCCAATTTGTCAGCACAAAGAAGACCAGCTTTAGGTCTGTCAGTCATCCCAACGTGCCTGGGAGGGAGGGAATTGCTGTTATCCCTATGGGGAGAAGGAAAAGTGGAGCGCTGAGAGCTAAGTGACTCTTCACAAGAAGTCAGATCAGGCTCGAATGGCGCTTTCTGTTTCACAGGCACACGCTTCTTGAGCATCATCTGGAAGTCTGGAAAAGGCTTCCTCAAACTCCTTTCATTATTTCTCCATTCTGAGACTGCCTCTGTAATTCAGAGATAGGAAAGGGAAGTAATAGAACAGTTGCGGGACATGCTGGATCTCTTCTGCCAGTGTTTTACTCTCCCACCACGTGTAGATAAGACTTGTAGCAGCATCTGTGTTCTTTTGCAATCTGGAAAATTCAACTGACATGATTCTGATGCATGCAGACCACGTAGAAACTTCCAAATATACTCCAGTTCCTTCAGAGGCTGTAAAGAGCAATTCTCACACTCCTCTTCCATTCTCACCACTGAGCTAATGTTGCAGGAGTAATACAGAATGTGGCCACAGTCTCATTTGGAGGCCAGGTTGATTTACATGAGCTTAGCATCTTTCCCAGTGCTCCCCTGAGCTGAAAAGCAAAGCACTGCAAAAATGTCACATTAAAACACCCTGGAGTGAGTGAAATACAGACTGGTTATTGATTCAGCTGCTAATGTGAGACTCAGCCAGGTTGTCCAAAATGCATGAATCTTTCAGGGAGGCCTTAGATGAGTTTTCGCACCAAGTCAGGCTGGATCCTTCCTGCACTTGGAAGTGAACACAGACTCGGAGATCAGGGATTCCGTTCATTCCAAGTCTCAAAGTAAAATCCCAGTGCTCACAGCTGCACACACAGCTGGGGAAGTTTGTGCAGCCCCCTGCAGGGGCTCCCAGGGGCTGTTCTTTGAGAGCGGCGTGACTTTGATCCTAGTGAATTTGCTTGCTAATGGAAATAACTGCTGAGAAGCGCAGGGAGCTGCATGTTGCCTTTGTTTCTCGTTCAGCCATCGTCTGTAAATCCCCACAAGCCATCCCCAATGGCAAAGTGGTGGGCTCGGATTTCAGCTGGGGCTCCAGCGTCAGCTACGCCTGCCTGGAGGGATACCAACTGTCCCTGCCTGCCGTGCTCACCTGCGAGGGGAACGGGACCTGGAGTGGGGAGATCCCCCAATGCTTCCGTGAGTAGCAGCGCTGCGCATCCACGGATGGGTTGGGAGAGGGACGGGGCTGAAACACCTGGATGCACTCATCCATCTCTTTGCATGTGGGCTTGAGGTCAGGGTTGTGACAGGTGTGAATTCCTCCTTGCACGTTCGTGTTTGTGTAACACCCTTAAAGCTCATGGCTGTTGGTCCAGGTGCCTCCTTGAGTTCGGTGATGAGAAAAGCCCTTTGACAAAGGGCTCTGTGGGGTCGCAGCAGAAGTTAGGAACGTTTTGTGAAGACAGAGCTTTGGCTCTTGGAAACCTGTGTACTCCATTAAATAGCTAATGCAAAAAATTAGTTAAACGTCTCATGGTGATAAAGGCAGATTTGAGTTTCTTTTCTTGGCTGAATGGCTGGCAGCTGCACAATAGCCATTTTCGTATTAAATCACACAAAGCCCTCACTGTGTTCCTTGCACCCTTCCCAGGATCTTGTATAATTAGTGGGCTTTCTGTGTGACATGGAGCCATATAGCAATTTGACATCATGCAATTAGGGACACGTTTTTAAAGCTAAGCATGCTGCTAGGGGGGAAAAGAAGAAGGAAAAAAAAAAAAGGAAAAAGATGGGGAGAAGTAGAAGTTAATTAACAGCAATTGGCAAAAAGAGAGAATTATAAGGAAAGTAGGCAGCAACGCCTCCTGCCACCAATCATCCCCTGGTCAATCACTGAGCTCCGTGGCAGTGAGCAGTGAGCTTTGCCTCATTAATAGCCCCATTGCTGGTGCATTAGCATCGTCTGCTCTCGGAGAGGTTATCACCACCCCCCGCTCTCTGCTGTTACAGCTGTGTTCTGTGGAGATCCAGGGATCCCTGCCCAGGGCCGGAGGGAGGAGCGAGGCTTCACGTACCGCTCCTCGGTGTCCTTCTCCTGCCTGGCCCCCATGGTGCTGGTGGGCTCAGCACGCCGCTTCTGCCAGTCCGATGGCTCGTGGAGTGGGACCCAGCCCAGCTGCATCGGTAAGGGCACCTCGCCTGGCCTGTGCCTGCAGGCAGAGCACTGTTGGTCTGCATTTTCATTTGCAGAAGAGTGGCTTGGTTTGCCGTTGTTGTTTTCTTTCGTTTCTGGGTTTTAAGTCCCGTTTCTGGGCCTGAATGTGCCGTTGACTGCAGTTCTGCCCAGATGTGCACGTGAGAGCTCTGCTGCATTTGAATTCTATCCAGAATGGCGGAGCAGCAGCTCCTAGAACATGAAGGTGATGTATACAGAGTCCTACAGATTGCTTTGCCTAGCTGTTGGTATTCAGGTTGAAATCTCCAGACATGCTTCATGCGACTGTTTCCTGGGGCTTCCAGAACCCTTTGAAGCCTCAGTGAGGTCTATAATGATAATTAGTCACGGTGTTCTGCGCCAATTTAAAACTCTGGCTGCAGTCTTGAACTCCTGGGCTCTGTGGTGACATAACTGCTCAGGCTCTGTGCTGCTTTCCTTCACCACCACCGTGCTGCCTGCCCTCAGCTGGGGTGCAGGCTGACCTCAGTCATTCTGGCTTGTTAGCTGCATCTTCAACCTGTCCCTGATTCTGTTAACGTAAAATCCTGGTGGCCTGAATGTCAGTTTTTTACTTCCACGTTGATGTCCCCATGGTCTTCTCACATGCAAGCAGCTGGGAGCGCTGCCTCCTAGAATAAATTTTGGCTTTAAATGCCCGTGCCAGATTTCTCTCTAAGGCCTCATCCAGGCATTCATCCCTCATCCAGAATCCTGTCCTCCATTCATGGCACTGCAGGCCCACGAAGCTGCAGTGGTGCAATGCATCCAGCAGCAATTCCTGCTGCTGTGCTGGGGAAACATCTCCCCAGTCCAAACAGTGGGAAGTGGAAGGTGCCTACAGGGGGCAGGCAGCTGAACCCAGAGGGTTCTGCTTAGTCAGATCTCACTCATTCGTGAGGCACGCAGGATGGCAGAGTGCTGGGTGCAGTCAGGAGACAGAGCTGTGCCCTCTGCCCTGCACCATCCATCCCTTCCACCTCCACCAGCCCCTGGGGCTCTTCATCATTTCTCACAGACACCGACTTACCTGGGGGCTTCCATGGAAACCACTTCAGTGATGAATGACAAAAGCTCAGCAGAGCTGAATGAGGGAAAATGACTTTGCTTGTGCTACAGCCCCACGTGGGCCCACGTTGTGGGTCCCTTGTTGAGTGAGTCAGCAGTGCTCCTAGGACACAGGGAGAGCATCACCAAGTGTGTAGTGCTTTGGTGGGAACAGAGGGGTCGGTTGGATAGGGAGGAATAAAGGCATAGCAATAAAGGGCCAGGCTGTCAGGTACAGAGGTTGTGCTCGTTCCCCTGGAGCTGCAGCAAGGAGTGACAGGCTGCCTCTGCTCCCACTCCGCCCTGGATTTTCCTTAGAGGGTTTATGTCTCGATTGGCACAATCCTGTTGATTGAAGTGCTTTGACTGAGTGTAGAGAGGTGCTGGCAGTGGGACTGCGTCCTTCTCATGGTGTGATGAAGAAAAAGGGCTGGGAAAAACAGACTGGAATCTCGTTGGAACATGACTGCACAACGCTCCAGGTGCTGCTAGGAGAGCTGTGCCTTCGCTGGGTACCAGAGCATCCCCTGGGGGCAGTGGGGCTCTGTGCTGTGATCCCGAGGAGCAGGGATCCTGCTGCTGCTGCCAAATTGCCTTTCACACCAAGACTTCAGTTCCTTTGCTCAGTTTGAGATGCTGATAATAGCATAGTGCATCTCTGCCTTGATCCCATTGGTGTGCTGCTACTGTCAACATGCTGGAGGAGAAAAAAAAAAAAGAGAGATGCTGGAAGAGTAGCAGCAAGTTTTGCTAGTGAGTTGTGTGTGTTCATCTTCTGGTAGAGACCAAATGAGGCATTAAGAGAGATGATGCATCTGAGATGCATTAGAACTCCCAGCCCCTGGGTAAAGCAGCAGGGTTCCATGGAGGGGGCTGTGGGCAGGGCTGCATGCAGGGAAGGGCACAGTGCTGCATGCTGTGCTCCTGGCGTGGGCAGAGCAGCGTCTCCAAGACAAGCTCTGCATTCTTACATCTTCTCCTGGGTGTCTGAGTGCCTCTGGTTGGGTTGCATTGCAGCCGTCGCAGAGCTCCGGTGTGGCTTCCACAGCTTCTCCCTTAACGCTCTGCTTCTGCTCTGCCCCCAGACCCAACCCTGACCACGTGTGCAGACCCCGGCGTGCCGCTCTTCGGGATGCAGAACAACTCTCAGGGCTATCAGGTACTGCTGGGGCGGCCGTGGGCAGAGGGCATCGCGTGGCGCCCTGTGTGCACCGAGTGGTGGTGGGGCATCAGCTAAGAACGCGTTATTTATGGTATTAATTGCGGTGCTAATTAATAGTTATCAGCGTAATTAGCACTCAGATCGGAGGCACGGTTTCCATTCATTGCCAGCTTAAATTGTGCTGGTGGTTTTTGTAGTCTGTACAGCGTGAAGGAGGCGGTCGGCCCTGCACCCATGGGTGCACAGTGCTGCAGCAGCAGAGCTGGGTGCAGGGCTGGGATGCTGCCTTCTATGCTCCTGCCAGGACCTTTCGGTCTTGCTGCCAGTTAGTTATCTTAATTCTGGCTTTTAATGTATTCTTCCTAGCTTTTAATTAGTCCTGAGACAACCCAAGCCTGACTTGTGTAAGGGCTGCCCGTGTGGGAGCTGCACAGCAGTGGCTGCAGGGAGCACTGGGGGAGGTGTGCCCTCAATGCAGGGAAGGGGTGCTGCACGGTCCTGCCAAGCTAGGAAGAAAGGGAGGATGCTCAAAGCCCTCCCTGGCAGTTTTATTCCGGCGTGTCCAGGTTTAACAGCAAATCCTGTTGCAGCAGCAGAGCTCTCAGCCATGCAGCGTCACATCTGATCTGTCTGGAGCAGGGAGTGAGATCTGCTGTCCTGTTGAATCCAAAAGCAAAGCAGTGAGCAGTCTGCAGGAAATGAACGCACCTCGGAAGCGTCGAGGAGTCACCTCCCAGTTTTTGTGATCCTTTTTGCTGTTTGCAATCCAAGTTGGCATTTATACTATGGCTGTGGGCTGTTTGTTGATGGTAATTATTTTGAATGCCCCCTTTTTGGCAAAACTTTGGGCATTGCTGAATCTGATGCGCGCTTTGGGTGCTTTCAAGACACAGCAGCTTTGCTTATCACTGAATGGAGGAACCCTCTGCCCAGTTCACAGCTGCTCTGGGAGCTGTGTGGCTCTGGCAGGACGGGGAGTGCAGGAAGAAGGCAGCTCACCTTTTCATTGCATAGAAGGTGGAAAACGATAGAAGTACTCCTGCATTGTAAGCACTGGTAAATTACATTGTGTTTTCTCTCCTATGGAAACAGGTGGGAAGCATGATTTTCTTCAAGTGCCAGAAGGGCTACCTGCTGCAGGGCTCCACCACCAGGACCTGCCTGCCCAACCTGACGTGGAGCGGCGTGCAGCCCGACTGTGTCCGTAAGTGCTGGCAGCTGTGGGCACACTGGTCACTGCTGGCACACTGTCATTGCTGCCCTGTGAATTGCTGGCTCTGAGGAGCTGGTGATTTTTTGGGAGAGCTTGAAAGAAACAGAGGCTTGAAGAAGAAGGGAGACGGCGCTGTCATCTCTCTGCTGACATGATTGTGCCAGCAGCCACCTCTGCTTTCAGATGAGATATTTTTTTTAGCTTGTCCTTTCCTCAGAGACGTGGTTTGAGGTGAGACTTTGCTTTGTGCTTCTGAAACCACATCTGATGGCCGAGATGTGAGCTGGAGCTCCAGGCACTGCAGTTAACACTGAGCCAGAAGGGCTCTCAGGCAGAGCCATGTTCTCCCTGCCTTTAATAACGTGTTGCTCTTCCTTTTAAGCTGTCCATCATCTCTTCCCTGCTATACCAGAAGGAATTTGAGCTAATGTACTTAAGCTGTAATATCCACAGTGGCCTCTGTACCATAAGCATTACAAAGCTTCTCCTCTCCCTTGTGAGGTGGGGTAGTGGTGAATAGAGTGAACAAACCCTGGAGGTGCACGTGAGAGCAGCTGGGGGGGCTTTAAAGCTTCAGAGCAGTGGTACTGGGGAGAGGGATCATGGTGCTGGGAGGCAGCTTCCCTTTCCCAGCACTCACTGCAGGGAAGGGAGCGTGACCCCAGAGTTACCAGCTCCTCTTTGTCGGATTGAAGATGGCAGGGTTGCACAGCAGCTGTGAGTGTGAATGGGATTTTGCTCCTGGTGTGAGGTGCATTGGAACAGAAGGTGTTTTGTACTCCTCGTGCTGCTGAGTTGTTGCCTCCTGTGCCTGCAGCACGGAGCTGGATGTGGTCACTGCTGACACAGCCTGGGGCTCTGGGACGCAGCATTACGGCTGTGTGAGCTCCATCATTCTCTGAGCCTTTCTGGGTTTTATTTTTTATCTTCTGTAAAAGGGGAATGAAGATAATACCTCATGAAGGCTGCCGAGGATTTGTTTTCACTCATGAGCACTTTGAGAGCTACAGAAAGGGGAAATTTACAGCGTGGGTGCAAGCGAGCTTCCTGGCCCCTGATTGATGAGCTCTGGGCCATAACTTCTGGGGAGAAGTGGTGACACGCTGCCAGCAGCACAGCCAGGCGCTCTCTGGTGGCAGCAGCTGGACGAGCTCAGCCCGGATCCCTGTGGCCAAATCCTAGAACTAATTGAGCAGTGATAGGAATTTATGGTTATTTCACACTCCTGAGGACTTGCTGTGCGATGCTGTGTGTGGATAGGTACAAATTATCAGTAGGACAGCAGTCCTATGAAGTGAGGTTATACAAATGCAGACCTGTAGCGCATCCACTGAAATCCTCCTGCAGAGGAGCATTTTGTCCATGAAAGTTTAAAGAGAAGAGAAAGGCAGCTGCTCGATTTCTTTTCCTGGCCCTACAGCTGCAAGGGAAGGCATCACAAACGCTCCATCCCTGCTGGAATGCAGAAGTGGCCATCTGATCACAGGCTCCTGTTCGGCTCTGGGAGGGTGAGCAGAGCTTTCTCCTCCTCCGTGTGTCAGGCACAAGGTCCTCAGGATCGTTGGGTTTCGGCTTCTTTTCCTGAAAAGGGGAGGGGTGATGGAGCCTGATGTTGAGTTCATGGAGGCTGGAACTGAGTGAAGGATCCCCTGAGAGCTTCAGATAGGAAGAGCGATCTGGCAGCAAAGTGTGGGAAATGGTCTCATTAATTCACTGGCTGGTAAAAGTCCAGGCATGGCACTGCGTCCCTCAGTGAGCAGAGAAAGCTTTTGCTAAAAAAACACTCTTCTGAGAGATCCGTCTCCCAGCTGACATCACTGGTGCCACTCTTCTGCTTTTCTGAGTGCCGCTGCCTGCTGTCACATCTCTGGTTTTGTGCTTTTCAGCTCACCACTGTAAGCAGCCTGAGACCCCCTCCCACGCCAACGTCGGGGCTCTGGATTTGCCATCCCTGGGCTACACCCTGATCTATTCCTGTCAGAGTGGGTACTACCTCACCGGAGGGTCTGAGCATCGGACCTGCAAAGCAGATGGCAGCTGGACAGGGAAGCCTCCCATCTGCCTCGGTAAGAGCTGTGAGCAGCGTGGCTTTGGCCTCCGTCTCTGCAGAGGGGGGATTTGCAGCCTGAGAGAAAAGAGCAACTCTGTTAGAGCTACGTGGGTGCTTTGGAGGAGCCATGGTTTGCGTGGCTGAGCTGATTGCAGCATCCACAGATCCCAGAAAACGGGGGGAAGTGAGGGGATTTTCTGCTTGATGATTTAGACTTAGAACCATCTGCACAAGCTGAACCTGGTCCGTACCTGTGCGTTCTGTGCCTTGAAGCTCTTGGTTCAAGATCATGCAGTCTTGAACCCAGCTGAAGCCCTGGTGTGGTGGTAGCCCTGCTGTGTGCTCAAGCAGCATCAGGTGAAGGCTGTCCTTTATGAGCACCACCACAGCAGCAGTGTCTCAGCAGATTCGGGTGCAGCAGTGTTCATTTGGCTGTGGGTTTCATTCCTCTCTTCCAGCTGACATCCGCCCCAGCGGCCGGCCGGTGGGCACAGCGCGGGACCCGCCGCTCTCCAAGCTGTCAGGTAGGAGGCAGGGCTGGCTCTGTGGGAAAGGAGCAGCCAGAAAAGCAGCTGGTCCTGCACGTTTCACACTGCTGGGCTGGTGGGAGCAGCCTGCGTGCCCCATCCCCTTCCTTCATGCTTTGCTGGAGAGCAGATGGGCGCCTTCAGGAGTGGAGCACCAGCGCCGCTGCTCTGAGCTGAAGCCCTCTGGGATATTTTTACATCAGAGCTTTTTTGGTTCTGTGTTTGGTTTTGGTTTGTTGGTGGTCTGTGCTGGTTTTTCCCTAGGAACCTGTTTGGGGTTTTGTTTGTTTTTAAAACTTTTGTGGGTTTTTTGTTGTTTGGTTTTTTTTTTTTTGGTCAAAACACCAAAATGAAAGTCATCAGCACGTTTGTTCTCCTCTCTTTGGCTTTGTACTCAGTGATGACAGCACAGCACTGAAAGATCACATCACTCTCACCACTGATGAGAGTGGGTGGGATTTTGCATATTTAAATACATATTTTTGAATTCGAGGCAAGAAAGAAAACCACCCTGTTTTGATTTCTGAGAAATGGAAACAAGTGGCAACAATCACAGGATCGTATGATGATCGTATCTTGTGTTTCTCTGCCCCTAATTACTGTGCTCTGCAGTGCCTGCTGATGTGTTTGCAAGAAATTCCCTTTGGAAAGGTTCCTACGAATACATGGGGAAAAAGCAGCCTGCAATGCTGTCTGTCACCAGCTTTGACCCTGTCACCAGTAAAGTCAATGCCACTCTGATAGACCACAGCGGCGTGGAGCTCCAGGTTTCTGGTGAGGGAACCAACGTGGCTGTTTTGTAGTTCATGGCATTGCTGGGCATGGAGCAGCGTGCTCTGTTATCTGATGGTCTGGGCTTTGTGATGGAGCTGGACAGAAGCTGGAAGTGCCCAGTCTTTGAGTGGAGCAAGACGAACAAATCCTGTGTATGAGTTTGCTTTGACTCATCCTGGAAAGCAGCACAACCCAGCTCACTGACTTGTAATTTAATCCAAGCAGTTAAATGGTGTGAATACCCCTTGTCTCTGGCCCCTCTAGGAGCATTGTGTTACTGATCTGGTGTCACATAAGAAATATTTACAGCTGAATCGCTTCCCACGTGCAAAATGTCTTCAATATCCTGGGGGACTGTTGTGAGGTTGAGAATTCGTGGTGTGGTTCCAAGTGACCCCACTGATAGGAGAGTAGGAGGAGTTGCTGCCCTCTCTGAGAAAGCAAATCGCTTCAAATTTGAATTGAGACATTGTGATCTGGTGGTTAAAAGTCACTTATTTTCCAGGCATTTACAAGAAAGAAGACGTGCACCTGCTCCTCCAGGTCTATCAGATTATGGGGCCAGTGGAGATCTTTGTGAACAAGTTCAAAAACGATAAATGGGCTCTCGATGGACACGTAAGTGCTTGGACACCTCGTATACAAAGTCCACACAACTCATCCATTGCTGTCATAACCCCAGCTTTCCTCTCACTGCATTTGTCCCATTTGGGGACGTAACTCCCCAGATGAGGCTGTTATCCTCCAGTGACCTGCCTGCCCCGAGGGCACCTGGGCCATTCTTCCAGTACGTGAGATAACGTTCCATGAGCAGTCAGCTCTGCCACGCTGCAGCTGTGTGTTTGGTTATCTGTGCCTGGTTATCTGTAGGTCTTCCAGATAACACCAGAGGAGAAACCAGCACAATTTGTTTCGCTTATATCTGCTAAGCATCACATCAGAAGAGCCAGTCTTTCCTTATGGAGTCAGCTTTGCACCCCGATTTCTGAGCCTGGTAGCTTCCCATGCCCTTAAGAGACCCAGTGGAGCTCACAGGCAGCGTGCATCTCATCGACCCACGGCCAGCTGGAGCTCAGGGCATCGCTGTCAGCACATCTTTATCACAGACAAGATGCTTTCCCCCCTTGAGATGCGAGAGTCTGAACAGGTTGCTGGGCAGTTAGACTTCTAAAAAGATGTCCTGTTTTTCCAGGGAATGGAGTTAATTTAACGCAGTGCATGAAGTTGAAGGAGGCTGACGAGATGGGTGCTGCAAACCCAGGGAAGCGTTGAACAGATCTGTTTTCATCTCCGGTTTCTTATCATTCCAGGTCTCATCAGAGTCGTCCAGTGGCACCTTTGTGTACCAGGGCTTTGTGCATGGCAAAGGGTTCGGGCAGTTTGGCCTTCAGAGACTGGGTAACCTTGCTCTGACTATTAGTTCTTCCCTTAATTGCTGACAGCTGCACTGTGGTTGCAGTGGAGGTTATCGAGCAGGAAACGTTTCTACTGTCCCTGGCATTAATTTTCAGCCCTGCTCGGCCGAAAATCAGTAAGGTTAATCTGTTTACATCTGCTTTTAATCACCCTCCTAAATAAATGATGATGAACTAAGCCAGGCTAGATTGCCAAGCCATTCTTCCTGCAAGTCAGAAGCTTTTGATTACCTTCCACAGCGCCACTTCTAACCCTGTTGTTGTCTTGTTGAAGATGTAACTCAAGCAAACCCCACTTCTTGCAGTGCTGCTTTGAAACATGGTTACTTTTGCTGTGTTTCAGACGTCAGCATGATGGAAAATGATCCAGAATCGATAGGACACCATTTTGCATCTAACAGCAGTTCTGTGGCAGCTGCCATTCTTGTGCCTTTCATAGCCCTGATTATTGCAGGGTTTGTGCTTTATCTCTACAAACACAGGTGGGTTTCAGGAATGACACAGTAAGTGAAACAAAATAAGAGGGCTGACAGAAGTATTTGTGAGCTTGTCTTAAAAGCATCCCCTCCAGACCTGGTTTCTCATTTAGTTCAGAAAGTGAAAAAAAAAAAGGAGTAGAGCAAAAGTGCACAGAGATGCAGGGGTGTTGGGAGAGCAGAGTGCTGAGGGCTTTTATGGCGATCAGTGAGATTTGTGGCAGCGTTCAGGAGGATGAAGCAAAGTAAATTTCATACTTGGGCTTTGCGTGCGTTGTAAATGACTTCTTTCTCCTGATCTGTGCATTGCTGTGGAAATGTTGCTGCACTTCAAAGCATTGTGTGGACTGGATGCTGTGCAGGGGGAGCACACATAGGACTATGGCAAAGCTTCCTGTACCACGAATCTGTAATAAGATTTGCTGTAGATCCCTCCTGCCTTTCCCGCAGGTGTTTGCCTTCTTCAAAAGCAGCTTTTTTCTTTCCCACTGACTTTGTCAGTGCTGTGGCTGCAGCAGGAGCAGCCGTGACCTCTCTGGGTTTTTCCTTCTGGCACCCTGCAGGAGAAGACCCAAAGTCCCATTCAATGGCTACGCAGGCCATGAAAACACCAACGTCAGAGCAACGTTTGAAAACCCCATGTATGACAGAAACCTGCAGCCCACGGACATCATGGCCAACGAGGCAGAGTTCACAGTCAGCACTGTGTGCACAGCTGTATAGCACTCATCCCCTGCGTGGTGAGTGGGGCACAGGGGGGACGTCAGAGCGGAACGGTGGCACCTGCAGCTCAGCCTGGTGAAACTGGCTGTGGATAAAATACTGCCCTTCTGCTGGGGGGGGTCTGTGTGCTGCTGATCCCCACTCCCAGGGTGTCTCCTTCCCACTTTCAGGCTGTCAGAGCCTCGTGTTTGTCCTAAGCTGGATCAGTGTGGTTCAAAGAAGCGCTCTGTGGTTTGGTTTGCCTGGGAGATCTCTGCACTGGGCACAACCCAAACCAGAACTGCCATCTCTGGGGTCTGGTGATCAGCTGGGACGTGGCCTCTTGGGGAGCAGTGACAAAGTGAATCCCAAATATCCCTGTGATGAGAGCAAGCACTGGGAAGGGGAGGAAAAAACAAGTCTGTATGGGAGATCACGCACTGTGATGTTTTGTTCAGTGGTACAAAAGATACAGAGGAGGGTGAACCGAGGGGTTTGGAAGTTTGACCACATAGACATTGAGGATTAAGTAGCTTGTAGACAAAAGCCCCAGGCGGAGCCTCAGGGGCATTTCTAGACTGGCAAGTTCTCACTTTGAGGTAGCAAAGCTGTTGTGGGTTTTCTCAACGTTTCTGTGCACTCACAAACCATTTCTTTCTCTCTCACCCTTCCCACTGTCCCAGATTCCTCCAGGGTCGGTATCTAGCAAATGATTGTGTTTCACCTCACTAGTCTCCGTCCATTCCCTCCCCATCTCCCTCCTTCCAACCTTGTTGAGGCTGTGGAGAAGCTGCTACGCCTTGTTGGACTCTGTGTTACTCCTGAGAGATGGCTCCATCATCCTCGTCCACCTCTGCATCCCTCCATGGATCATGAAGCCAAGCAAACAGCTGCTCTGCACAGCTCCTCCCAGTGGGCACCAGCCTGGTAGTGAGACCTGGGGAAGTGGAGGGCCGTGGAAACGAGGCGATGGGCTCAGTGTGCTGCAGGGAGCAGGGGGGTACGAGGGGTCTCCTCCGCTTTTGGAGGATCTTGGGCAGACAGGGAGGAAGCCAGGTTGCACTGCACAAGGTGCTGACTGGAGTCAGTGGAAAATACCAGCGTGGGGCAAGGTGAGGATTTGCTTTGTCTTCGGTTTGGTTGGTTACCCACTGGTTTGTTTTTGTGGAAGTGTTCAGATGGGACCTTTTCGATGGGAAAACGTTTCTCCCCTGCCTTACACTTAATTTTCCTTGGCACCTTTAGTTGAGTTTGGGTTTCTTCTGCCAATTTACAGGAAGTCTCTCGGAGCCTGAGGCTGCTTTCAAGGGCTGCTGAGGGAACGTCCCTCCATCCCTGGCTCCTGCAGCCAGCTGCCCACGTCAGCCATGCCCAAAAACCCTCACGAGAAAACTGCTGACAGACGTGAAGGGACAAAAACCTCTTTAAAAATAACAAATACTGATTTCCACCTCCCCCCAAAACTGGTTGCATTCAAAAGCCTCTGCCCTTTCCATATTGATCCTCCAAATGGCAATGCAATAAGAGTGCTAATTTCTATCCAAAGCTCTTCCCTTTATTTCCCAGGGGCGGAAAGGTTGGCCTGGCTTTCATGAGAACAGATAAGGGGACTTGACATTTTTCCTCCCTTATAAAAGAACGCTGCTTTGTGATGCCCTCCTCTAATAAAGAGGAGAGCTGCTCCTGTTGATTTAGGGGTTTAGTCTGTTTGATTTGAGTCACTGTTTCTTGAACCGTGCTGGAGTCCAAGAAGGCAACAGTGCCATTTTACCAAACTGTAAGTCGAGCACCTCTCTGAAATACTGTTGACTTAGAGCAGTAAGTCAATGAAACAGCTTTTTCTTACAGAAAACTTGAAGGGAAAATAATTAAAACAAATGGAGTGGTGTTTACATCTCTGCTTGTATTTGAGCACTGGCTCTCCCCTACCTGATGTCAGCTGAGGTTTTGTCTGATGAAAACCACAGGGTAGTTTTTTATGTTTTGTTTATTCTTTTACTCTGTGTGTGTGTATGTATAAATATATCTGATTTTTTTTTTTACTTCTGTCTCTCATTCAGTGCTCTCAGAATAAGCAGCATTCTCCAGCCTATAGTCTGAACAGCCAGCCTGCCAAAAAATGCCATCTGCTCCCCAAAGCATCACAAAGGTGCTCTGATTCGTACCTGAGAGGTGGGTGGAAGCACACGTGTGAGCTCAGTGCCACTCCTGCACTGCTGCACTGCTCCTCCCAGCTCATGCCAAACCATCAGACAGGTGAGAAAGGTAACCAGAAAAGCTGGCTGTTGGCCTGAGCTCCTTTGGGAAGCCAGGAGGGGCTGCCAGGCTACCTGCCCTTCCCTGAAATGGCCAGTTGAAGGTGAAGTAAGAAGAGTGGGGGTCCGGGGCCAGGGCTCAGCTGTGTCCAATTCCTCTGCTTCAGCTGAGCTGCTGCAGTGAAGTTGGGGGCAGCCCCTCCGTCACACCGATGTAACTGAGCTGTATCTCCTCCTGTATGCAGAGATACGGCTGGTTCCTGACTTCACCTCTGCTCTCTGGCCCCTGTTTGACTTCAGAGGCCCCTCCCAAACCTGAGTTAATCTGTGATTTCTGCCCTCAGCCAAACCCACAACCTGTTCTTCCTTGCCTTTGCCAAGTCCCCATAACACAGACAACAGACCAGGCTCCCTTGCCCAACGAGTCTCTAAAGCTGCACCCTTTTGCAATCCCCTGGTGACTGCAGCACCCTGGCACCCGTGTCAGCACAGACCTTGCAGCATCCCACAGCAGCAGAGCTGGAATCTGCCCCAGCTCTGGGAGCTCAAGAAAATCATCCCCCAGCTGCCACCAACAGCAGGCTGCTGGCACTGCAGCAGGTTGGACACAAACAGCCCAGCAGATCCCACGTTTGCCTTTCAGACCTTTCCAAATCCCACTCAATCAGTGTAACAGCAAGGAGAAGCTTGTGTCAAGGTGTGTAAAACAAACCTGGGATGTTTCAACAGCAAAGCAGGGAGGGCAGGAGCTGTCCTTACACAAGATTTGCTGCTTTCAACCTATTAGGTACCATTTTCTACTGTTCCCAAGCAACAAAGGCAGAGGAAGGGGTCTGATCCCATTTTTTTGCAAGCTGGCTGGGGCGTGATGTGTGCCATTCTCCATTCTTGTGCCCAGAGGACTTGCATTATGTTCCAAAAAGAAAAGGAAAAAAAAAAAAAAGAAAAAAAAGAAAAAAAAAAAAAAAAAAAAAAAAAAAAAAAATCCCTCTTTTGTACAGAGATATATTTTTATGAAGCAAAAGTTTGTACAGTAAAAAAGACACAATGTAAATGTTTTTTCATTATTGTAGTACGCAGTAGTGGAAGATCAGCTTCTTTTTGTAAATGTAATAAAATGTATAAATATGGTTTACATAAAAGTGTAAATATGTAATCTATACATACACTTGGCTTGTCTGCAATATATACAATTTAATTTATCTGTCTCTGTATATGAGGCTTTTCATTGTGTCCAGGCATACTTTCCTGAATTTGAAAGCTATTTTAAATTTTTGAATTAAAATAAAATATAAATTTTTGCATTGCTTTTCTTATATATATATATATATATATATGTACATATATTTTTTTTTAATATATTTTTTTTTTCTGGTGCCTTTTTCACGAGCTGCCCAAGTTCTCTTCCAGGACATCTGGATGCTGAGCTGCACACGATGCCGTGCCCAAGGCTGTTGGGTCACCCCAAGGCTGGAGGCTCAGTGCTGCAGCAGCCCTGCAGCTCAGCCCAGCTCTCACAGCACACAGCAGCACTCACACTTTGCTCCTGTCCCAGCAGCAGCTCCACACGCTTCTCCCTGCCATCCCCACGCGGTGCCCTGGGAGGGCAGCCCCGATTTGGGTGCACTCTGCACCAAGACTCATCCATGAGGAGCTGAACTTCCTGCCTGCCGTCCGTCGCTGCCCTCCTCTCTCCTCACCTGCTCTTTGCTGATGAGTTGTGATGCGCTTCCAGCTGTGCTCCCCTTCTGCTCCCCTTCCCCCCAGCAGGGAGGGGATGGATGCTGGTTGTGCTGGGAGCCCCTTGGAAATCAGGTACTTAAGGAAGAACCTCCAAGAGACAAACAAAACCCTTGAAGCTGATTTCCATCTCCACCTCGCGACTGAAATCAGGAGCACAGCTCCCCGAAGTGAGGCTGACTGCTGTTGGTGGCCCTTGGTGCAGGTCTGCTGCTGGATTGGTACTGCATCGAGTTGGATGGCGGAGAATTCTGGAGCTGGAAAGGGGCACGGAGCGTGTTTTCATGTCACACTTTGGGAGGGCACCCGAAATTCCTGAGTTTTTCAGTGATAAATGGACACGTTCCACTTGTGGATTCCCCAAGACGTTTGACTGCATGTTCCTGCTCTGACCAATACGGAGCTGTATCCCTGAGGTTCCTGCCCAACGCTTTGGTCTCCCTGCTGCTGGAGCATAGAACCTTCTTCTGCTCAGCAGAAGTTGCCTCTGTGCAGCCCAGGTTGGAAGCATCAGTTTGTGATGGTCGGAAAGGAGCCCACAGCCTCCTGCAGACATCTCTGTGCAAAGCCTCTGCTCTGCTCCGTGCCTGAGGTTGGGGAGGTGGGAGTCCTGCAGTGCTGTGGGGTGACCACCCATCCCCCTCTGGTCCCTTCTGCCCCTCTGGCTGAGGCTCCAAATGAGCTTTAAAACCAGGGATGTAAAACGAGACATCTGCAACAGTGCAGAACTTCCATCTCTCCAAACCCCAAAGAAAGGCACAGCCTGACAACAAATCAGTCGTTTAATTGCTGCAGCAATCAGCTTGGAAGAAAGAGCTCCGTGCCCCAGCCAGAATGGTGCAGTCTGGATCCCCAGCACCACATGGAAGAGCTGCTCCATCAGTTACAGCGCTCTGATGTGAGATGTTCCCATCTATGGGTCGTGCTTCCTCCCCATCAGCTGCCATAAGGCTGGCAGTCCACGGTGCAGGAAATGATGGCTGTCCCTGTGCCATCCTGGAGGTTAATCCCAGCCGTGTGCAGGATGCACTGCTTTGCTTTTCCAGCTGGGTTTTCTCAGGCCCTGCTGCAGCTGTAAGATCCATTCTGCAAGCTCTGCAGGGCCCCAGGATCACAGAATGGCCCAAGTTGGAAGGGACCTCAAGGATGATGAATCTCCAACCCCCTGCCACATGCAGAGCCATGAACCTCCACATTTCACAGCAGCCCAGGCTGCCCAGGGCCCCATGCAACCCGGCCTTGAACACCTCCAGGGATGGACGGGGCTTCACAGCCTCTGTGCAGCTGTTCCAGCACCTTACCACTCTCACAGCAGAGAGAGTTGGATGTTTTCCCCCCAACATCCAACCTCAATCTTCCCCCCATCCCACTGCTGCTCAGCTCCGCTCTTTCTGCTCCAAGATGCCTCAATTTGCTTTAATTAGGCTGTTTTCTCTGCATCCCCCCCCTCCCCAAAGTGACTGAGTGCAATTAGCTCGTGTCTGGGCACTGGTTGACATTTGTTTTAAGGAAGGTGTTACACTTTGATGCCCTGCTTTGCTTCTGCTCTGCCCGCTCTGGCTGCACAGCTGCAGGTCGGCTGCTCTCTGTGGCTTTCACGCTGCTTTTTATTTGTCTCTTCCAAGTCAGGCGCTTCATCTGTCGTGTTCTCAGCTGCTCTACCTGGAATGAGGTCGGCAGGAAGGAGCTGGGATGCAGCCCTGAAGGTTTCCACAGGCTGAGCCATCTGAGCTGCGCACACGAGGATGGGTTTTAATGGCATTTAGGGCAGCAGCGCTGATCCTGCTGGACTCGAAGGACACCGGCGAGGGAAAACCCCGCATCGCAACAGGAGAGGTGGAGCTCAGCCAGCCCAAAACTCCCGGGCAGCCCACCTTAGAAATCAATGAGTAACATCAGCCCACGTTGGCTCGTCTCGCCCTGCCCAGCAGGTTCTAATTTAGCCGGCACAATGAGCGTTTGCGGAGCTGATGAGCGGCGGTTCCTATCAGCGCTTTGTAAATGAGCCATCAGCTCCAGGGCTGCCCCGTCCGTACCGCTCCACCCACAGCTGCGGCTCCTTTGGCTTTCCAGCAGATCTCAGGGATGGAAACGCCTTCCTTAATTACCCCAATTAAGTGCAGCGGCCGTCCTGCCCCCCACCTCATCCAGCCCAACGCGGGGAGGTCGCGATGTTATTGATTTTATCGCTTTGTTGTACTTCATTTCCTCCTTTTATTTACTCGCTCGGCTGGGGTTCGATCCCGCTGTGCTGGGAGCCCATTTCCCACGCGGTGGCTGAATTTCGGGGCCCGCAATTGGGAGTGAGCAGCGTGAGGATGAGGGATGGGAGGAAGGTCCTTTCTGTGCTGCTGGGGGCGGGGGGGGGGTGCAGCTGTCCAAGCGAATTACGGCCGCGCGGCGGCTGTGCTGGTTACGCTCTACAGCACCCGACAGAGCACCTGGAAATTCATTTGTCACCGGAGGAGAAAGGAAGAAAGCAAGTGAGGTGAGTAATGAAATGCTGGAATAATTAACCACGGATGGGGAGCTGGGCTGGGAGGAGGTCTGCGTTGCTCGGAGCTGGGCTGAGCTCTGCCTGCTGCTCCTGCTGCTCCATCCTCGCTTTCTGCTCCGTCCCCATCAGCACCCACAAGGCAGGATGGTCTCAGCACACATCGGTGTTCTTCAGCTCCTACGACTCGTGGTTCCCCAGCAGATGTGGGGTGAAGCAATGTGGTGGTAGAACTTGTGATGCCTTCTGCAAGGAGAGCTGCAGCTTGTGGCGTGGGGAGATAAAAAGTCGTGGTATCCACCTGGGAGGGGAGGGGGACCTCCAAGCTGACACAGTGTGTGTCAATGGAAAGCTTTCAGCTGATTTTAGTGGCATTTCCATTGGACCCTGCAGCTGCGTGCAGCCCTGGGCCTGTGCACAACACACGTTCAGCTCTGGGCTCCATCAAAACCAGGAGAGAGGAGAAAGGTTTTGTGGGTGGGAGCATCCTAAAGGCGGCTCAGGGATGAGAGAAATGCAGCCCTGATGTTGCTTCGTTGCTCAGTTATTGTTAATTTGGATTGTTCCAGTTTTCCTTGTCCATGTAAGGTTCCCACTTTGCATGTTGTGCTGTGCAGTCATGCCCTCTCTTATTGTGAGAGACAGATCATACCCAGAAGGCATCCCCTCGTTGGGCTGCTCCTGTAGATGCTTCCAAAGCTTTCAGCTCTGCCTGAGTTTCTGCAGCCCCACCTGAGGACTCCATGGCCAACTCTGCTTTATCACAGCTGAATGTCCCACAGAAAAGTCCTGGCATTCATCTGCTTCACCGCGTGTGTGTGGCTGAATTCATTAGAAATTCCCACTGAGGCAGGGTTCCCTTTTTCTCATGGGATCTAATGGGGCTGAAGTGTCCAGCTGGGCTTCCGGCCAGGAGATCTGAATCATAGCTGGGTTCAGCATAGAGGACCCCCATGCATGGCAGTGGCTGATGTCTGGGCCGGGGAGGCAGAGATCTGTGCTCAGCAGAAGGCAGCCAGCAGCTCTGCAGTGCTGCTCCTGATGTGCTCAGCATCTGCTGCCCGTTCCCCCTTGTCTGGAGGGGAACAGAGCCCTGGAGCTGAGCATAACGGCCATGTGTGCCTCTGTGTGCCTCTGTGTGCCTCGGTCCCCACAGCACAACCCAGAGATGCGCCTTTGGAATGCTTAGAGGAGTGCAAAGAGGCATTGAAGCCATTGTTTGGGGGCAGGTAAAGGCCCATGGAAAGGCACTGGGGTGAGATGGAGAAGTGAGGAGCAGGGGAGGCTGCCAGAGGTGGTGCAGAGGGCAGAACCTGAAGTGGTGTCAGCAGCTCCAGGCAGGGCGTTGTGCTGCATCTCCTCGAGCTTTGCTGGGGCTTTGGGATAACAGCAGCAGGTTTGATCTCCTGGGGAGAGGCTGAGATGATGCAAAATCCTCACATCCAAACAGCTGAGTGATATAAAACCCATCACGGGGGGCTGCTGGCTGAGCAGCAACCACAATAAATCGGCGCCTAAATGAAAAACCCAAATGTGACACATTATCGAACCGAGATTTTGCACCTTGGGGGGAGGGAATTGGGAGCTTTTTCTCTTCAGAAACATTCTGAGCTGTGTAAGGAGAATTTATAGTTCGGTGTTATGGGGGAAAATGCATTATT